TATTACAAGCTGGAACGTTATGAAATGGCTCGAAAACTGTTTCAACGGACGTGTATGACCGCGTTTCTTTCTTCGTCGCTTTTCCGACAAAACTCTTGGACATTACGAATTGGCTCGATTATACCTTCAACAACACGGCATCTGTTACCCGATCCTGATTGCTTCTTAATTTGGTTTAAAATCTATGGAAAAGTGCGGATTTAAATTTGCGTAAACAAACCTTTGTGCCTCGTTGCTTGGGCTCGATATAGGTGAACAATTTCCTCTTTGTCATCGTTAACATTCAAGATGCCTAAAAATGGAGATCGCGTATCAAAACCTTGAGGAATATTTTTCCCCTTTTGAGTTAACTTGTCCATCAAGCTACTGTGAAAAGTCCCAGTAGATTCTGAGCGTCTTTTTTAATGATGAGTTAAATCTGCGCATGCGCACGACATCATTTTCGTTCAAAATAAATGGACAGAAACCGTCCAAAATGGATGGTAATATGATATTTTGTTCACCACTGTACATGAAGGTTCTATTTGCTGAGGAATTTCGATTGTGATGTGCATTGTAGGCAATTAATTCTAAGAAAGGACGTTTTAACAGTCGTCATCTCAAAGCACGTCGGGCTAAAATGCTTCTGCAGACTGGAGGTTTTTATAGGCAATGTAATAAATAGAAAGATTCTCGCGGAGAACAATACACCAACCTCCGCTACTCAGTGAAGAAAATGTAAAAGCCCTTTACTGCCATTTGTTAGGCGCATTGTTCAGAATCAATTTTTGTAAACTACCATCTCGTCTGTTTTCTCAAGAATAACCGTACGACAAAGTTCGTGAAGATGGCGTTGTTAAATAAATGACCATATATTTTATCTTGTTCAAATCTTCCTTTCGATTGTCGCAACATTAAGTTGACTCAAAGCAAATCGTTTAACTCACCGGGCTCATAAAACTTCTATATTGTCATCTTAAAAAAAACCTTTTTATGGATTTGCACCTGCTTGTTTACAAATTAAAGGTTTGTTGACCGGCGGAATTTGTGGATGCCGTCGCATGCGGTCGGCCGTTTTTCCTACCAGTGACGCTTGTTGGCATTATGGCACTCATGGTCACGGTAATGGGGCTGTGAGAAAAACAAATCGAAGGGAAACCAATATGAATGAAGGTCATGGTTGGATTATATAATAGTGCCCCTATATCAATCCCCATCACACGACCTCGGCGGTCCATAGTATGCTAACTGACTACTCAAATGTAGTGAGCACATCCGGTGCGATTGTCTTCAATCCCTTGACTACAATGGTTCTTGATGAATTTAAAATGCCTTCCCGTGCTACCAAAATACAACCTTTATCACCGATTCCTTGCATTTTGACCAAACGCATTAATTAGTTGTTCGGCAGCTGAACACTCAAGTGTACCACCTTGCTGGGTTAGTCACGACAATAAATGTCAAATCCGACAACTCTCTTAAATGGCTTGGGTTGTAACTTGATGTTCAGGAGAGGCTATCTTAAACCTCCAAATTCGTGGCATTTTGGATAGTTATAAAATTGCATTGATGGCAATGTAGGAACTGGGAAGCACTACATAGGGAGTAGAGGTAGTTCAGTGCGGCTATACAAGAAATGGAATATTTTTCTTTAAAATGTACACTAGGATTGTGCGCAATTGCTAGGATTTTGGCGCAATTTTAACTTTTTAAAGTTCTGAAATGAAAAGGCGCACACTACTGCTAACATTACGGCTTTTATTTAATTATTTCATATTTTGAATTTTGTTTACAATTAAGAATCTAGTGATGGGAGTCCCACGTGGAATTTTGTTTCCAGGTTGAATGCCATTTTTGTCTTTTCACACACACGGAAATCAACTCTCATTGACATGGCCCACACGGACCACTCAAGATGCACTATAATTAATGCCTAGATCCAAGAGTTTTCTTTACTCCAAAAGAAAAGCCGGTAAAGTGAGGAATTTTCTCCTTTGTTAAGTGGCATACCTTACTTGCTAAGTCCACCAATTCTTCCCCATTAGGTTCTACTAATGGAAGGTCGAAGCTTACCAATTACAACTGTCATCCCTTCTTAGGGTGCTCGTGCTTCAAATCTGTGTGACTCCTTTTTAGTATTTTTCACATCAGCTACGGATTTCGATTATTTTTCCATTAAAGGGCGAAAAGAGTTTATCGCATGACGTGTGGTGTTGTAGAAACCGATATTAACAGCGGCCGATGCAGAGTATGCTGATTTACACGTCATGGGTGAAATCAAATTTCCCCACTATCCCACTGAGGATTGGTCAGCTCGTGGTCTGTTTTTGCGGTGTGTGGTTATGTGCTATCTCGCAGCACCATCACCTCATACAGCAGATGCTACATTTTTAAAGACATCTTACCTAACCGGTCCTTGGGTGGAGATATTCCTGAACACCATTGTAAATCATGGTGATAGCGTTTTATAAAGTTGTAGAGCTTTGAGACTCTCCTAAAAGCAAAGGAAAACTTAATACTAGTACAGAATATGTATTATAGACGCATAGAAGGGCTAGGAAGCTACTGACTTTCCCCCCTTGGGCCAAAGGCGTAGCCTTAAGTACTCGCGAAACCAAAAAGAAGAGTGAACGAAGTAATTGAGGCGTCGTCCCTGGCGCTCCTTTTGGTCAACCTCCTGCGTCAGCCATCCCAGCGTAGTTGGTGCTGTAAGAAGGCCCCTACCAACCAACCGCGACAGTCGTCGAATTTGGGCACAACTGAGAAAATATGTGACTGCCACGTCACTGGTCTTACTTGGCAGTTCTACTAGTTTTGCAGTTCCAGCCTGTTTGGAAACTTTGTTCTCACTTCAGTGCTGCCCAGCCGTGCATCTGTCAGCACTCTCTCCGGTTAGTGGAGAGGTGGAGGAGGTATCGAGTGTTCACTTCATTGACATCTTATTACAGCTACCGTGGGCAGCTCCGTAAGGAACTTTTCCAGATGGTTCACGGCTAATGCTGCTTCCGTTGTTAATATTTTTCATGCAGAACGGGGGACTGTGGTAGTTGCCGAAAAGGTAGAAAGTCATTTCCAAATTCTTCAATTAGAGGTCGCCATACATTCTTCCATCTGCAGCAGATTCCCTTCTTCTGTCATCTTAAGTTTTCCAAAAAAACATTAAAAATCAAGTTAATTATCCTTCGGGCTCCAATGTACCTTCCACTGTCAGCAATATAGCGCTTCGAGTCTTTCTTGAGGTTCAAAGAAGTCATAATACTCGGGTAGAACATGTACTATGGACGTGCAAAAGGGGTAGGGGGCTGCTGGGATGGCCCAGTTGCCGTTCCACCCAGCTGAACTACAGGAGCGGAGCCTTAACCGCCCTTGAAACCAAAACGAAGACTAGAACAAATAATCACAGTATCACAAAAACGATGCGACTTACTATAGTTAAAGGATTTTAGTTTGTCTAGTGAATAAAAAGATAGAGAATCACACTTTTTACAAGCCAATAAAGTTTCATCTTTCTGTCACTTTATGAAGTTGGGTATGCGATTCCACTTAGGCGTATATTCATGTGTGACTAGGCTCGACAAAACGCTTTTTCTGCCCTTTTTCGGGCCGCACACCCACCCACCCACTGGTGATGCACATCGAAGGGGAGAGACTATACAATTCCAACATGTGGCTGTGTGCTTGTGTATCTACTCCCGGTGCCTCGCTGTCTGTGCTGCGTCCCCTCTGTGGTGACCCATTTTCCTCCCTTCCACCCCCCATTGGCCGGTCACAAGGTCACTAGCTTTGTTACATGATTATATGGCTTTTGAGATGCCTATTTATCTTTGCTAACTCCTCAGGCTCCTGATCGTTTTAACCATCAGGAAGGAGTCATGTCACTTGCAACAATATTTCCCTGGGCAGAATACTGCCAGACACATCACAAAAAAAACATATTTCTACCCAATTTTTGTATTTAGCTAGAAACTTACTTGTACTCTTTTTCGAAAGAGAATGTTTATTTAGAAAAAGGACAGAGCAGCATTATTTTCGTCCTGTGGAATAATTTCCCACGATGTCAATTCAGCATTCAAAACGGGGTCTCTGTTTTATAAACTAATAAATAAGTAAATGTTAAAGTTGGAACCTTTCTCTCAGCCCTTCTGAATTATTTATTATCTTAAATTGTAGGGTAAGTAATAACTGTGGAATTTTAGAACATGGCTGCTTCAGTCATGTGCCGCAACTGTTTTACTCCGCCTTCCAAAGTCGTGGATGCCAATTTTAGCTGAGAGAAATTAATGACAACCACGCCTATAGCTGTCTTGACAGGTTTGAGATAGGATGATTGGTCAAATTTGAAAGTTTTTTTGGGTTAATTATTGCCATACCTTATATCATGAGCAAATTTTGTGACGCAACACTCCCACTTCGTCCAGACAGTCAGCACAGTTTTTCTTTCATCTGTTCTTCTTCTCCAATTAAATACTTCAGAAAAATCAACCTAGAAGAAGGCTTGTTTTTGCCATAGTAACGCCATGTCTCGTTGTTGTGCGAAGAAAATCAAGTCTAAATAGCCTTCAGTGTTTACGGTAACAAGTGATGGGCACATTAGTGTTGGATCCAGTACCAGAGCCCCCGAATCATCTGAATTTTTCAAAGAGGGCTATGTGGGTCAACTGAGAACTATGCACGCAAAAGCAAAAGCGTTGTTGAGAAATCGGGCACTTGTATCCTAGCATAAACACCACAAAAGACCATCATTCTCATCTGAGCTTTTAAAGCGACTACACTTGCTTCTCAACGGGTCTTCTCCAGCATCAGCTATAATACTCTTAGGAGCAAACATCAACGACCATGTTTTTAGCTTCCTCATGATATTTCAATGCCTTCAAATTAGTGGAACTTGGAAGCCAGACACCGGGCGATAACATGATCATGAGAGTGAATAAACTTTAACTCAGATTACTTAGATTGAAGCAGGTGTTACGTTTGATGCTAAAAAGTAACCGTAAAGGGGACACTGCAATTCAATCACTCTAATGTTTCCCCAAGGCCAAGGGTACAACCTGATGACCCCGGATAAGATGCACGTGGCCAATTGGCTTCGAAGTCTGCCCACAAGTGGAGATCTGGGTACAGGCTACCGTCCGCCCAGTCGGCTAGAAGTGAGCAAGGCCTCCCTGGTCCTCAACTTGCCCTCTTCCCACCCTCCTCAGACCGCTCTGCCGCGTCCACCACCACCGCCGTCCTCGTTCGAGAAGGCCGACACAGCAGAGGATGAGCCGCCGAGTTTCCAATCTTCCGAGGCTCAGATGCTCTTCCCACCTCTCACCTCTCCCGTACCCACACCGCCCAATCACAACCATCCGTCCACCAACAATCTGGCCAATCGAGTAGGTTTGAAGGGATATGGATTACAGGCCTCCTGCGATGGAATTTTTTTTAAAGGATGTGCATGCCTCCCATGAAGCAATTTACGCATTGTCTCTATTGGAGGATATTTTGAAGATCCTAACTTACTTTAGCGACGGCGTATTTCAAAGCAGTGTCTTTTTTTAAAGTTTATTTGACAGGGCAAAGTATCTTCCTGAATTAGCAACTACGTACTTTGTTTGGTAAAAGTCCACATTTCTCTATATCTGTATTGTGTATTTTTGAGAAGCTAGGCAAGATTACAGGATCTGGCAGGTTTAAATGTGTGTACAAAAAGTAAACTAATGTAGGCTATTCCATTCCTCTCTCTTGAATTTGGCGGATTACTTTACACCCACAAATGTTTCCATTTAATGTGGCATCCAGTGTGTGTGACAGAGGCTCATGTGCAGCAGCGATGATTGTGGCATTTGGCGGAGAAGGAGCATGTACTTACTGCTATTAACTTTCCACTGTCGTGGATTGGCCAGTCCTCCTCTCGCATGCCTTGCAACGGTGCTCATCTAGTTAGTGGAAGAGCTCTGCCGCCGTCAGAGTGGACTTGTTTAGCTCACGACATAATGCCAGTAGAGCCATAAAGGCTAACCCCACTTTCCTCAATTAATCACATTTTCGGTGGTCTGAAGAACTGGTGTGCTCCACGTAGGTAATGTATTGAAATCTAAATTGGTCACTTTTTATTGTAAAGACTCTATTTTTGTATTGAAGACGAAAAAGTTGCCTACAATAGGAGGAATAATAAAACAGCTTGAGCTGAAGGTACGTATGGGATTACGTTCAAGTAGAGTTTGAGGAGATCGTACCTTTTAAAAACCATTTCAGCTGAGGTGCTCGGCCTAAGAGATGGGATTTCCACAACTCTTTGCACCCGGGTTGGTTGTGCTGTATTATACCATAAAACAACGAAACTAGTTCTCTTTTATGTCAGGTAGACGCGAGAGACCCCATTTTCGAATGTCATTTGATTCGCCGTATCCTGGATTTGTCGGTCCCAATCTGCGGAGGTGTATGCGATTCCCTGTAGTCGCTTTGACTTAGATTAGCTTGAAAGATTCCGGTCGAGTCAACTTTTCCCTCCAAATTTGCTAGTTCCTTGAAAAACTTGGGTGCAGGAGCCATAGGAATTGTGCGCTTGGCACGGATGATAACCTTCAACTTGATTTTCTGCCTATTTTAATTTTCAAATGTACTTGCGTTGACTTTGAAGAGCTGGATTGGCGTTATTAGGGCCTGCTTATTGACCTCAAGGCGGGTCGGCCTAATTTTATATTGCGTGTTTAAACGCGTAAGAAGTGTGGAGCCGCCAATTAAAGGGCTGGAAACGTCCGTCCAAGCGTGAATCATGCATGTGCCGGGGGTGAGACCTCGCGAAATCGTGACTGCGTCAGCGCCGACCACGCGCCTACCCACTCCCGTCGCCGTCATTCTATTGTTGCCTAGGCAACATTTATCACTTTCTTAACAAAGTATACAACTGAGATGGGCCTTTTCTAACTACTTTGCCACATCTGCCCTCACACCTCTTTGAGTTGGGTGCATACGAAGGAATGCAGTTACGGGATGAGTTGATTCGGATTATTCGTGAGTAAATAGCTGTGCTAGTTCTAAATGGATTTGTTGATTTTTTTCATAAAAAATTCAATTTTCCCGGCATCTTTTTATGACAAAACCAATAAACAATAATAATACATAATAGTATATACTGAAACTTTTTGAAGGAAGATTTCGGACACACCGACTACGTCCAGTTACTGCTGGTCGAACGATTCACTCGAGTTTGATCAGTTGGTACAGTGGTGGAAATGGTTGAAAATAAAACGCCAGCTCTTAGATTACCAATTTTTTCTATCAAATTCAAGTTGGATTGAGTTGATAATTTATGCAAAATTTAAGGAGAAGGCCCTCCAAAAAGGGTAATTCTGTATATTCTGGCTCACTTCGTTTCTTATGTGAAATTGGCTTTCGGTAACGAAATTTGACCTTAGCAATAGATTCAAGGTGTTGATGTGCTTTTCCTTTTTCATCACATAAAATTTCTCCAAATGATTTCCTTCTGCAATTCACACGCTTATCTCTGCTCCTAACCTCTGCCTCAATAAAATTCATCGACCTTTTCCAGCCTCACACTCCGCAGGGGATTTATCGCGAAGCCAAACAGTTTCATAAGTAGTTCCGAGTTTTTTTCCTCCAGCGCCGATTTCGTTCTACCACAAAGTTATGCTGCATTCATGCCTGAAATGCGCTAATCGCACGCTGATCTGCAGATAATTGCCCCATTTGTTCAGCATTCGAGATGGGGCTGAAACCGCGCGCGCGCCTTTCATGCCCTAATGGCCTCTTTCCTGCCAGATGTCAAAGCCTCACCTTTATAGGAAAGACACTTGCCCACTTCTCCGTATGCGAAACAATAAAAGTCACTGGCTTCAGCTTCACTAAGCTAACTTATTCGGGATTTGTGCTGTCTAAAGTGCGCCATAAGTGCTCTCATTTAAACAATGCAATCGGTCATTTGTGGTAGATTTAATCACTCCAGACAACCAGTATTTTTACATTAATTTTAAGCAAATTGGATATATTGAGTCAGTTATTTAATTCAAAACCTGCCTGTTGCCTCCTGAGCCTTCGCTGAAGCCGTAATAAACCAAAGTGGTATGGAAGAACGTATGGTAGGGAAGTACAGAAGAAGAGTCGGGAGGAACTGTATCCTTCAAGCACTGAAGTACTCGCGCGGTTAAACGCGCAAGGCAAATATTAAATCACTGCATTACATCTCTGGATTGCTGATAAATTGCTGCTTTTTACCTCTCAGTACTTATAGTACTTCTTCCACCCTAGGATTGCGGACAACTGAATGGTTCATATTAAGCAACGGCTTAACAACAAGCGCCGCGTATACATGAGGCCCCTATTTTCTTATTCAGGCTTGGCGTCACACTTGTGTGACATGTGTTTCTTATCTGTTGCGTGATAACCGGATGCACCGATTCGTGTTTCAAACGGATTGGTTGCCTTTGCAACAGCAAATAGATACGGGCTACTATGGACCTGAAGAAAATGAGTGGCGGTTTAATCGGTCACTGCGGTAGCGCAAGTGCTGGTGTCATATTTGGATGATGAAACGTCCAGACCGCAGCTAATAACTTTTCTGTGAGATCGAGTTTCCCGCTTGCACAACATGTGTCTCTACTCCAGCTTCCAGCTTTAAGTACTTTGATGTTTTGAATGTTGCCTTACTCGGTGCGACGAAGGCGAGGAAACGCTTAAATGATGTGGTATTTGGATCTCGGGTATAGATTACAATTTTATCCTGAAATTTACTCTTTATTATTGGCTAAAATAGATTTTACTCGAGGTGATCAGGCAGGGGAGTTGAAGGGGGACTGAGAAAAAAGCAAGCAGGTCGTGGTGTTGTGTGGTACGCAAACGTCCGCTGACCATGATTCACCCTCTTTTTTTTAACACAGCCCGGTGCATGAGATATAAAAGTTTCCATCTCTAGGCTTTCGCGATTGTGGTCAAATTGTTTTTTTTCTCCCAACAAAGTCACCTCCTAACTTCGGTGTTTACACTATGACAAATCTTTTTTTCAATGCAGTGAGTCCGTACCTCGCCTTGGTCGTCGTTTCGCTGATTCCAGTAGTGTGTCGGCCAACTTGTCAAGCTGCATTGTAATCTGCTTTACGGGAATTCACTAAAGTCATTAAATCGTCGCCGAAGCACACAGTAGTCGGCCTTTGTCTTCCCACATTTTACTACCCCAATTTCCAACATTTCGATTTCAAGGCCGTTTTGTACCCTCGTATACCTTTCAAGATGAATTACGATTTGTTGGAAAGGGAGCACTGAACTATCCCCGCCACGCTTTAGCTGTTTTCAAACTGCCGTAGTTTATTGCCGTTTTGTAGCTTGGTCGTTAATATTTCGAGGCGATTCTCAAATTCGATAAACACTTGGTTGAAAAATGAATCAGAGTAATTTTCCGCATCAGTCGAAAACTTTTTTTCCCAAAATCCTAAATGCTCTATGCACAAAAATAACTAAGCCTTTACTTAGTGGGAAGAGCAAACCCCGCCTGCTGTCACACATTTGGCCGCACTGCTGGCAGTTGTCAAACCCAATTTGGAGAGGAGGATAGCTGTATTTTACCTGAATGGGTCTAATGGTTTGCGGACTTGAAGCAATAGAGGTTTGGGCGGCTTCACTTCTCAGAAGTGCTTCTAGGCACCAACATTAAGAGTTCTATTGTTTTAGACAGAAGCCAATTGTTTCTTTTGATTACTTTTTTGCCACATCACTCATTCTTGTGAGTCAATGACCAACGGTTTTTTAAGTTGGATTTTTGAAAACGACAGTGGCTTTATCTTCTGGATAGTATTTCCGTCAATAATAGAACATTCATTGCTGAAATGAACCCCTCTGCTCAAATTCGCCATCCCCATATAAAATTGTCAAATTAATCAAAAGTGGCCATTATACTACTTATTTAATTTCGAAGATGATATTTTCAAGTAACTCTTTGTATATTAGTGCCTTCATTTCAGGTTTTCGAGGTGATGTGGGTGTGTTTGTACTGATAGGGGGAAAAAAGTGGAACCAGACTCAACCTTTTGCTCTGAGGTCCCTAATTTTATTATTATTATTCGGTGAAGATTAGCACAGTTTCTTGGTCCAGATCCCTAATTTTTCGCAGATGACGTGTTCAGATGGATTCACTTGCAATGAAGTTACACCGATCTGGACAACAGATAGACGAAGCGATTCTTACGGTGGCCAACCGCCGCCGCTTCGGCATGCCCATAAAGTCTAAAGCACCTCATTACCAAACGCATCATGCTTAGGCATTTGTACATCTCGCCATCTTTTCCCATTTATTCTAATCTGTTTACCTATACTTTATCCAAATGACGGGAAACGCCCACCTTTCTCATAAAACTAATCATTTAAGAGTTCAAAATGCAATGCGATGCGTTGGCTGATCATGAAGGAACCTACCTCTGGCAGAATATCGCGCCAGCGAAGTTACCACTTTTGCCCACTGAATGACCACCCATTAGGGTGACCTGTTATTCTCCAATTGCGATTTTCACGACTGCATATAAAAGCATCTCCCTTTCCTTTATAGCTAGCCAAATTGAGGTAGTGCGCTCATAGCCTGCCGCTCCTCGAACGACTTTCAGTTACTTTGTGAACTATGAATTTTCTTGCCATGTCGAAAACGACTCTTTCGTAATAATACTAATAGTGTCTGAAAAATCACAATTTTGCGGATTTGTGCATTTGATGTATTTGTTATACTTTATATTTTGTATTTCGTGGTAATTAGTGAAATCACTAGACCTGCTCTGTCTTTTCTCTGAATGACACTACCAAACAGTGTATGTTTAAATGACCTACCGTTTCGATTTTATTTACCTTTCTTTTAGGCAATTCTCTGATAAAATGCCGAATGAAAGCATATTTACTTGGTAGCACGATTTGCATACCATGGGTAGCCGGAAATATGCTATTATGGTAAAACAAATGGAATGTGTTTCCTGTTGGAAGGGAGAGAAGGTGTACTAGGTTTAGATGGTCAGCACTCATTGATAATTCTGTATATATGCTACTTTATAGCTATCCACCAGACATTTACAGCAGCAGATCTCCCAAATGAAAAGGGAGGCCTCATCCATCAGTCGGTTGAATGCTCTCAACCGCGGGCGACTTTTCGGCTCCCCCTCACCTACCCCCGCGGGTCCCCTAGGCACGCTGGCGCCTCACCCTGTGGAGAGGGAGGTCGCCTCACCCCGCGCTGGTATTTCCACTTCCACCAGTTTTAACACCTCCCTTCACGAACAGCAACAGCAGCAGCAGCAGCAGTCTGTGATCCCACAAACTGGCACCCGCGATTTCAAGTGAGCTCAGATCTCTCCTGATTGGTGCGAACCTAGCAGTTGTCACCGACGATAGTTTGGATTCTAGCATGAAAAAAATTCCTTTAAAAGGAGAAAGTAAGTGATACTAATGATAAGCTGGATCCAACGTAAAATGTCACTCTATTCCAGCGGACCACTTGCTTTCAGTTGATTAAAAAGATAAAAAGATAAAATTTAAGTCGTGAATGACAATCGGATGTGGCACCGATTTCCGCCTTGCATGATCAATGTAGAAAACTTGCTGTTTCAGAATTTTTGAAATTTGTGCGGATTTGGGCCTCGATATGATTTAACGCTCCATTGCATTGCATTGTCACGGGGAACTGTTAATACACAAAAAAAGGTGTTATTTTTTTTTGACACCTAGGACTTCAGTGATAGGCTGAGCGAGAAGGTTCCAATCACTGACCTAAGTTTAAGGTTTATTATTGCCATAGCTATGTGCTATTTTCATGATATTTGGGTAATCCCGTTTAGCATAAATACAAAAACAGGTCGTCAAACCCTTGTTTATAAGCACCATTTAAAAGTCTATATCATTTTCGGGCAATATGGTTATTTAAAAAGTCACTTTTAATTGGGGGCTGTGTTTTAGAATTTAGCAGTCAAACCGGATAAAGCCATTTGAGGACCCAAAATTCGTGAACCAGAGAAATGAATGCTTAACTGGTCGCAAATACAAAGATTAAACTTCAGGTTCCTTGTCTAGGCCCTTCGTCTACATGAATTAGTAAAATACAACATTAAAAAGGCTAAGGATCTTCGTACACGAAAGTATGAGTGATGGAAAGTGAGCTCAACGGTCGACGGATAGGATGAGCAAATGATGCTTAAGACAAAATCACCATCATATTTAGGGAATAGTTGAAGGCTTTCATTGTACGGCGTGAGGATAGAAGGTGGGTTATTAGTCGCCACCTGAGTGGCATGCAAACTACTGAATACTGCCTGGATTCGCTCACTCAGAAGGATTCTTAACAGTGAAACACAGTGAGCAGATTATTTCAACTCAGGAAAAGTGGCTAATTTTGCTGCCAATATCACATAGGATATTGGGAAATAGTGAAATGGACTTACATTCGGTTTTATGTGCTTGAGATATTTGCAGATCTATTCCGTGATGCCACCCAACATTACTGGCAAATAATGAAATTCATTTTTCAAATAAAAAATCTAGACGCCGTGCTCATCTCTCCCAGTCAGTTTACCTGAGTTCAGGCGAACCCGTGCACCAGTCGCAGCATCGATTCGGCCGACCTCTGGGCGAGCAGCGCTCCTCCCGATTCGCTAAATCGGCAGACTTCCAAAGTCCCAACTTGGCGTTCGAGGCAGACCAACAGGCATTTCATAGTGGCAAGCTTAAAAAACACGGTAACACGCACCACCTCACTTCATTTTTATGCATTCCAGCGAGGGATTTACTGTTAATACCGCGTTGGTACGAAACCCATTTGAGCACTAAGTAAAGTGCTTTGTGTATGACTGGTGCCTCCATTGCTAGTAATGACACTTGATGTGACGCGTTTTAGCTCCAAAAATATAAATAGTGACTGTGATTTCGCTGGTTCGTGTTGAATAAATATGCATGACTGCGATACTCGGTCTGCCCAATTTTCTCTGGCTTTTAAATTGCCTCTTTCTTACATGAAATAACATTCGAACGCTTGGCTCAATCCTCTGTGTTTAGTTCTCCAACCATCAGTAAGAAGAATTGCTCTTATCTACCTTGCTTGTGTTTTTTCCATGCCTCTTTGAAATGCTGACTCTATATTTAGAGTGAATGAAAGCATTAGATCTAGGCAAAGAGTCGAAAATTCGTGACTAGATAGAAAAAGGACTCTCCGATTTACTGTCTTGCTTTAATTATCAGATGGTTTGTATGTAGCAGAAAAGTTTTCAAAGTAATTTTCTTTTGGGGCAGATGCTTGGAAGGTAAAGATTTGTTGCAATTTTAGTGTTTATTCTGCGTATAGTAGAAAAGTTTGACATGCACCCATCGCCATAAATGCTTATGAATATCGTGTTCATACAGAGCCGTTATCTGACAAGAATGAAATTGCAGTTAGGCATGGAGAAAATGATACACATGGCAACGCTACTAAGATGGACGTCTGTGCTTTATCATATTTTTGCCATAAATCTGTACCTTCTTTTAGGCTCGAATTCGTTGTTACAATGGCTTAAGCAGGGAGTTCGCAAAATTCGCAACAGTATACGCCGCAGTCTTAGTCGAGAGGATTGGCCAGCACAGTCGATGCCCTCTTTCCCTATGTTCTATCAGAACACTACTACCGCCAATTCCGTCACTCCGACCATGGGAGAGCATAAACGTCAGCCGTCGTGGAGCTCCAGAACCCACAAGAGCCGCAGTCGTACGGGAACAGCACGCGGCTCCAGTGGCGATGTCTATCCTCTGCACTCTGCTCTGCCACACATCGAATATGACCGCGGTAGCTCCATCTCCAATTTGCGTCGATGCTTGAGCCTCGCGGAGAATCAGAACCGCGAAATCGGTAGTGGGGCTGGTAATGTTGGACCCTTCTCCATGGAAGTGATCCCAGAAACTGAGTTGCAAACCAGTTCCCAGAACCTTGGGCCTTCCTCTTACCCCCGACGAGACTCCACAATGGAGCAGATTTTAGCCTGGCAACAGGGGGCTGCCTCTATGCTGTCACTGAATGCTACACCAAACGGAGTAAGTGGAGCTGATCACAGCTCGCAGTCAGGCTCGCGTCACATATTTCACGCACCGCCTTTCCCCGAGCCCACCGAACAGCGTTCCAGTGAAGCGACCTTTTTTGACACTCGCAACGAGCCCCTGCCGAATAACAACTACATGGCTCGCAGCGGGCGAGATTCAGGTTTCATAGACATACCTTCTCACCAGAACTTTGCTCAAATGGACTCGTCGGCTTACTCTGTCATTCACTTGCGTCAACCCTCTGAGCCAAGAACACAGGAGACTTCCGATGTGAAGGAGATTACAGACGCATTTGAAGGGCTAGCGTCGGATGCGCTGAAGGGTTCCAGTCCACTAGTGTCCACATCCCCGCTTCAAATGCCTACCTCGTCCCAACAGATTCATGGGATGGCTGAAATAGGTGTTGATAACTGGTGGACAGCGGGTTTTGCTGCGATCCACCAAAATCAGCAGGAGCAGCAACAACAACGACAAATTAGTGTCAACAATGCTGCCAATGGTGGCGGCGTTTGTCAGGACTGGAATGTCTATCAGAACGGCATTTTTGCATCGACGAGTGGTGAGACACAACCGCTTCAGGCAAAGTAGAACGCGTGTAGTAGTCTGACCTTATCCACCATTTAAAAAAATGGAACAAAGTGCCTCCCTTTTACACAGGCATGCTACTAAAAGGCCTGCCTGCTTATTATTACCTGTCTTTCGAGAGCCCCTTTCCGACAATCAAAACTTCTGCTGTTTAACCCTTGTTGAGCCCCTTGCAATGAACTTCTAATTATTATCAGATCCATTTCTGCTTATAAAGATACAAGAAACTATTCTCCAAGAGTTGGTTTTACCAAAAAGATATGGAGCCGCACCTTTACTAGAGGTGGAAAAAGTCCATTCATTTCACAAGTTTATTGGTGAATTTCGATCAGGCAGGAATGGCTCCGTCGATGGCGTTCATGCCGCTGATAAGTATGAGAAGCGGAGGTGTTTCATGAAATGTAGTTCCATAGGAGTACGTGTAAGCTTGCACTAACGTTTATGTAGTATTATAAGAAGGTAAGGCCAAATGCAATGCAAGTATGAAATATGTGTAAGGTCTGAGTGGGGTTATGGCCAGAAATTTTCAAGCATCAGATCTTAAGGTGGTAATGCTCCCAAACAATCATAGTGCAGGTTGACTTACAGCTAGGAACGAGGAAAAATGTCTATTATACAAGCTTCATAAAATTATTAACATGACTAACATCCATGAACCTAAAACAACCAACAAAGGTTTTAATTGAGTCCTCCAAGATTTGCTAAATGAAAAAAAGATACAAATATGGAAAATTAAGAGAAAAATAGTTGCTAAGTAAAAAGCAATATGTGGTCGAAAATCAAATTTTGTATTCTATTGGAATGTTTTTGCGACTACATACAGGGATTTGCAAATTTTTTAATTAGCAGGTACCTGGGTTTGCCCAGATCGTACGTCCGCCCAGCAGCGTGGCCTTTGGATCATAACGGTGGTCGTCCAGCCCTTTCTTTGGGGTGGTAATACGTGCCTCTCGCAGTACGTTGGTTTGTTACGACTTTGTGGAAGACAAGGGCAGGCACATAACATAAAAGATGTTGATGGGAAGTGCTATTGGGATCATACCTGGTAAAAGTGGCATCGCTTATAAAAGCCATGATGCTCATAATGAATACTTCCACGTTGCCAATAATTGACTTTTGGCATTCTTGACTGCTACCGTTAAACATATTGTGTGCTGCAAATTAATCGTAAAGTCCTGCTTTAAGCATATGAAAGCAGAACGTGTATCTACATAAAAGTGTCTCGTACTGTCCAGTAATACTAGATTTTCCAGTCCACTTGCCGATTGTTGATTATTTGGATACTTGTTTGAACCACCTTCAGCCTTGAAGCAGCTTTGGATTTTTCAAGGTGACCCTTGTGAAAAATTGGAGACTGTCTGTTGCTTGGTGATTTTCATCAGCGTTTTTTAGTATTTCCAAGGCTTTACTATTCTTCTTGTTACCTTTTAACATTTCTACTATTTTTTTGGTCATTGATGCACTTTTGAAGCGTTTGTGCTCATGGTATTGTAAATTTGATTAGCTTTGTTGCTTTAATAAATCAAGGCAGTTTTCATTGACACGCATTCAAACAACTGTGTTCTTGGAAGTTAAGGGTTGCCCCTTAGTTTTGTACTCCAGTCCAAAACTAGTTGCTTTAGCCGATCGGTATTGTTATTGAAATGCTCAATATTTGCTTCAATAGGCTAGAACTTGTTACTTGCATGTGTTCGTGATTTCCACCTTACTTTTATTCAAGTCTGATGCAATTAAATTTAAACTATTGTCTTACACATTACTGGTCGTCGAATTACCAGGTCTTCGCCATGACAACTGAGTCGCCAGGACTGAGACGACCTCCACCCAGACCTCCCAAATCTCAATACCTTTTGAACAGAGAGATTGAAGTATTGGCTGCGAGGCAAGCTGCTTCCCGACTTTCGTCAGTTCCTTATCCCAGAGAAAAAAATCCTTTTGGGGAAAGTTCTGGCGAAGAATCAGGCACGTGTGACACTAATTCATCACCACCACCGAAAACTGGCAAAAACCCTTTTGCTGAGTGTGAATCCGATGATGAAGAGCCTGACTCAAGGTCTGAAGAAAAACTAGCGACCTATGGTGTGAAGGAGATTGAGAGTCCTATCAAATTAGCTGAAGTGAATAAAGTGTCTTCTTCGAATCCCTTTGATGTTATAACCGACCCGGCGGAGGAGGGGGCAGCAGAGATGGGGTCACATGAGTCTTCCCCTCCTTCTCATCCGTCTCAAAATGCATTCAAAACTGTAGGAGAAAGGCGAAATAGTGAAGAGAGTCCGATTCTTCCAAGGCTTCCACGTAAGCGCTTAGCGCCGAAGCCACCGAGATTACAATCGAATTCCATGGAGGTTCTTGTGACTGACACAGCCACTGCTAGCACTTGTATGCTGCCATCCTCTGCGTTGCGTCTCTCGCTACGGGGGATGAATGAAATTGCTGTGAGGTCCTCCCCAACTACGTGTCGAAAGAACTCCACTTCGTGTGAAATCGTGCACACTAAGGGCCCCGCGCCACCACTGCCAGTGGCAGAGAGGCGGGAAATTCGGGCAGAGGGATTCGTGAAGTACCCCAAACTGAGACGCGAGATTGAGGAGGCGAATGTGCGACTGTCCCAGTATGATGGTGAAATTGAGGTTTGTGAGGCCAAATTGAAAAGTGGTGAGTTTTCTTATGGATGTCAAAAGTAGTACCATAAAGGAATTCCTACTTCCTGCATCTTTTTGTAATTTTTGAACATGAACCACCTGTTCCTGTTTCAAGTTTGTACTTAGGCAACTGGTAATTTTTACTTACGACCAATTAGAACATTTCCTTTTAATCATCAGATAAGTTTACTGCGAATCATTGCTATGCATGCTACTTTTTTTCTGGAAATGAATGGAAATGTTACCAAAAAGGCCAAAGTTGGCCTTTGCCGGAAAAGTATTTCAGTAGATATTATCCTGTTGAATGTATTTTTGCTTTATATCACCTTGCAGCTGGAGACGACCCAGTAAAATCCAAGAAGTATACAAAGAAGCTGGCGAAGCTGAAAGGGAAGCGACAGTCAGTGGCTAACAAGCAGAAGGAACTCAGTAATCGGTAAGTAGTTTTGTGAGATCTCCTGCGTTATACCTAGTAAACTGTTTTGCAATTTCGTTAGTTTAATGATTAATCAATTTACCCTTTGTGTTTACAATAGGCTCTAGTGTGTGGATGTGTGATAGGTCTGACATCTACTTAGATGCCTTCGCTCTACCACTAAAGGTGGGAAGACCTGTAAATCCACGTTCAAATTTCTGCATGGAAAAGTGTTAGTAGTTGCTGTCGGCATGTGAAGATTAGTGTGAACCAAATGATGAGATCGTGGATTGCTGAAAAGTTTTGACATTCATCAATTAGAAGACATATATACTGATTTGGTGGATTTGGATTATTTATTTATTATTTAACTCGTGCCCTTATAATGCCACTATTTCGCCAACAGTTTGATTGATTATTTTTAATGCTTTTGGGTTAAATTTCCCTATTTATTGTGGAAAAATATGGCAAACCTTAGCTTATTTCAAATTACTTATGCTCAAGTGGACAAGGAGTAATCAATTTTGTGTTTCTTTTGTTCAAATTTGAATCGCACAAATTTGTCTATTCACTCGGGCACCAAAATCCATGGACTTCAGATTAATTTAGATATCGGTTTCAACTTTTCATTCTTTCAAAGTCTGGACGTCTTCGTTGTCTCAAATCACAGTCATTAAAAATACTTATCTGTGCGATGGCCTTTTAAAATCGTTTCCCCTAATTGCTATTTTTGTATGTATGGGATCTACACCAACCTCACTGTGAAAATCCCAGACTATTCCACCTAAGACAAAAGGACTGGTCTCTGGTACAACTGATAAAAGTTTTTTAAGGGCATGACCTACCAATGTATCCCTACGCACAACACTTGCTAGCAAAATGGACTTATTTCTTGCTCTATTAATGCACGATATTTTATCGTCGTTTAACTCTTGTTGAAACATTATCATTTTGTTTTGTCTAAAACTAAATCATTGCTCTGTATCCTCTTTTCAATGTGGTTTCCCATTCACACCGCTAGGCTGCAGGAGCAAGTGCTGGAGGATCGGCACGCCGACTTGGAATACGAGTTGCGTGGTATTCTGGCCAAGCAAGGTAGACGAATCCTCACCTTCCCCCCTTTTTATGCAGGTGTACCTCCTCTAATTTCCTTTTCGGGCGTATGTTTCTCTTTCCCTTTTCAGCTGCTCCTATAACGGCTTTGCGTATGCTGCGGGATATTTGGAGGCTCTTTTTTAGACACCGTAGTCCCTACTAACCTTATGATCTCGTAAATATACCCTGTGCAAACATTTCACCTGAATGCTGCATTTAGCCGGCAGTAGATGTGTGACCGCAGAAGCACTCTCGTTTCATGGTTTTCTGGTTTGGAAAGCCTTGCCTTCGTACGCATTATTGGTTTCTGATACGTGTGGAGTCATGTTTCCAAATTGTACTTAGCCCTAGAAACTAAGCATCACTAACGTTGGACGTCCTAGAGATGAATTTAATGTAAAGTACAAAATGACCTGGCCAAAGGCTACTTGCCCACATCTTCCCACTATATTTTTGCACAAAACTGCATTTCTCATTTGGTAAAATGGGGAGCCTAAGGTGTGTTCATGACGCGGGTATTGGTGTACAGCTGGAAAGATGGGCTGGATTAGTCAAGTGACTGATGTCTACAAATCATCGCTTTGGCATTTTTTTGCTTCCGCTGCGAATGGTCGCATCGCTCTGTAGCCATAAAATCACTCCCTTTTTCGGGCAACTTATGCACTTAAACTGATTGCTCTGAATCCCTTTTCTATCACCAATTGATTGTGCTATGTAGTTTTGCCGCAGATGCATGGCTTTTAATGGCATTTTCCCCACCTACTCCAGAGGAGTAATCGTTTATCCTTCAATGTTTACTTTTCATAGACTACTCTTCCGGCTATGTAGTTCTCGAATTTACCTTTAAAGCATTTCCCTGGTGTCTTAGGTGCAACTCCTAGTGCCATGAGTCTTGCTGTGGATGTAAGAACTTGCCTTAATATTTGAGCGTTATCAGAGTCCAATTTAATATCACTTACGGGTGTGGATTCATTCGGTTGGTAGTTTGACAGGTTCATCTCTACGTCCCATTTGTCGGCGAGCGGATCTCATGCGTATGCGTGTGCGCCTTCAGGTGTGTCTGCCAAGACGGTATCATCCACCAGTCCTGCTGACATTTAGGTCGATCGTAGTTAGGCAGCCTATGTGTCAGCACTGGGCGTTGTTTCGCACTGGGTTAATGTAAAAGCACGTAAGACTTAATGTCTTAAGGATTGGCCTCCTCCGCGGTGTCTACCCCTTAGGCTTGGGGGATAATTACACCTTCCCTCTGTACCCATTAAACTGGTAGGTGGAATGGGTTTGTTTAGTCCTAGCCGGGAGCTCCTCACATCATCATGAGAATTTACTGCCTTTGGGTGGATGAGTTATTTGCAAATGCAAGTGCTTTTCACTTCCGCTAAGCCGTGACCGTTCGCTTGGCACGTGATTTGCGTTACGTTAACTACTGAAGTAATTTGCGTGGTTCTTTGTAATGGGAAACGTTTGAAATGTTCACTAATTTTACTGGACACAGCCTGAAGTAAATGGTCAATTCCTTGTGTCTGACTTGCAAGCACTTTTTCGCTCGGTGACGTTCTAACGTCGCAGCAGTGAGTTACTTATTTGCATGCAATCTACTCGACTGTAGTGGCATATACCTCGTTCTGCCGCCTCTGTCCTGACTTTCGGTAGGTCCAAAGAGGTTGATTAAAGGACCCTGATGACCTCATAATCGGACCCTTGCACAAAGCACTAACTAGAACTACTATTGGACGCAAAATTGAACGCCGATTTGACAATAAACGATGTGTTACTGATTTAATATGGTAGGGTAGCAAGGTGTTAATGATTTCGAAGAGCCACATCGGTTCGCCCAATGGATTAGTTATGCATGACTGATATGCACTACTCTTCTGTTTGCTGAATCACAAATCTTGGTGTAGGTTAAACTGAAACTTCTTTCCATTTATTGCTGGTCATTTCACCGTTTTCGATTCTCATCAAAAGTTCATTGAATGTGGATGGGAAAATCGACGTGATAAAAGCCCGTGATAGCGGTTCGAGTTGTCCTTTTTTGTTCGTTTGTCTGCAGAACATCTTCGAACAACCAAAGAGCAGGAAAGGGCGGATGAATTGCTGCAGCTTCTGTTGGAAATAGTTCAGGAGCGAGGTAAGCTCGTGGAAGAACGAGCCTCTCCAGAGAGGTAAGATTTGTCTCTGCTTTGCACTGGTAGCTCGCTGACACCTAATTTGTCGGCATGTTTTGTGCCAGAAAAGCCTAGTGATCACCCGCATTATCCAGCAAAACTTTTTTCCGCCTCTAATGATGATTTAATTCAGCCATGAAATAGCATGGCGGTTGGTCTTATCTCGACTATACGATCTTCCTGGCAGAATTCCACCCATGTTTATGTATACTATTTTGTAGAGCTCAAGCTAAAGGTTAATATACTATGAAAGTGATCGCTTTTTTTCAAAGAACTGTGAGCGAGGACACTAACAGCATCCCAATCTGGTTTAATGATACACAGAACAACCAACTTAGTCGTGGCGTTCTAGTGTAATGAAACATTCATTATTAAAACCAATTAACACATCTAGTCCAACATTTCTGCAAGATGCCCGATATGGTTGCAAAGGAAGTTTTCTTGTTTAATAGACGCTTTATTATACGACGGTGGGCACTTTGGGGCTTGGGGATTTCATTTGTGATAGATGGTGATAGTCGTTACCGACTGACAAATCACTCCTTGTATGTAAATGGAAGTTGAGTTGGATTGGCAAAAGACGGATCCTAACTCTGAAGAGCACAAGAAGTCAAAGGCAACATTTGTGTTGGGGATGCGTGTCGTCACACTTGGCCTAGTCACGTGATTTTTTCCATTTGACCAACGAAAAGTTGCTCCAGCTTCATTCAGTAGGTATAGCAGAAAGCACGTGATACCACACAAAAGTTAGAGATAATTATCTTTGTGAAGTCCAATCTCAGTACAAGCCGTGACTTCGGTTAGTTTCAATTCGTACAGCCAATGGCTGTGGAGCGTTTTCGAAAGTTGGCGCCGATTTCAAACGCTCTACCTTAAGTGCATGTGTCCTCGTCTTTCTCGCTTATGACCTCAGGCAGGGTCGTCAGGTTTTAATCAAACCACGCTTTGCTGAACAGTACTTGCGTGTTTGAATGCCAGTTTTTCAAAAGCTGTTTTTACCTTGCATCACTATTCGGCTTGTTGGCTTATTTTGAGCCCGAAAGTACGCATCCACTAAACCTAAAGGCGACTTCCCTGATTCCGTTCAGAGCGCGCTGGCTGATCGTCGAAAACATTATTTTTGGCGGTAGTGACCTCGGGCTGTTGATCACGAGCTTTAAGTAATGTACCTACCTGGTAGCATCAACTTTATCCTTCCACAACTTCGTACTATAGTTATATAGCCTGTTTGTTGACTTTAAAATGCGGTATTTTTATACATGAACAGCCTTAGCACTTCATCACCTTCGTCTTCACAAGATCCCACCTATTTGTTCTAACTTTGTTCCTCTTCCCCTTTAGAAATCAGCCTCCAGTCCCCTCACCCGAGCCTCTTTCAGGTAATTTTTCCAAATCCGCCTTTATAAGCCGAAACGAAACAACTTATGAGTAAATTAACAGTACAATGCTTACACGTGATCAAATAGGCTGCTAAGCGCAATAATTAGGTAAGCTGTCAAAGAAGAACAAACAATTTGAAGACTTCCACCCCCTCGTATCCGGTTATTACTTTAAACCTTTCCGACTTGGAAGTCCAGGCCATCAGAAGCACGCATTTCTCTAACACGACCGTTCGTGCGTTATCATTGAGTCACCTCCGAGCCGAGGATTGAAAGGCGTATGTCATGGTACTGTTTACTCTAGCTATTTGCATTGCCATAAACCCCACGTGCCGATGAGTAAACTTCGTATGTTCGCATCAATGTGCGCGCTCTTGTTTGAGTAGACACCTACTTGATACATCTGAGCCCGCCTTTCAGTTAATGCGATTTGTCAATTCTGGTATTCAAAAGAACATAGGCTCATAGTTCGCTAATATTCATATCATTTCTCATTTTAGAAGGGCTCACTGTCGACGGACCCTCGGCCGATGTGATCAGAAGTGACTGGATAGAGCCCACGAAAAGTTACACTCGCAGAGTTGAATAGTGTATTAAGCGGAATTCCTCTTTATTTCCTATTCAAACGCTTCTGTTGCGCCTCCTCCCACTTCGCATAGCAACCTGAATGCTTTTGTCCCTTCCTTGCCACAAATGGATGCCCAAAATGACCTCTTACTGAATGACTAGCGAGTAGGATGTTTTCAATTGGTGCAAAATCGGGTTCTGGGCCACCTAGCCAGATTAGTTAAATAGCAATAATAATAAGGCGGATGTGGTGAGGATGGCTTCTACTTACAACATAGCTCCTCATTGAGATAATGCCCATTAGTTTAAATCTAACTTTCCGCACTGATACGGTACCTCCCCACTTCAAGACAAAAGAACCCGAAGATAATGGGCTACAAACAGCAGGCATCTCTTCCTCACAGTTGATTATTGAATCATTATTGTTCCTTTCACCCCTGCTATGGAGACCCACGTCTGGTTACTGCTGCTAGCGCTGTAACGACGGCGGTAGCAACAACGACAAAAGCGCCAAATAATTATTCAAAAGCGGCACTACAAGCAGAGGAAGTGCGTGTTGGTTGGCAGGCGGAGAGGCACGTGGATGAACAAGTAGACATATGGTTGGATGGGTAGACGAGGGGTAAAAGACCTTATTTTTACAACTTCTGTCCCTCCACGACGGGTGGTTGGGGCTCCGAGGAAGACCTGTTCGACTGAGGGGTGTGCTGGTGTCCAGCGGCCTCCGGCCGTGTAACGTCCTTGAACCGGCCAGTCGGATCACAGCATTGAGGAGGACCCAATGAGCCTCTGGCGTGACGGGAGGCGCATGGGAGGGCGGATGAGTGCGAGTGCTTTGAAGAGGTTATGTTGTCCAATTGCGGGGCTTTGGGCTGCTGCACCGCGGTCTGTGGTGCTGTTGTGATGGTGGGATGACCTGGAGCATCCACATTCGTGGACACAGAGAGGGGAGAATGGTGAGTTCGAAATGGCTCTCAGTGCTTTCTGTTTGGCATATCTCGTGTGATGTACTGCTCCTCCGTTCACACCAAATGCAGTGGCACTCTAACAACTTAGGGACGACTCAGGGTTCAAGGGATAAGCGCAAGATGCTATGCCTTCCTCCCTCGCTCCTTTGCTCCATCGCACAAACGATGCAACGGTCCGTGAGCACCCACCAACTTAGTTGGAATACCCTCTACGTATTCACCGTGGCAGTATCAACACGTGAAAACTAGGTGCAAGCGGGAGAGATTGAATAGCAAAAATGTCTCAGTCCAGGGACGGTATTTAACGTACCAGACATCATTTGTGCGCGAAAAGTGCAAATAGGTATTAAGATCAGCCCAATAAAAAGGTGATGGGTGAATTTTTTGTCTAGCCAAGTGCCTCCGAGTGGTTCTAGCCAATCGTATATTTAACTAGACGAGCCTTTTCAGTCTTCGACGATTCGGATCGCAGAGCTAAGTACATGGTCACTTAATCGAGTCAGTACTTCTTCAGAAATGACCTCAGCGCCACAGAATTATATGTTTGCTGAGGCGAGTGATATTACCAACGAGCTACAAAAAGTGAGGCAGGAGAATTTAAGATGCAAGAGAATAATTTTGCGTACCATCGCCAGTCTTGGCGTCGGTGACGTTGGCGGTGGCAACGGGTGGAATCGAATTAAGAGAGGCGTCAGCGGAGTGATGGGTGGAGTCAGGGGAGGGCTGAGGCGAGGCGTTGGTGGCGGTAGTGCAGGTGGCGGAAGGATCTGTGTAGAACCAGGGAAACTCCACACAAGGCGGAAGCGGTCCGGAGTCCGGCAGACAGGTACAGGGCTCGCGTCCACGCCATCGACAGTCATAGGCAATGAGCTCGTTCAATGACCGACCGTCGGGTGGAATGTTAAAACGCGCCTGCAGGAAGGCCGGCCACGGCACGTTGTGCTGCATGGGTGAGGTTAAAAAAGGGAAATCGAATGATAGCAGTCGTGCAGTGAGGCGAAGACATCATGTACAGACAAGTATCGTAACAGGTCCCGCAAATGCAGATCCATACCTGTCCGTAAAGACAAATCCATTCCGTCTAAGGGATCATAAAAGCAGGCTCCTTATATTAGCTAGTTTTTTAAACGGTGGTAAAGTACTTCAAGCAACTGAGGTATTTATAAATTTGGCTATAATGAGGTCAAATAAACGGAAGTGTATTTAGAGATTAATTAACCAGAAGGGACTCCTAACGCATTTAACGTATTACCAGAACAACGAAGGCATATGGGGCATTAGAGGTAACTGTCTGCAAAACCAATTAATCTTTACATTACCAGCATCAATGGGGGTCAACCGCGTCATGGTTGCTAAACATTCTGACAATAGACTTAAAATATAATGAAAATCCTAATTTCATGACATGCTGAAAACAAAAATTGTTCCCAAAGTAGCTCAGAAGACTCATTTTGAGGATGAAAACCAATGCGCTTTTCCCTCAAAATTGCTATTTTAATTAGTGTTAACAGCTTGGATACCATTTGAGGGATAGGTTGGATGCAGGCCATTGAAAACAGTGAGGGTACACCGCTGTGCGGCAGTTGAAACAGCGCTGAAATTAAGCATTATTAAAGTCGGCGATAATTCTAGTAAGTGGTTTAGTAGAATTGCCCTGAGGCAACATTCAAAAGCCTACTTTCTTCTCGGGAATATACAGGACTGCGGACTGACCATCAAATACGACTTTATTTCCGCCTTTATTAATTTGATAATGCTATGAGAGCAAGTCAATTTTAGCAGAGATGAGCTGGATTTAGTAAAGTAACCCCGACCACATCCCTCAAAAGGAAATAGGACAATCAGTGAATTTATGACATTGGAGACCATAGATTTTCCATTCCATGCAGTGACACAACAAATACCCGGATTAGAGCAGCTAGGAGGAAAGGACGGCTTACTTGGAGATGTAGATTAAAGAGATCCTCGGGAGTGATTTTGGCATCTCGAGCTAGACTCTCGCGACAGTGGTAGCAGGGACAGGTGAGGTAGTTGGGCAAATCTACGCGATGGAGGTAGTCGTGTCGATCACAGAGGGCACAAGTGGCGTTCTGGGGCGCCAGAGCTCCCACATCCAACATCTCTACGATATCTTGATTGTTGAGCCGCGTAAGTGGGTTCGCTGGGGCAAGTTGCGGAGGATTTGGGTCCGAGGTTTGAACGGAGTTGGAGGATGCCACCACCATGGCTGGAACACCTGCACCTCCAGCTCCACCTCCTTCTGTTACCACTGGCTGTCGTACTGAAGGGGGTGGTGGCAGAACCTGCAGATTACCGTTCACACGAATAGGTGCCTCCGATGCCTCTAAAAGTGGACAGTTGCATTAAACGATTTTATTGTTGCTTTAGACTATCGCGTCCTCCGATAACCTTAAATGATCTGGTTTCGGCCTTGCAAGTCATCATCAATTTGGGGATGGTAAATTTCGAAGGCTATGGTTCAAGCGATTGTATTGAATATGCTTTTGGTAACCATATGCTATACAAAAATACGATAAACGGTGAACTGGTGTCGCCTCAGATATCCCTTTTTTCATCCACAAAAAAGCACTTTCAAAGGCACGCATACGCCGCAAGACAAAAACTCTTCTTCGCTATTTTTGAAAGTAAAAAAAGAATTTTTTGCACAGTCTGGAAGAAAGGTGGGTGAATCGAACGGAAGGTAACAATTTGACAGCTAAATAAATGGTATACTTCTAGCTTTGCATAAGCTTAAATCCCAAAGAGTAAAAGTCGACAGATATCAATGGGACACGGTACAAGAAAAAAAATACACTACTATGGCTGCAGATTGGGAGAGAAAAACCTCCTTTACGATCACACCGGAAAGATATTTGATTGTGAAACAAGGAAAGGGATGAGAATATTTACTAACCCAAACAGACGTGGTGAAGATCAACCCCGACGTAAGTAATCAAATTGTGGTTCAGGTAATAAATTAAGAAAGAGAAGTGCTGTTTTTAGAAAGTAATAAATCTACGTATTGGACACTAATTGTCTGAAAAAATATGGCCAATTTTTGAATACTTTGGTGTTCCATGCACCCTGAGTCAAGGAAACAAGGACAGATGGCGTTATGATGCAGCAATGTTGTTTCTAAACGAGTCTCATGGAACAAGCCACTTAACTGAGCCACTCACTATTCCAGTGTAACACTAAATCCAAAACCTTCGCACTGTTAAGCTTCATTTCTGTCAAGCAAATAAGATGATTTAGTTTATTTAGCTGCAACTATCACTGAATGATATTCGTATGTAGGGCGGTGGCAGAACTGGGCAAAAAGAGACTGAGTTCAACCGTAAGTGAACTTCCGAATCCTCAGAAACATTGGAGAAGAAAAACAAAAGCCCAGGTGTGTGAGATGAAACGACAAAACAACGCAAGAGCTCGGCTGTGCACAGTTCCTACTCAAGACACTGTTTGATAAAAAGATCGGCACATAGAATCAACGCCTCACCTGCTCTGTCAGTGAGCTCGTGTGGACAAGAACCTGGACCTTGCTGTGAGGGAGGCAGGGAGGAGCGACAAGGATCGGAGGCGGTTGTCATGGCACCAGAAGGAAGCAAGACTGGTACTGCAGCCGCCGCTGGGTTGGCATCGATCAGTTCAGCCACTGACGCGGCAGCAGGAGCAGTAGCATTATTCGGATCTGCTTGATTAGCCGATTGCGGTGCCGCAGGTGTCTAAGGTGATTAAATATGCAGTACAGGCATACGTTTTTGGCCTACTTTGATAACATTCAATTTAGTGGATGAAGTGAGAAGGGGAGGCAAATATGCAGTTAGTGGTGAGAACGTGACTTGACTCAGCTGATGGTACTAGATGATTCAAGCCGATGATGCATGGAAGATGTACGCACTTTGGACATGAATCATAAAATACACATGCTCCCATGTAAAAATGAAGCTAATATTATGTGCAAAGAGGCCTTTTCTGGACTTTAAATGGGCTGATCAGGGCACTAGTGTCAAGAGTTGTAATTAACTTTGGAGTTTACAATTTCCATTTGAAAATACTTTAAAAACACTTGACAATAACTGATAAATCAAAACAGTTTGAGATGAAGGAGGCAGTTAACTTAATTGACTCCCAAGATTGCAACATTAGGGACTTGTAAAGAAACAACTAGCGGCGTGGCGGGGAACAGGCTCAACAGTGAATTTTTGTTATCATCAGTCGCATCCTGAGGGTGAACATTAACAGACGCATATGACCACCAAGACGATACAGTTATAAACAAGGGAATGAATAGCACTACCACTGAACAAGGGCGAATCACAAAGCAAATCACATTCTTAAGTAAAGCGGTAAATGGACGATAACAGCACTAAAACTGCTATCCACCTTCAAGTATACGAAAAACATTTGCTAATTGACCATTAAATTTCTTCACTTCTCGTTCACTAGTTGCGTGAGCGGCAATCGTTGGTTTAAAACCGAAATTCACAGATTCGCTTTGACTTACCAGGGGACAAACACAGCCAGTGTCAAGACCGCTTTACTACAGACTATTTAAGGATAATTCAAATGGCTAATGCGAGAAAAAATCGTTTCAAACATCTGGTGAGTGCCTCTACCAAGCACATGGTCACACCGGATTGTGCTGGAACACTCACGGCTAATGAAGCACAGTGAGGTCAAGTTTAACAGTTAGTAGAAAATTTTCCGCCGCAAGAAAATAAAGCGAATGGCAATGCTTAAACCCGATTAGTGGGCAAAAAAGGCGTAAAAGTACCTCTGAGGCAGTGACCGTGTGGGTAATAAACCCCGACATTACAGAGAATGATGGGAGCATTTTTTAGCTTAATAATTCATGCATCCAAATAAATAATGCTGCAACTACGAATTAAGTAGAGCTAGGGAGTGAACGGTCTAATTTAGATCAGGACGAAATGCAGGAACGGCAATGAAGTTTAAAACTGCCCACTGAGAATAACTAGTGAATAGGGAGGCGAGATGATAAAATTGCCAATTCAAAGAGGGGGAATGCCACATCAAAGAACCGCTCTAGGAGGACTAGTAAGCGCGAGACTTAATCATACACTTCGACACTTAGTTAAGCTATGAAAAAACTGGATACTAATATACTTCCTACTGCTGTCACGGAGGTAAGACATTGGGTTCATTCTGATTTGCATCAAGGTTACTTTCAGAGACAGCATTAGAAACACTTTACCGGCACCTTTTCATCCGCAAGTCGACTTTTCCAAGTAAATACATCAGTAGTTTAGGACTGGGGTTTTGGTCTTGAGGAGGAAATGCGTTTAGAATATTTAAATGCAACAGTCTGATAGAATCAATTACCAAAATGTTGGAGAATGAACGAGGTTTTGACATGGATCAAACGATCTTTACATGGTTACAATATGTGGGGAATTTAACGTCCAGAGCACAGCTACCACTTAAATTATGCAATGATACCATCGACATTGATCATACAGTTTAAAATGGCGATTGACAAGAGGGTATTTGCACAGCGGAGCTAGAGTTAAGTGACATTCAACTTTGAATCCACCAAGAGTGACCATTTAGCGATGAATTAGAACGTATTATGAATAAAGGGAAAAGCACTCTCGCGCAGCAGAGATAATGATGAAAAATAGATCTCTACCTCAGCCTGCTGTTGCGAGGATGCATTAGCATTAGCGGTGGGTATTACGTGAGCAGTACCGTTCGAGGAGGCTCGCGCAATCAGTTCTTGTGCCTGCTGATGCAAATGCAGAGTGACCAGCTTGGAGTAAAGTTCCTGCGCGTAGATGTTCCCATTACACTGGGGTGCGTAGCTGAAAGAAGCAGGACGAAGAAAATCCAAGCCTGTGAGTTAAAGGTACAAAAATGCTTCGCTGAAAGAAAAAGCAAGAACAACGAGCAGGAAGGTGGTATAAAGGAAGCACGAGCGATGGATGGGGAAACTAAAGAGAAGGATGAATCAGCGCCACCGGATTTAGAGTACTGAGTCCAGAGACCGAAGTCGGCAAATCGTTATGCTGCGGTTGATCAGCCGCCTGTTTTAAGCGAAATCACTTAAAATTGAAATTGACTCGTAATGAGGTACATTTTGGGCTGAAATGCAAATGCCTAGAGAAGTATAAAAATCCTTGATTGAACGCACACGGTGCATTATCAACAAAGCGAGGAAATGAACAGCATAGTGGTGACAGCTTACTGGCATATAGTGGAGGAAAAAAACGCAGGACTTGCGTTCAAGTCTGGGTGATGGAGCATGCAAAAGCGAACCATCTTTAGGAGACATCTACGTTTGCGTCACAGAGACTCTACGCCGTAAACCCCAGTTCTTCAAAACCAATCATTTAGTTCATCTACTTTTGGGGATGATGTTTTTTTCTGCACAACAAGCACAACCTTCCCACTCGCATTTGAGATTTACAAGCAAAAATTTTGTGACAGCCGCGAAAAGCAGATTCTTAACACGAATCGACGGTTTAAATTTTCATCTGAATAAATGCAATCTTTTAACAAGCAGTTAGTAGCAGCTCACTGACTACTTTACTAGAAAGGATTTTTCTAACTATTGAGAATCGTCACGTTTCGTATCATGCTTTAAATTGCCATGAATTAGAGAGGTTAGGATTTCAGCATCAAGTTTGAAACGGTGGTGGAAAGTGTGCCAAACGTGTTGGGTTTCGATTCTGTCCAACTAAATTCTAAGCCCTCTTTTCAAAGTACACACGAAAATAGTCAGAGGGAAGGACTGGTGATTAGGGGTCCTTTGTCTACAAGTGACAGGACACGGGTGCGACTTACCAAGGGTAGATAAGTTCTCCCTCCACCAGAGGTATGTTGTGTCGTGCCATGGCGAGGAGTCGAACAAGAATGCTTTTGTCACTGCTACTTAAGCACTTGGATCCCTCAAATAGATCTGCTATCCGGTCGTAGTCATGCCATTCGTGTTCCAGCACTTGAAGATAGGCCTAGGAAATTAAAAAAAGCTGTCAATAAGACATTTCCTACTTTACTATTTACTGTACTTGTCCACATTCAATAATGTCCCCTACTAATAATCGCAACCTGAAAGAACTTCAAATGCTTCAAACGTTCTAGCGTCGGCAAAATGGGCTTTGTGGCATGACACTAAACCGTTCCAATTGCATAATTACAAAACAAAGGATCAGGGAGATGTTTAATTTATTAAGCACTTTTGTTCAATGCGATAAAAAGTTAAGATTTTCAAAAAAAGTGGCAATAGGAAACGCCACAAACACTGCCACATCATGATCTAGAATTCTCACTAAGCAATAGGACGTTCGCATTTAAATACATCACTTGCCATTAAGACACTACACTAACCACTTGAGAGAACTTCAGTGCCCCAAAATATTTATCAGTGGTGAAATAGGTCTTGAGCTACTGCCCTATTACACCCTGGTAATAAAATTATAAGTAAATTACAAATAAGTCATTTGTCGAATTTTCTCTCAGCAAATCAACGGAGTGACGAGAATCGTGAAGTCCAAAAACGAGAAATGATGGTCAGAATTGAGGAGATGGTACACATGAAAGTACTTATAAATTTGGTTAAGTCTTGCGACTTCAGAGACAACTGACAAAAGCCAAGGTCACATTTGAGCCCATAAATTCAAAGAGCCTTGCTACATTCAGTTTTGTTTATGACGAGATAAACTAGAAGCCAAATTGTTGCCTACTTCAAACTGTCGAAAAGGAAAAAGAATGCATACCAAATTACCAAAGAACTGGAGAGTGAAGCAAGTCTATTTACAGGGAAGAAACATGCATCAAAGTGGTTCCGAATTTAGGGGTTTTCCAGTTAGTGGAAGAATTTCATAAAAAATGACAATGAAAGTATCTTAAAGCAATCACATCACTGGGGCGACACCCAAGTCAGCAATTGACAAAATCATAAACACTTTTCGCATGGAGTGGAGCAGGAACCACTCACCTCCCGTTTCAGCCTATCCTCAACGAACCACATTTGCACATACACTTGCCAACGTCCCACCCCAATGTAGGCGTACTGACAGTGGGTGAAAAGTGCAGGTGTGGTGGGCGACTGAGTGGGCGGAGGGACATGGACAACTTGAGGGGCGCCATCACAGCCCTTCTCGGTGCCCTGTACACCACCCTTAGCACCACTTTCCTCATCGTCCTCGTCATCATCATCACCATCATCATCGGAGTCGTTCTGGTCATCATCATCATCTTCAGAGATCTCGGCATCGCCCTCCTCATCCTCTACCACATTCATGCCTGCCGCATTGGCACTGGAAGCAGCAGCTGTAGACACAGCAGCGGTTGGATTGGTGGTAGAGGGTTGCAGAGGGACCACATCCACGGCCGAGGCAAGGGAGACCGCTGCGCTTTGTGTCAGGGTAGACGCAATGCTGGTGTGCGGTGTGTGAGGTACGTTCTGTGCGCGAAACATATGATTTAGATAACTCTTCGGGACGGGAAGATCCCGTGGTCTGATCAATATGAAGAGCAGAACAACCAACGATTGTTTCATAACAAACACCGATACTTCGTTTTAAACCGAGACATTATAAGGCAGTCAAGGATGATCATGGCTTTGTTTCATTCATAAACACGTCAGCACTCGTACATTCACCAGTCTTCTGAACGAGACTACGGTCCTTCTAAAGTGATTGCAAAGAACAGCTAATACATAATTCTACACTGCATATTAATAGCGCTCATGCATAAAAAGTTGAAGAAGTTCTGCGGCCATACGCAATGGGTTTTTCCTATGAGTTACGAAATGTTGGATGCTCCCACCTTTTGATGCATTTAACATGGCGTACCGTTTATAGACGCTCAGACAAGATCCTAACACTCAATTTAGAGAGGGCTGATAAATGCAGAAAACAGATGACACTAGCGGCACATCCTTTTATCCTTTTATCTACCTTAAAAATAGGGTTGCATGCACCAGTCACGAGATGACAAGTGGTTGGAAGTCGAATGAGAAAATATTTGCCTAAAGTAATGCTATACACAATTAACAGAATCCTTTGTTAGGCATTCTAGACAAAACGGCTTTACCGAAGCAACGAAATTTAATCATCCAGCAGGGATAACGGATCTAAACAGTTGTTACATGGCAATAAATACCGACTCAGCTGAATTCAGTGTAAGTCAACGTTAATAATCAGTGTATTAAACGATTCACTTTCTAAGGAACTAAAAAAAAAAAGTACAATCATGCTTTCCCATGCCATCTGGACGCGTGTAAAGTATTTCACCGCGAAGAAAAACGCCAGAGATGTGGTAAAGGATGCGAGAGAAAATACTTACACGATTAATACCTATGCAAAAGCTCGCCAAACTAATACATTTACTTTACTAGTCGGTGCACCTTAAAAAAAGTGAGAGTATTATTAGGCCCCATCGAGGCGATGTCAATGATAAGCTTTCTGAGTCCGCTTAGAGGAGGAAGTAATAACTTCAACCAATTGATTAGGATAGTGAGGATCAAATATTCCAAATCGTGTTTACTATAAACAACGCTTGAAAATGCTTAGCATTAAGAATAAAGCATTTAGCGCAAAGGTGAACAAAAAATGCTCCGAATTAATGAAATCGGATAACCGAAAAGGAAAGGTTTGGAATGAATCAGAAGCATTACGATTTAGTAAGAATTATTGCTAATACTAATATCTACCTGAACAGGCGGTCTGGTGGTCGAAGCGTTCATGCCCCGTACAGCGGAACCTGAAGGATAAAGATGGGAAGAATTCAGTCATTCGCTAATCACCTCACCAAACACAGTACTTATAGTCCATACAGGTAAGCATTTTTCCGGTGTTGAAGTCCCAATTCATCGATCAACCTAAATCACTAGAAGTTGGTCGTAGCATGCACCTCGAACGTGCTTGCTATCCTGCAAAATTAAAAAAAAAAACTCTACCGCTATATCAGTTGAAGTTGGACACTTCTGGAGTGCTATGGAAAATGATGTAGTGATAGAAGGAAAAAGTGCATAAATTCGACCGACACGTGGACGAGTATAGCAAAATCAAATCTTTTAAACCTCCTTTCTCCAAAAAGGATGCATTCAAGACGTTTAAAAAATATCCAAAGTATTCGCTACGAGGGTATTCATAGCGCCAAACTGAATACCAAAGCAACTACGACTCAAAGTAAAAGAAATAAAAACTACTAATTTTATAAGCCTACCCAAGGGACAGACTTCTTCGGTTCCACCGACGCAAGCAGACTGCTGGGGAATACGTTTTTCACGGACATTTGTGGCAGTTTGTTGGAGCAGAGCGTAGGGCTGTTGAATGACACTATTCGGCGCGTTTAACACAGCAGTTGTCGCCGTCCCGCCGGCGGTACGCGCTACAGCATCTGCATTAGCCACGGGAGCCGCAGTCATACCAACACCTGTCAGCATAGTTTGCACATACTCCTTCAGCTGACTTGCGGAAATAAGGCGCTCTGCTAAGGAGTTTGGGAGTGAGCGGCGTCTCATCTCCGGATCGCCTGGCACTGACTCAAACCGCGCACTGACCACTAGCGAGGCCGCTGCTGCCGCTGCAGCAGCGACAGCAGCTGAGGCAGTGAGTGAGAAGTCGGAGAAGTTATCGAACTTTGTGCCCTCGGTGGGGAACTCGTGGGTGGTGGAGAGATGACGTGGCGGAGTGTCGGTGGTACTGATAACGCTGGCAGAATGTTTGCGGGAGGTGGTGGAGGAAGCAGCATTAGAGATCATCCCTGAGGAAGCAGTCGCCATGAGAGGCTGTCCTCCACTCCCCGCTCCATCAACCGCAGTAGTAGTAGTAGTGGTAGAGACAACCCCCACCGGTCCCGCCGAGCCCTCCTCTTCTTCTTCCTGTTCTGCTGCCACAGCGCCAAAGTGGTATCCGAGAAAAGGGTAGAAACCGTTTCTGAAAGAAAGGCGAAGACTCAAGAAGCTCACATAGGCGTTGAAAAATAAGATGAGCCGACGAAGAAAAAAATGTGAGAGCACTGCGCTATCATTATAAAAAGGAGCCCCACTTTAATTTTTATAGCTGCTGAGTTTATCGAAATGACAGCAGAACTAAAAATTAAAATAGCATATATAGCGATATTTACAGGAAAGGTAAGTACATGTAGGTAAAAATGGCTCACCAATTTGTATGGGATTAGCAAAAGTAAACTTATTTGAACAAAACAATCTCAAATGGAAGTACTTAGACGTCGAAATAATTCTAAACATCAAATTAGAAGGGCAAATAAGTGTGCGGACTATGTTTATGCTTTCCATTCTACTGTACACAATTAGATGAAAAAAAACAACACAGAAAAGCTGCATGCAAAAGGATAAAAAAAGTAGGCACTACGAATTGCCTTGTAACAACGGATCCACGAAATATGAAAAACGGGTTTTCGCATGCACACACCCACAGACAAGGAGCCGTTCAAGTCTCTAAAGCCGTACATAAATAACGCAGAAGTCAAGGGATTTAGCTAAATAGAATTTCGTCCACTAAATTCTATGCCTTCAATTAGAAAGGTGCTCGTACATCTACTAAACTACCCCACCTTTCCACGCAAAAGGCCAGTAAGAAGTTTATGGTAAGCTTAATTGACTTTTTCCATAAAAATGAGCTCCAAAAAACTCAAGTAAAAAGAGCACATATTCGTAAAAACATTGCGCTAGTGAGGAAATGTGACACGAAAAAAGCAGCTGGTTGGTACTACTTTGCCATACAAAAGACATTCAACAAATTTAGGAGCAATGGAGTTGAAATTTCGGTCAAGAGAAGCGCTGTGTTGTAGTGAAATTTAAAGCCAGCTGACCAGGTTAGATCGCGTAGATCACACGTCCACCACCAAGGTGTGCATTTCGTATACATGACTCAGGCCGAATGATTTTCGTTAATTGCGGCGATTTGGAACATAGCATCTACAGAAGAAGGCAACTTTGCATAGGAATGTTCGGAATGCTTGGGCAGAGGGAGAAAGAACCTAATTATAGACTTTCCAGCATGCTACAAAGCCATTCCAAATGGTATATGGGCATGTCTTTTGGGTGGTGAGATTGGTGGCATGCACCAAATGAAAAGGCACACAAGAGGCCGCATCTCTTTGTGTATGGGAATTGCGACGACGTTTTTCTGCCATGCTCAAGGTTTCTGAGATTGTCACGAGGTATTAAATTTACCTTAGTTATGCACCAAGAGAACCAAAAACCTTAGGCAGGTCTTCAGTAGCACGACTTCCAGTTCAGGCAATTATGGCTGTATATTTGTGAATGGGAGATATTTCACACCCGCATCATTGGAACAGAGGATCAAAAAAAAGACTTACGTGGCAGAAATTTTGGCCCGGGATTTTTATGACATGTAATTTAATGCTGCTAAATCATGAATCATCATAAGGCAAACAAAATTTAAACTAAACTATTAAACACTACCAAATATTAAAAAAAAAGATAATGGAGTAGAGAGGTGAAAACAAGGTCGACTTGGCCGGTGAGTCTTGCAAAATAAAAGTGAGGAAGTGGGTTGATTCGATTAACTCTATTCAACCGGAAGATTTAATGTCGATAAGCCCGGAAGTAGTAAGGGAAGGGAAAAAGAGGGAAGGAGAAAATTTGGGTGAATAACCGATGCGGATCAACATTAAGAGGACTGAGGAAGTGGAGACCCCATAATTGGTACGCTATTTCTCTGGTATTTGGGAAAGTTTACGATGTGCACTTTAAGAAAGGAGGAAATAAGGTTACTTTGCTTTTTATGTACCTTTGAAGCTATTTCAAATATCCCAACCACCTTTACAAAAGTGCGTAATTATGCTGAAACTGTAAAAACTACGATAATTTCAAGACAATTTTCTGGGGATATTGTCAGATTATGCTCCAGGTATGAGCAGCAAGCTGAAGTTTAATGAGAATAGTCAACAGACATAAAAAAACTCAAATCAGGTAAGAGCTGCTGCTGGTAGGGGAAGTAAGTCTAGCTGACTATAATAATAAACAAGTGAACAAAATGGCGACTTTCCAAATAAACATCAGCCATTAATCCTCGCGAGACAGGTAGATAAAATTGCTCATCTTATAAAAAGTTCAGAAGAGCTGATACTCGCATGTTTCTAAGGTTACAAAAACAAACACAAATTTCTATCTCTCCCTTTTAACTAAATATGTGTGGGTGTGTGCCCGGGATAACACGCATCCAGAAACCGACACTGATTGTCACGCGACTGAACGGTTTTTCGCAGTGAAGGATCTTCACGGCCTCGCATAAAAAAGCCATGGTCATTCTAAAGGCTTGGATGCTCGATTCACGTAGCGTTGGGGTAAATCTGAATAGTAACCACTTGAGAGGAATAAGGAAATCAGGCTAAAAAATACACCTTTCTTTGGCAAATGGATTAGTATCAGTGGTTATTATTGGGAATATCTCAAGATTAATTGCTTGAAATCACGGTACAATAGCCAAAGTTGAACTGAAAAGATTATGCAAGATGTGGTGAAATGCAGTTGTCTTAAAAAATTAAAGAGCTTTTCAAGTGCACTATAAAGACTAATGGGGAATGGACATGTGACCATACTAATTAAAGGCGGGGGATTTTTAAGAAAAGAAGCAAACTGTCATATTTCAGCAGCTGATCTTAATACTGCCTCACCCGACAATGTGGGAATAACAGTGATCTCATTTTACCGCAACGGACAATGAAAAGAAAAAAAAGGATTCTGGTGAATTAACCTCAGTCCGTTAAGAAAGAATAATCTTTCTGACCTCTATGCATGGGTAAATTTGAACGAAATCTGCATGACAGATTGAGACCAGGCTCATACAAACGCAACAGGCGTGAAGTTTGGCATGAATTCACAAAACGCCGAGCAGGTGGTTATTGTTTTTATCTGCCAGAAACTTACCACACAAAATTTAGCACGTCCTGATCACAACAGATGGAGGAAGAAGAGGAAGTAATATCCCAAAACGATTTTGGTTGGCTTCCAGTAAGATAGAACTGTCTGCAGTGATAGATGCCATTTAACGTTCAACTAATAGTGTGACAGAGTCAATGCGAAACGGCCTTTATCACTAGGGTGAGGACTGGCCGTGCAGATAAAACAAGGTAAGTTCGTACTTTGTCTTGACTCTGAAATGCATGCAAAAAAAACAAGCGGAGTCGAGAACGAAATGTAAGAGGGTAGTCTTCATTGCATTGCATTGAAGTGAATGCCTTTTAGGGCAAAAGTTGTTATGTCGAGCTATCGGAGAAGGATAATGGAATGAAGGATGGCTTGCAAGCGATATGTCTACGGTGGTAGGATGAGTTGCGTGTGTATAACTAAATACCTGGTCTCAAAGCCCAAAGAATACAGCAGTTTGGAAAATGCTTTAAAAACTGGTGAAAATTATCAAAACCCAATAACACATCATTTTTTGAGCTCTAATAAACCTAAAGCGAGCTGAAATTACAGAAAGGATTAATCAAATCAAAATACCCGCAAAAGTGGTGAAAATGCAAGTGAATTTGAAAGAGACTTTACAAAAGGGTGATTTAGTGCTCCTGCCAGAGGGACTGAAAAGAGCACAACAGGATACAATCAACATTTACGTTTACATTAAAGCGACGCAGAATAACATTTACCTAAATAGCGCAAATAGGCTGCATTTTTTGCCACTTTAGAATGGGTAGGAAGGTCCCGATTAGTTTCAAGCACCTTTTATTGAGGAAACCGGAGACGAGAATAAAACCCTATCAAGTTTATTGGTATGCAAAGTTGGACGTAGAAGTAAGATCGAAAGCATCTGCCATGGTGCCTATAGCAACAGCAACAACAAATACCCCTATTCTAAATTAGGGATTTCTCTTTCTATATCCTTGAAAAATATGCCGAAAGTGATGACTGTTAAAAAAAGCAAATGCTGGTACCAACAAGTGAGCAACAGAACCACAAATCTCGGGGGTCTTAAGAAGATAATCTAGTGGTCTGGCCTCACAGGAGCCCAAATCTCAACGCACGAGTTTCTAACCTGACGAAATTCCACTTTCTATCAGATTTCCAACGACGGATAATGCATTACTTCCTGACATTTAATGAAAAAGGAGAAAAAATAAGGACTGCTCTACCGTAGTCCACCAACACCCTCCGGTTGTGATTGCTATTAATCAGGACACTGATTATTTCAGCACAATACAATACAAATGTTTTCAGTACAGCAGATCCCTCTAAAACGGCCAAACAAGTAGGGGTTGGAGGCAAGTTTGGAACAACCATTGCCAACCAAAACACATGCATTTTCGGCACTTCAAATGGGGAAAAGGTGTGAAATCACACCACAGTGTACACAAACCCTCTACTTTCGGAAACATTATTTTCTGACAAGATAGAGGGAAACAATAGCCCGTATTGTGGTTGTAAATACCTAGTTTAAAACCAAACAAGGCTGGGTGGAGCGCGTTTAAAAGGGGTCAAATTCACGAAAAACTAGGTCGATGGGCAATTGAGTGAAAAAGGGGCGTCTGATGGGTGGCAGGCCTGTAAATTAGCGTAAATATCAATGCGAGGCATATGCAAGGTACAGAACAGAAAGTGGAAATACTAAGAGTACTAATGTCGTAAAAGGCGGGACTATGCAGCCGAAAAGAGACCTTAGTTAAACATCTCCATTTCATACCATTTTTACGCACATGTATAGACTCAAATCACAGCACCTATAGGAAGTGTTACCTTAGAACAGACTGACATAGAGGTAGCCGATTATGGGGACACTCACTTCACATCCTCGAGGTACTTAGAGGTGAGAGTGAAGTTGGAGCGATAGTCCTTCCAGGAGCGAGTTTTGGTCACCTGGTCAGTGAGAAAGGCGACATCCAGAATTACCGTCTCATCCTCCAAGTGGCTGATGTAGTCTCGCAGCAACTCTGCGAAATCTGTCGGCGCCTCTGCTTTCGCACCACCAACACCCGCGCCCGCGCCTGAACCGCTTTCAGCCGCGCCTCCTGGACCCACGCCGCCTGCACCTGGAGCCGTGTCATCCGGGGGCAACGATTTCACTGGAAACGGGAGAGAAAAGGCTCTGAAGTCACTGCTCCAACTTATGTTCAGAATCTACTGAGAAATGAGCTCTATTGTTTACGCAAGATTTGAGCTTTTTCGTTTTATTTATTTACTCAATTCATCTTTGTTTAGAGGAGGAACAAAAATTCTCGTTCAAAATAATGGAACAAAAAGGAGTTTAACGCAAGTGACCTATATGTAAATGAGGTATTGTAAACATGCACTGCATTGGCACGAACATTAAATACGCCTGAAACGTGAAAAACATGAGGCGAGCATGCTGAAAACAAATTAAACAGAAAAGTATGTTTGAAAAAGTAACCTTTATGAAAGGTTACAACTTAATTACTTTGTGTCATTCCAAAGATCTTTGAGTCCTTTAGTTCTTATCGAAACTTTATTACTCATTGAATGAGGCTTCAATTCTGTAGACTTCAAATAACAATTCCTCCAGGGTTCATTCCGACATTCCATTTGGAAAGGCCACAGAGGATTTAAAGTAGTAAATGATGGAATTGCATTAATAATATTATACAACATCTGCACATGATACTACAATGTTTATAATCAGATTGGAAGAAAGTTATAGTTAATGGGTCAAAACAGCTTGATTTCCGAGAGCATGAGAAACAGAACGGAGTAACACGTAATGGGCAATGAGAAGGCAAGATCTACTCAATTTACACCCCAAATGACCTTGAGGAAACAGTAAACTCGCTCCAGTGTTGGTGCTACATTCTCGCCCTAGTGATCGTGCGTCCTCACTACCCAATCGAACAGTACTGTTTGCATCGTCTCCCAATTGGTTGACCCGACTGGCTATCGGTCACACACGCCACCACCTCGCGCAACGCGCGCTGGTGTAAATGCAAGTCATCACAACTCATTATACCTCAGACTTATTCGGCTTTGCTTTGTGGCTAAAAAACTCCTGTCTTCTGCCGTCTCGAAGACTTGGCTGTGCGCAGATAAATAGGATACAGCTAGGCTGCAACAACAACAACAAAAATACCTTTAGCCTCCTACTCTAGAGCGCGTGAAAGTACAGGGAGAAAGTATAGGTGTACGCACATTTCAGGGTCTGGCAGCGTTGCTCCAGAAGTCAAAACTCTACCAATGTGGGTGGGATGGTACGCAAATACTCTGCCAACACCTACACCCACCAGGGGGAAAAAACACAGTGCTTCAGCAGCTTTTAAGAGTGAAAAGAAAGGGATGTGGATGAAAAGGCAATGTGGACATTTTTAAGGAGTGCAAAACTCACTCGAGGTGACAAGAACCTTTGCTGAAAGGAGTTTGAGGGTGGGAACCTCGGCAACGGCCGGGTGGTTGAGGAGCGCCTTGATTTTGGGACGGTTGGATGGATTGGGATCGCAACAAGCCTCGATAAAGCTGCGTTGCTGAGGGTCGGTAAGACTAGCTAGCATGACTTTGACCTTCTCCTCCTCTGAACTGACTTGAGTATCGATTGTCTGGGTCCAGACGGCAATCTGTAAAGAGGTACAAGATGCTAAGTCTTAGTACTCCAGGACGTTATAGTTTGATCTAAATAGGTCTCTGTGAAATCCATGAGTACAAACCTTTACACGTTTAAGAGCACAAATAATTATTTCCTTGAAATGAGTGATGAAAGACCGGTAAACTATCAGTGATATTGCATTGTGTATATGATTTAATAAATTAGGCCAAAGGTATGTCCGAATGACACTGAAAACGCATCAGCAGGAATGCTTCTATTACTAATGGGGCTAAATGAGTCAATATTATGAGAGTACAAATAATACGATGGATAAAAGACCACAGTAGGAGATACTTCCTCTCATCATTTGACCGTCCAATGTGATTTACTTTCCATTATCGAAAAAGATACGATACATCCAAGGTATGCAATATAAAAACGGAACTGAAACATATAGAAAAACAGCTTACTTCAAGGGCCAGGATACCGAACGCGTAGATGTCAGTGGCCGGGGATTTTTGGTCGAAGAACGCATCAAGCATAACTAAAACAGAGATGATTGAAACCTGATCCTCATACATGGTCCGACTTTAAGATTCCCTGAGCTCTGATAGTAGATCGCCTCCTTCTTCAAATTTCCATGCGTAACACCAAGGCGGTGAAGATACATGAGTACCGAGAGCAACTGACCAATGTGTCTTCTCCATAGCTAAAAAAACTAAGTGGTGCATAAGACATACCAGTTTGGACCTCGAGGTGGAATTACATAGAAATTGCTTCAATGTGCCGTCATCCAATCTCTCATTCACGAAAACCAATTTCCTGGGCCCAGAATCATTTTTTATTATCCAGGCATCCAAAAATCGAATAAGAAAGGGATGGGCTTGTTTTTTGAGCTTTTTTACGATAGTCAGAAACCTATTATCGCGTTCTGTCTTTTTTTCTGGCAGCATCCTCTCATTCCACATAACTTCCTTCCCTGATTTTGGTTCAATGGCGATGAATGTATTATCAACGCCACCAATTTGTGTTGGTAATCGTTTATTACGCTTGTGAAAGCGATTATTGTAAGATTTCTCGACAATTTTATCCTCCTCCTCCTCTTCGTCATCCTCGTCATCGTCTTTCTCATCATGTGCAGTCGAGGTTGTTACTGCAGCATCGGTAGGTGGAGCTTTTACATCAACCATGGACTCGAGCTGTTTAGACTCTGGTTGCTCTTCCATTTCATTACAAAATGCGACTAAAAAGCATATAAATAGGCTGGTCACTCGAAGCCAATAAAAGCCAGGCAAAAAGATGGGAATCACCGTGGAAACAAATTTGTTATAGTGACTACTGTAAATAAAATGCCAGAACCTTTACTATTAACAGCACAAATAAACATACACCACTATATAAAGGAATAATAGTTTCGTTCAAAACACCAAACATAAAAAGATAGGATCCCGACAAGGCATTGAGCAAATGTGAAGATGGGAACACGTAGTAGCTAGCGAATTGCTAAACAGCAATAACTTGTAACTCCGTGCTTCTTTAAGGAATGCGGTGCTAGGTCACCAAATTAAAAGTAAGAGCATTCAAAGTAGGATTGTATAAGCTACAGAGGTGGCAAATTTACAACTAATTACAGGTATATCACAATAAAGTGAAGTTTGCTACACCAACTATTGGCTTTGAACAATGCAAGTTTGCGAGTTAATGCTACGGACTAACCATTGGCTTCTATTCACAAAACTAGGACTCTTAAAAACCTATTCTGTGACAAATTTAGAATAGTTTGAAACATCTCAGCGAAAATTTACACACGGTTTGACAACATTTCATGGCATGTTCATGCTAATTAGTCCCTTGTACCAAAGATTATTAATTACAGACTTCATTTTAAAACAGAATATGATATTAAAGCTGCATAAATGTGTGACGAGATCAGCATTTCTCGACTCTTCCTCCTGCATCAGCATTTTGAAAGGAGGAGGCTGAGTAGAGGTGGGGTTTGGCTACTAAGTTGGCGCAGGAAAACCTTCAGGCTGACTTTGGTCGTGGATCAGAGTTTGTACGTGTAGGCGGCATTAGTTAAGTACCGAAGATGAGGCAAGCTGGCCATTTGTCGGCTGAAAAGCATGTACAAACAAACGTATTTATGTAATCTATTTCACTTACTACCCATTTTCCAATATGAAATTTATCAGATAACTCAACATGATTCCCCTGCACAATTTCACAGTAATTAATAGTTAGACCATTGGTTTTTCCGTTTAATAGTGGCGCCATTGACCCTTATTAATGCACATCTTTTGCCGTTAAGTTAAAGCCGTTGTTTTTTGTGCATTGTCTGACCCACTAGACCGCGTAGTGGTGTATCGGCTACTTTGAATTCGAATTAGCCTTTCACCGGCTCCCGTGGGTGAGTACCCCGCACTTCCCATCCCTTTAAAAAGCTGCAAAAAACGTAACCCCACCATCTACTCAACACAGCCCTTGATCGCCTTAAACTAGAATGGTGAAACAAATTCGGCTTCTTACAAAAGACATCCCGCACCATAATTGACCGCCACAAAACCCGTCCTAGCGTGCGCCTCAAGGGCTGGCTGAAGATGAACCTATTTCTGAACGTGAGAACATCACACGAACTTTACTAATAAGCAGTTATGCACAGGATAGTATAGAAACAGAAGAGTCTTTGATGGTCTGAAGAGTGCAGTTGTCGCGACCACATACAATAAGGTCGCCAGCCAAATCGAAGGTCCCCACACTGCAGTAATCCAGCGGATTCGACGTTACACAGGTGGCTGTCAACTTCTTCTGGCAGATCTGGTGGAAGGACCACGAATCTAGGACATTTTAGAAGGGGATCAGAAAAGTAAACACAGGGATGTGTCACGAGGGTGGGAAAGTACAGCGAATTGTCGTAGTGGCCGGAGCTACTAAATTACTTAATAATTAATTAGTCAAAAATGCCTCAACTATGCAAGTCCAATATATTTGTAACAGTGTTACGCCCATAAACTCCAAGCCAAACTCGAAACATCATGAGGTGTACGGTGTTTTTGGTGCATTTTACACAGTGCACGATGAACTAAAAAATGGGATATATTTAACTACGAAATGACTAGTCATTACAAATGGGCGACTTTTTTTCACCTCTTTCTCTAACGAAGACAAAAGTCACTCGTGAAAAGCCTACCCACGGAAGAGGGCGAGTGAATACGCATAAGACCGGCCTCTTCTGTAGCGAGGTAGAGAAACTGCGGTTCGTGCGGGTGAAAGCGAATCTCCCACACAGCACTACCTCGACAGGTGATCTCACTCAGTGGATGGCGCTCCTCTCGCAGGTCCCAAATATAGCTCGTAGTTGTGGCCGTTTTGCCCCGACCACCTCCACCACCGCTGTTGTCCACACCACCCACCGCCAATAAATGCGACTGACCAGGGTGCTGAGACAGACACAGCAGTGGCCGCGGTTCTCCTGTCCTGTTTTGCAAGCACAGAAACACACTTGGGCAATCGGCGTCGTTTGTTACGATCGCTTAGTTGGCCATGAAAGAACTTTATTCCAGCACAATTCAGCTACTACATTAGTGGGATACTTATACCAGTGGTCCCCCAGTCGAACTGCGCTTTCTGTAGCGACAGTTCTTGCCATAATATCAACTTTGTGCCCAGTCTAGTACGCAAAGTTAGAAAATTAAAAAGACATTACGGGATAATCCGTTTTTGAGGGAGATCGGATGTGTTCGGAGAGCGTAGATCCCAAACATTTAACTGTCCGAGTTGATTCGCACTCGCGATGCATGAGGCGTCTATCGACTCGATGGCGTTGATTGTGGACAAGTCAAAGCCAAGGGCTGCGACAGTTAGCTGTCCTGAAAATCGGAACACATAATTATTTAGTTTAAACACAGATAAACTATAAAGTCGACTTGGTAAGAGTACTGCCATCTTGGATGGCCACGAAGAAGTATCGATACGGGCTAAAGATACTGTGACTCACGTTTAACAGCAAGCGCTTCAGTGTCTAGAACAAACAGCTCGCCGAGGTCGTTGCCAACAAAGACCTGGAAGGCGTCAGCGGACACACAGATATCCGAGATGGGAACATCGGTGCGGAGGAGCTCATCCGCGGGATTGGAGGGAACCCGCGACCACATGCCCGCCTGGCGCAAGCGGAAGGCATCCCGTTCGGTTTCTGGCAGTTCAAGGCTGTAGATGCCCACGAAACCCATTGAACTACCAGTGAAGATGAGACGGGAATCAGTGTGCGTCTGAAAGAAGACAGCCAGTAACGAAGGGGTACAGGAGGTTGTTGACAAGATGTAAAGTCGAAACAACGACACGTAAAATTTTTCTACATCAGATGGACAATTTAATGCATAATCAGGTTTCAAAAGAAAATATAATGACGTTTGTAAGGGCACCATTTTCATGGGTAGCTAGAGATTGGCAAGCAAATAATGCGTATTTAATTTAAATGAGAAGTGGGGGGATTTGGTACGTGTACAAAACTCGCAAGATAAAGTCGGACGTTGAAAAGACGCCCTACACTTAACCTACACGAAGTAAGGCCGCACGGCAAAATGTGAGTATATAGGTGAATTAGGCACGAAAAAAGGCAAGTACGCAGACAAAAAAACTACTTGAGCTAAACATTACCAAACAACACAATTAAGAGAACATTCCCACAAGTAGCCGGAACCCGAAACAACGATCAGGCAACTATTTCCTAAATGGAATTCACGACCTCATCGCATGCACAAGCGATGGGAGATAGGAAAGACTCCATTTAGGCTTGAAAATATGCTTTGCACCAGGTACGAATGTGCAGCGCAACATGACCATTTCATAAAACACAGTTGGGTCAGTCGAGGATCAATCAGTCAACACGAAAAAAGTTAAAAGAATCCAATCTGAGTAAGCAGCAGTTTGGGGTAATCTAATCAAAGCCCACCATACACCATTCAGAGAAATGAGAGGAAAGCATATTTTTGCCAATACTTCGAGGACCACCATCGAATTCGCCTCATGAGAGCATTTAAATGTAAAAACAGTGGAAGCAAATTTAGGAAGTAAGCAATGACTGGAAGGTTCTTGACCTTACTAGAAAAACACTGCTTCTCCCATCCGCTTCCCAGCCACTATGACAACCTAGGCAGCAATCACACCCGTTGGCTGGAATTCGTTTAATTCCATTAGGAGCATATGCAACTCATGGGGTAGTGGGGTGAGCAAACAACACACCTTCAATTGTTGAACGCTACCCGTATGCACCGTAGAACAGACCAAGCGAGGCTCATCGGCTGAATCGGTGAGAGGTGTCGGTATTTCATTCTCCGGTTCGGCATTAGCAAAGTTCTTTCCGTACTCCGCATACCGATTATACTGCCATACACACACGCTGTTCACCTTAGGGGGAAAATAAGAATTAAAGCGGATTTAGTGGAATGGAGATAAAAGTTGAGTAAAAACACGCAAACGCTAACCTCTTCTTGGGTACTGCCAGTTACAACAAGAGGCTCAATTTGTGAACCGAAGACCGGAGAAAAGCGAACTCGACTTAATCGGAAGGAGAGGTATTTTTCTGTTACTGACTGGCACTGCGGTGATGCCATAACCCCTGAAATAAACACAAGAAACAGAAAGCACTAGCCGGATAGCATTCACTGTCTGGCAAAGTAGATTACACAGTCCCAGTCCATCCATTCAGCGTTTAATTAATGCAATCGAAAACACACTATTTAAATTTAAGCAAAACACTGAAAATTGACTATAAAAGTTACCCATAGAGATCTGATCAAATTTATGGGAATCGCATCATTCATGGTTGTGGATTCAGTCATCGCACAGGCGCACACACACAGAAATAAATAAACATGAAACGATGTTCTTTTACTTTTTTGAGATAGCAACAGTCATATCACAAAAATAAAACCTGTCAGATAAGAAAATGCATCGATCGTTTGGCCATGCCTAATCAAGGTCGGCATCATCGGTTTGGCTGGTCGAGGCATCTTGAAAACCGGTGCTCCTCATGGACACATCGCCAGCATCGGATGTAAAGTCACTCTGTTTTAGTCGCTAAAGGGCGATAAAAACAATATCGTAGTTGAACTATATTTAAATCTGTTTCTGGCCCTTCATGCTAAACCTGCATCTAGTCACGGTGAGGGGGATACAACTACACTATGCTGAGGTTGAAATCCCAGACTCGTAGATTAAGACGCCAGCAAAAAGCCTTGGAATTGCCAGAAAATAGAACAAATGTAAATACCTTTCATTGAGTTTTTTCAACAAAACCACTCACAGTAGAGATCATATCCATAATCACTTAAATGTGGCTCTGAATGCCCCTACGACACCAATCTGGGGACACAATTAACATTTTACCGGTGTTAAGTGAGATTAGATTGTTTGGAGTAGTAAAAAAAAACCTACTCTAAACCGAATGGTTTAAGTTAAATACTGAATAGAACGAATGAAATGAAGCGTTTATAATAGCAGATTTGCGAGATTTCCAAAACCCCCTAGACTGTATCGCAATGCGGCAGAGGCAAAAGCAGAAATAGGAACTCACTCTTCGAGCTTTTAGGCGCGGCCGAGTTGCCAAGTTATCACTTTCGTTAGCTAGAGGGAAAACAGAACTCAATAACAAGCCCACAAATAAAGGGGCGAAACATAGCTAGAAATAAATGTTACAAAATCGTAGCGCTCCTTTTTAACGTGCGAAAGATGGCGTTTTGCGTTACTGACTTGCACTAAATATTGAGATGCAACTGTTTGGTAAGCAATGAGTAATAATTGACTTCGCAGGGAAAAGTGCAGTCACATTTGCTGTTGCCGAGACTTATCACAAGCTTCTCGGGGGCCTGACACTCGCTGGTGGAGGGCGCGGACCCAGAGAGGAGCGTGAGTTGGAGACACAACGCCTTAGCCTCTTCACGGATCTCGGGAAAATCGAGACACTTGTTTATCGCAATCACCGCATCGTTATGGTGGCCATGCTTGAAGTGGTAGTTGGCCAGGTAACGATAGGCCTGCCCCAAATCCGCCTCGTTACTCACCTGTGCCAAGTGCAGAAGAGCAGGGATATTCAATGACCACTTTCAGTAATAACGTAGTGATTTAACAACCGGCGTTCCAAAAGGTGCTGTCTTTGGCGTGGACATGGTAATGTGAAATAGGAATTGCCAAATGTTTCATTGCTAGATTAGTCCATGAACCAGAGTCAACAAAAACCAACTACCAACGTTGCGAAAAAACCACGACCAACTAACGAAAAAATTATGTGCTTTCATAGAAAGGGGTCAAGACGGATAGTATACCGCCTAACCTACTCAACTAGGACCAGGTGGGTAATTATGCTACGGAGCAAACCGAGATCAAACAAAAAAGTAAGTGGTTGTGTCGAGCCAAATTTATTAGCCAGATTGGATGAAAATCTTCGTCTTTGACTTCGCGAATTAAGGGTTACAAAAGTGGGCTGTTGATGTTTAAAAGTGATGGGCAAAGCCTTTTCCAAGACGTGTAACAAAGAAGGCATTGCAACATTGAGCATGTTGCTGCCACTGCTGTTCATAAGACACGTAGCACACATAAAGCACAGTGTTGACATCCACTTATCAACTCGAGTTACTACTTTAGGACCGATCTTGGGATACACAAAAACACTACACAGAAAAGATTGTAATGACAGACGAAAGTCTACAACTGGGTGATCTAAAACCGAATCCACGAGGGCAAATCAAGGTTCATTGAAGGGTATAGGAATGGTTCGGGGGCTTCCTATTACGTAGAAAAGCCTTGATCGAAAAACATACCAACAAACCTAACCGAAGGCAAACCTTAAATAACTCGGCTGGTGCATTTGAGAATAAAAGAACTTATTGTAAAGGTCATGGACAGCTTGTGACATCAAAAAAGACTGTCGGCTTGCTGTTCTAATCCAGGTGGGTTTGATCACCAGAGCTCCTATAAACACAAAGGCAGGGTAAAGCGGAAAGAATAAGAAATTTTGAGGGGTGCTTTTGAGATTTATAAACAAAATTCAAGACCGCAGTATTCCTGACTATCAATAAAATTTGCTGTTAAGAGTGGTTGTCTTAAGGCGGAAAAACGAACTACCTAACCTCAAACGCAGCATTAGAGGGCAAGGCAGTGTTCACTAAACACATCAAGAGCGACTCTGACATTTCGGACCGAACAATGAGGCAAGAGATAATGGTCATACCCCTCTGGTCTCGCACTGCCTGATGAATTGGGTGTGCGCGGCAGCAGCCTCGCAGGACTCGCCAGACTTTTCAAAGCACCGAGCCAGAGCGGCGAGCGCAGAGCCTTCCATATCACCCACACAGTAGGCGCGCCAGAAACACTTCTTCGCGGCCTGCACGTTGCCTAGCTTCTCGTACATGTCACCCAGTGCCACGATCACCCTCGAGTCCGTCGGACAGAGGTACTGGGCACGTCTGAAAATGGGACAGGGAGAAGCTGTTCAGTGCGCTCTACTCATCTTGAAGAGAGTAAATTTACAGGCAATGCTGTGCGGTACAAATATTGTTTGCAAAACAGAATGAACCATTTACAGATTGAAATAACCTGCTACATTTTTAAGCTAATTATGCTCTATCGCTCCTACAGTTGCCAAATTACTTGTGTAAAGTTTCAACCCTAATAATGGTCCAGGGACGGCGGCCCGATCAAATGACATTCGGGTAGTATGCCCATAGAACAAGCAAGAACTACCAAACCATAAATTTTTTGCTAAATTTGTATTTTTTCGGTTTTGGTGCTGACACTCTACGCAGAAAAGTTGGAATTGCACAGCCTAGCTATCGCTTACAAAACAAAATAAAATCCTAACCATATGATCTTGACAGATGTATAATCAAACACCGAAAACCATTTTAGACTAAAATTGCTAGTGTGGGCATGATCGTAGCGGTCAATACTAAGGTAATAGACCTCTATAGTAGAGAACTCCAGAAAATTTCTGGAATAGCTGCTTTTGCATATCCACCATTAAACCCTACATGGGTTCTACAGACTTTTTATCAGCTAATGAACACAAAATGTCATTCGGTCACGAAAGATTTGACGTTATACAAATAAAAATGAAATGGGGAAGCAAATGAAAAATTTGGCGCATCAAATCAAAGGCGACAGTAACTTCTAATGCTGTAAATATCCGGGGTGAAAGTGCTCCAATGCCAAAATAAAAACTTGGAAGTTACAATGGACGCAGAAAGAAAAGACGTTTCTTTCCAATGTGATGACATGGAAAAAAAGCATAATTCAATCTCAACAACTGCCAACCTCCTTGAACTACCTAAATCGTCAAGGTATTTCGTTTGCTATGTTGCCTTTACTTCCTAGACACATGTCTACATCGAATAGACCTACTTGTAATAATATAACGCATGTTCCGGCTGTTTGATGAATTCATACAACTGGCCCAGACCGTACCAACCACGATGATCATGTCGATTATGTAGTATGGCCTGATTGTAGGCATATATGGCCAGCTTCAAATGTTGCAGCTCCACGTACTCGTGTCCTGTAATGAAAAATGACATTCTGGTAGGTTAATGGCAACAAGTTAGCACGTTATTGTAACTTCCCCTCACCCAGAAGAATCCAAACGAGTGCATATCTCGGTTGCAACCGCAAGGCTCTTTGGAAGTAGAGGACAGCTTTGTCATGCTGACTGCGAAGGCCGTAGAAGTTACCCAGAACACAGCAAGTCTCGGGCTTGTACTTATCTACCTCAGCACATCTTCTTGCCAAATAGGCGAGCTCATTATGCTCGCCTCTAACAAATAGAACGTTCGAGAAAATATCTGTATCCGTCAGTCGATATGGGTCAACAGCAAATATCTACAAATCGAGTTTAAACAGGCACTTCTCCCATTAACAATTATGCCAGCGATGAAAAGAGCACTAGAGTACCTTCTTATATATCTCTACAGAAGTGTCCAAATCGCGTAGCCTTTCGTGAGCATCAGCAATGTCAGCTTGAAGATTGAGACTATTATGAAAGCCACTGTTTGACAGAGCAGTAAGCGTGGAAAGCGCGCGCTCTGACTCCTGTATGTGTAGGAGGGCCTAACAATAGAGAAAAAATACAAATAGCACACGAATAAGCAAGGAGGACTACCAAAACAAAGCAGTCCACCTTTGCGCGAAAGAATTCCAACATCCAGTTGGCGCCATCTGAGGAAGCGGAAGGAGGAAAGTGCCGGTCAAGTTTCTCCCGATCTTCAAAAAGTCCAATTAACTCCGACCATGCCGGCCACAACAATGGATCTTTCTTGACAATATGCACCAATGCCTTTAGAGCCACAGATTGAAAGCCTAATCGTATCTGGACAAGCGCATACACATACGCGGTGTAAACGTCGACACCGGATGATAGAAATACATCAAGGGAGTTGCCTTGCATATCTTCTACACTACAATAACGTTGCTCCATGTCTGACTTCAAACCAGAAAGATCACTCCTGTAAGTTTCTGACGATAATGCAGACCCCCATTTTGCATAATTTGATGTGTCCCTAGTTGTAGTAGAGTTATCAGTAATGTGCTTTTCGATTGACATGTAACGAGAATAAAAGTGAAGGAAGTCTATTAGTGGATGTGAATCCTGCTTTGGAATCGACGCTAGTAGATGAGCACACCTTGCGTATTCTCGAGTGTCAAAGTAACACTTCGCTAGGTGATAGTTTGAAAAGTTTTCAGAGGAAAGACCATTATATTGATCCGCGATAAGAGACCCAGGAGAAAAACCCGTCTCTACAACAGAATCAGCACTTGACGGCTTTTGTTGAGTAGACAGTAATAACTCTGCGAGCCAGGTAGCACTGTGAACAAGACCGCGAACTTGACACTTTGCCAAAGCGATGCGGAGATCACTTTGAACCTTATCTAGACTAATAGACAAATCCAAGACCTGACGCATCTAGGGTCGCCAATTTACGATAAGTCAGAAAATTGAAAGCAGCGCTTGCCAATTAGATGACTCTATGATGCCCATAAACACAATGCTACGCCTCCTATCTATTTGCAAGAAAATATGTAGAACACAAGATGCTAACAAGTAAATGTTGAAGCACAATTTTACGGCAGAAATAATTTAATGAAAAGCTAGTAAGGGAACAGGAAAAAGTGCAGTATTAAAAGCATGCAAGTTCTTAATGGGTACCAAAAAGCTATTGAAGGGATAAAGGTAAGTACAGCTAAAATTCTGTTATACTAAACAGCGTTAGAGGGAGAGTGGGGTGTATACTAATGTTGTTATTAGTTACATTACAGTTTACATACAAGAGAAAATAAAGAACATTTCTTAAAACAGGCACGGCAAGAGCAGTCAGTACAATTGACCTCAGTCATGATTGATCCAAATCGATGAATATGCTCGATTCAGCCTCTTTTATGCACAAAATAGGGGTGTATTGTGGTTTCTCAGATTGGTTGGGATATAATTAATGACCAGGTCCTGTTCCTGTTTGAATAAAGTGGCCTTGCTTACTTGAGTGCTAGTTTTGTGTGACCATATTATGGCGCTTTGGCACCTTCTGAAATCGTGATAGGCCAAAGCAGTATAGAAGATCATACGTTGCGAACACAATGTACGACTGAGAGCACACTAACATAGTCTGGAAGCTCTACCTCAGAGCATGATTAGATGCAGCCAAGCATAGCACAAAATCATTACACATTTCTGCTCTTTTATTCGGTTCCGGCCATAGCAAGGTAGCTGGCGCCTTAAAACCTACCCACGAGCTAGCAACACTACTAATTAAGCCTGCAAAGAGCCACTCTACATCAACAACATTGATACTTCTCCACAATTTCCTGATACTGGGTGATGCTTGGCAATGGTAACCTCTCGTGTGCTAACGGCTAGTAGTTAGGATAGAACCATTTGGTAAAGGATAAGTGTCAAAATGCTTTCACTTCACCAGGCTAACGTTTAGCCTCTGTTTCTACATGCACCTTTATTCTCACTGCAGTGCTGGTCATCCATCTTCTATCCACTTATCTACATTTCCACATATCTGTGTGGGTTCCATTCAGCTAGTGGAGGTACCAGTTGTTCATGCGGTCACCATCTTTATGTAAGTAACGCAGACAGATTCATAATAAGATTTGCCTCATTGTTTAAGTTTAGTGCCACTGCTGTTGTTGGTTGCATTCTTGTAGAACATGTAACCAGTATAATTGTCAAAGGTAGACGTCATTTGTAATCCTTCAGTTGCGAGCCTTTACGGGTTTGCCTCTTCGTGGCAGAAGCCCTTATCCTTCGTCTTCTCTACTAGCTAGATAAAACCTAGATGGTTTTTCGCCTGGTCAGCCCTAAAGTGAGAACAACGTGGTGCGGAGAAATAGAAGCAAGACTCTGTTCCCACAGAACTCTGTCAAGTCTTATCCGTCGCTACACGACTATGTTTTGTAGCCAGTATTTGATATGGACACGCATGATGGCCAGAATATTTCCACTCTTCAAATCCAGTTCCCAAATAGGACCTCACAACACCAACTAAGTTGCGATGACTGACTTTAGAGGCTGACCAAGGGGGCCGCTGAAGACTATGCTCAAATAAGGAGAGGGGCTGTATGGTACATTATTTGTTTGTTCAACTCTTGATTTTCGTAAAGGGGCTGATATGGTTCTGAGTCATAGTACTGTCATACGATAGTGGTTTATCCCTCGGCATTGGTGAGGCGCCACTTTTGGAATTTGAATTAGCCCCCTTGTACCTCGCTGGGTGGGCTGGCCTTTTGGGCCATGCCAATAGCTCAGATACCTTCTCTGCGCTAAATATATATTCTGCCCAAGTACTTTGTCCTCTTTCGTCTTCAGGGAGTCCCAGGACGCTGCAGTACCTTAGCCATGTGGGTTGGCCTCCATGTCGATCCAGTATACCCAGCTCCACTGAACTTCAAACACATGTATTCCGCGTGGGTATTAAGTATGCTACCTTCTTCACGGAAGCGTCGAGAAGCTACCGTAAGATTCGAAGTAACGCTCATGAAACGATTAATAACACCCATGTAGGCAGCCAGAGATTTCTGAAGTTCGTGAACAACACACAGCATGGGAAGTGGAGTTAGGTAGATAAAGTCGAAAACTATCTACTAATTTAGCATACTCACTGAGATGTGGTAATTACTGCTCAATTCTCTCAAAATAATAGTTGCTGAGGCAACAGCATGTCACAAAACCCATTTCTCCTATATATCGCCCGTGTATTTTGAGCCATACCGATATGATCTCTTGTGACTTTAGAAAATAGTCAGGGCTCTACAAAGACTTTTCGTAAATGACCTATCAATTCTTCTGATTAAACCTGGGTGAGTAAAATAAGTAACTGCTTTCAGTGGAACATGTCAATAAGAAAGTAGATTACGGCCTTTTTGTACCAGAGTCAGGCGTGATCAGAACTTTATGTGGTCAGGTACAGAGTATTCATTTATTTGCTGTGTTTTTCTACTCGATTTACTGGTTTGTACTGAGTGCGCGTTATTTAGTGAGGCGGCGGCGTCACGTCTATTGGGTTTGCGCATGGACTTTCTTGTTTAATTGATTTTGTTTTTACATTCTAGTTACAGTTAAAATTAGATGTCTTGAACTAGGGTCGAATGGCCAAAAACACATTTCTAACCAGTCCAGTTGTTGCAAATGCCACTTTCCTGGTTCTTATGAGTCCTGCATATTGATGGAATGAAAATTTTTCTCATCTTAGGAATTTTTTCTAACCAATTATTGCTTGGCACTAATGATTGACGTGAAGGTGCTCGTTTGAGCGACTAGAAGTAGTTTATTGCCTAATTCTAGGGGTAGGAATTTACGACAGCCTCGGTTTCATGCTTAGCAAGCTGATTTCCTCTTAAATTCTTACCAGAAATGCCTCAGGCACCGCTGCTCTTAACCTCAATGGTTGATTGTGGGAAGCAAGAAGCCGTTTTAGTGTGGGATCCCATTGCAGGAAATCCAGTTGCCAGCTTCAGCGGTGTAGCCGCAGCCACTGGCACTCTCACTGCCTCAAATGACGTCATCTTTAGTGCCGTACCCAGGAAACCTATCCTTCAGTCATGGTCCCTCCAGTCAGTGAGTAATGTCGAGCTTCTAATCGATGTGGCTAGATTCAGAACTCCTTCAAGCGTCTCACAACCAAGGGGGTTGTTAATGCTCTCGCCTTCTCCTATGGCGGGTTCTTTATGTATTTGGCCATCGAGAAGAGTATCCATGTATATCAGGTGTGCTTTTCATGTGTTCATATTGTTTCTTGATCTTTCTAACTCTAGCTGTGCGATGTGGAGCATGCTAATGTTGTTTAAAATAGTTTGCTTGCATTTCTAAATTCTGATCAAATTATACAACTGTTGTCTTCACTTGGAATTGTCCACCATCTTTCATGGGTTTCAAGGTGATTCCATTTACTTACCAGTTAATGATAAACGGATTTGCTCTCAAGATCACTCATTATTATTGCGGTCATGAAACGAAATCTCTTAAAGTGGCTCAGTGATCCACTTTTAAAAGCTCATTTCGATAACTCCTAATGCCAGCCAAAAATGGCTTTGGGCCTTCCAGCACACTATTTCAGCTACTTTGAGTATTAACCATCGGTCATTAGGATCTTCAAGGGACCAGGTATTTGACATCAGAACCTCAAAATCGCCGTGAAAACAAGCTAATGTACACTGATACCATTTACTAACTTGATTATAGGTATATTACATACAAAGTGACTGTAAAGGTTGGTGCTTACCCTCTAAATTGATTCCAGGTATGTAGCGGGTGCCTGATAGCCGTATTGGAGGCGAGCCACATGGCGCCCATCGGTGCTCTGGTCGTGTCTCAGCGACACCCCGGGTTGTCCCTGCCTCTCCTTCTCTCCGCGGATACCTCGGGTCTTGTCGCCTGCTGGCCAGCTCTCGTCTTGACTGGTGACAGCTTTGTCATTGGTAGCCGCGACTCTGCTACAACTACTTCTGAATCGGAATCGGACGCCAAACACAAGCCACTTTGGTACGTGGTTCAAGCAAGTCGAGGTCTGCCTACGTTTTCCTTCATCGCTGACGGCCGGATGGTAGCGTGTGCGGGGACAGATGGTGTCAAGGTAGGTCATCACTTGTTACTTTTTATGAAGATATGCACAAGATCCATGTTTGCAAAACTAGAGCTGCGGAGACCATGGTGTGGTAGGCTGATAGCTGTGAATACTCGAGGCTACAATCGAACCTTCTGCCATATGCTTTAAGTTACTCTGATGTTTTTGTAATAGTTGTTCGATTCGGAGACGGGAAGATTACTGTACAGCGTCTTGGAACAGAGTCGTCCACTACTCTGTATATGCGCACTGCCTCAAGATGACAGATTTGTCTTTGCTGGAACAGACAATGGAATTTTGCACTCCGTTTGGTTGCGTGATCCGAAGGTTCGTTGTATGCCGCACTTTTATGCAATTCGGTCATTTACTATTATCAACATCCTATATTGGATAGTTTCTTTTCTATTTTAGAAACCCTCTACTTATGAAGTCTCCTTCCGAAGATGTTTTGCGGATGCTGAGTAAGTAGTCAACTCCAACCATCAGCGGCTATGCAATTATTGACGACTTGTCAACTTACTATAGCGGGCCCTACTGGCTATATTGGGACCATTGTCTCATCCTAAGCGAAGATGACTTCAAAATCTTTTTGGAATTCATCGACCTTTGCATTAGTTTGATCATGGATTTGATTACCACAAATCTGCCACACCTTGCCTCTTCTACAATTTGAAGTTGCCAATAGCTTTTCGCTTGGTCTCAATTTCCCATAAGAAGTTGAAGTCTAGCAAATCCCGCGTCTTCATTTAATGCGGAATTCATCCATCATTGTTATGCTTCACAAAACCTTCAGTCTCTAAACTGAAGTGTTGAATCCACTTTTGCCAAGCAATTTAGCAAGGTGCTAACATCTCTTAGCAAATAAATAATGCATCTTCCTTATCGCAACATATCTAAGAGGAGCTTTCGTGGAAGTTTTCTAGCCTCCCTACGCGCCTGGAGTCGAAGCCAGATGTGTTCCACGTTAAAAGACGTGAACATCGTTTTGTACTGAGCAAATTAAGTAGGGAAACGGTCCATATTAACTGTTATTTGTGTGATTTGCTTACGCATGCCAGTTCTCTTTCTTTTGTATCTCTCGAGTCAAGTGTTTTGATCGTAGGCTCTCATCAGCAGAGAAGGCCATCTGTTATGTGTCTGCCAGCCCTGTGGACTCGGGTCTGCCCTTGCTGGCAGTGAGCACTCTTGCAGGGTTGGTGGAGATTCTTCGTCAGGACACCTGTCTCGTACGTTTGCAGCGTTTCTCCGTGACACCGCCCTTACCTGGCAACTCTGGCTCACCCCGCATCACCGGTCTCCTCATGCTCGCCCGGCCTGCCTGGCTGTTGGAGAGCCAGACGGCAATGGGTGTGCCGACCGAATCGAAAGCCAACGATTCTCTGGAGATCCTGCGTCCAACTAAGCGCCACTTGGGATGGCAGGTGGAAGACTTGCTCTATCTTCAATTGCCCAATCTCAAACGCGTAAGTCCTCCTAGCCCTCCTCTAACGGCGTCTCTTCCTGTTAAAACTTCGTTTAACATCAGTTTGTCACTGAATACAAAGGGCCTGGTCTTGGATCCGTCTTTTAATGATCTTACTTATAGCTAGCAGTATGTGAATGGATTTGTAATTGTTAAAGTATGTAAAGTGTTGATTGTTGCCATCATACTAGGACAGCTAGGTGTATACATGTTGACGTGAATCTTTGCTGTAGGATCGCATATCAGATGACTGTTTAGAAGGCATCTACCAGGATGAATTTTTTCAAACCACAGGCAGTCGCACCTTTGCTCTGCCTGTTGATGCTTTCAAAGACTGTACCGCCAGCGCATCCAGCGATTCCATCGAAGTGAGCGCATTGAGAAGAGAGAAGCAAGCTCTGGAAAAGCGGAACGGTGAACTTATGCGCATTTTGGTTGCGAACTGCTTGCACTACTAGCTGAGCTTTTGAGCTTTGTATATATGCTCAATTAGAAGGGGACCGTATGCTTTTCTAAGTTTATTTTTAACTTTGAATCATGACATGGAGATGAGGCATTACTATTTTTACCATTTGAGGTGTAATGTGAACCATTTTGGAATTGTGGCAATTAGTCGTGAATATAATGCATAGTAATGTATAGCTCATCGATGAAAACGTAATGCTGTTGGCAGAACCTTGGTATTATTACTGAAGTTACACGGTATCCACAAGAGGGAATGAGAACTCGATGTGTCTTTGTGTACTTATTCGAAATATCGGTAGTGTCCTTGATCCTGCACGTATTTTTCACTACCTGAATATCTGTCATTAAATTTCTTTAGTTTTACGTGATCAGCCATCACGACAATTAACACCCTGAGTTTATCAGATGGGCTAGAAGTCCATGACCACGTCGGTTGGGTTATGTCGCGAAGTGGACTTACCATTTGTGAGACTTGGAAGATGGGGAAGTCATGCACGTGGTTGGAAAAACACCTGGTCAATACATTGCCTCTCCCTTCTTTGTCGTCGAAGCCTTATCTCCGGCGATCTTCATGTTTCCCTTTTACTTCAGTCGAAGCTATTTTTTTTTAAACCGAGAGATGGTTTCGTAGATGGTATGATAGGTACATCTCTAGACGAACGCTAGGGTCGGTGGTAGTGCGTGCTAATAACTTGGTTGAGATTCCTCAGTATCGCTTGCTCGGCAAAACAACCCGAGTTGGAGACAATCCGAAGGTGAGATATTGTTGGGAGATGGATGGTGTCCTACAGGGAGCATACTATGCACTTCACCTTTTATAGTAACATTTACTTGTAGGTAAAATCATAGAGTTATGTCGTGTCCTCATGATGGGATAAAGGTCGTTCATTCGAAGAAATATGGTGAGACTTCCTTAGAGGTTAATTGCGGCTTGTTAAAACCTGATTGCATTCTATCAACAGCTATGGTGTGGAATTGGGAATTGGTGATTTGTCAAATGTAGATGTTGTCTTAGCCCTTTTGGAGTGAGTGTCTGCGTATCCGGTCATTCGCAGCTGATGTCTGTCTTCTGTGATGATAGTTAACCCTTTGGGTCATGTTTACCTGCTTCTGCCGAGAAGGCATGCATCGCACTCAAATGAAAGAGCAAGGGATATGTATGTGAAATGCTTGAACTGCTTGTTTGACGCTCGGTTTCGGCGGTGGCCACTTAGAGCTCCGCCATTTGTGCCCTTGCTGGTCCGCCTGGCCTCTAGGCTGTGGCAGTAGTCCTCACGACCTACTGTGCAATGACAATGCATATTTTGCCCGAGCATTATGTCTCCTTCCATCTTCAGGGAAGTCACGGGGCGCTACACATGCACATTAATAAAATTTGAACCACTGAAGCAATGAGGCCATTACATTTGTTTGCTGTGTTTTCGAGCATTAATGGTCATATCGCATCCAAACAATTCGAGATAACTGTAGCGTCTTGGGATTTCTCTGAAGGCGACAGAACGCTTAATACTGAGGCGAAGTATACATGCTGAAATTACAGCAGGGCTGTTGGTTAATGGCATGGCCCGGAGGCCAAGCCGTCCGGTGAATGTGAATAATGAAGGCTCTGGATGGCCTGTTATCAAAATTAAGAGTCAGTTAAACAATTGGGCATTACATAGCATTTTCCAAGGTCAATCTATTCTTTTCTCCAGGCGCTTAAATACTTTGATAGAAGGTCAAACTCCTGATGGAATATACTGCCAACTAAAAAGGGAAAGCTAAACAAAGGTCAATAATTTATGGGCAAAATAGTTCATCAGATGAAAGGACCATTTAAAGGAAATTTAAAAAACTGTGGATGGCTTGTTTTGGATTTTGGCAATCTGAAATGCACTTTTAGCTTGTTTCAAACTGACAAAAACATGGGGATGAAGAGGAAATAAAGCAACTACTTGGGAAAAGCAAACGACTATGAGTTTTGGATGTATGTTTAGTTACACCATGAATGTAAGCGGGTGGTACAAGTGGGATTTGGTGGTTTGAACGCACCGGTATTTCTTGTCGGAAAGAATTTGTCACCTGTGCTCCTATATAATGTTTTTTTTTCGTTTTTTTACCAGTATTCCTTACTTGTTAAGTGCTCTTAGTAACCTTTATTGGCCCAGATTGACAATTGGCAGCTTTGTGGTCTGGAACCTCTATAATCGCACCTACTTTGTTTGGCACAGAAACCCCTTCCTAAACGTGTCCTCAACCCTTTTTGTCGATATTTCTGCCATACTGTGTAGTTTATTTGGATCCATTACAACTCGGCCGTGGTCATTATTCGAATGAAAGCGCTGCTACTACATTTGCCTTACACGGAGTTGATACAAAGTGATGGTGATTCTGCTAGTTATCAGGAACCAGCTCAAATATCACTAAGTATAAAATCAGGAGTTACGATCGTAGTATAATAGGGTTGTGCCAACTCAACCATATATTTATAACCTTTTTTGCAATGTTCGCATTGGCCCTGATTCTAGTTATTTTAGGCACCTATAAGTTTGGTATTGCTCTAATACCTTTTAAATTTTATGTAGACAAGATGACTGATAAAACTGAAAATGAGAATGTTGTACAGCCTGTCGAAAAGCCATGTTCTCCTGCCTATCCGCCTACACCTACTGAACCCGATGACAGCGAAGTTATCATCTCAGAACAGGACTTTACTCCAGACTTTCCAGTTGCAGAAATGGATACCATGCATACTAAAATCCGGAAACCTAGTTGGGTAGTTCCTGTGCTCCCAAATGAGGAACTGGAGACAGTTTTACTGGCTTGTATCAAGCTTGTTGAAACGAGTATAGTCATTACCCTCTTCTCCCTAATTTTTCTAGACCAATATGAACGTTGTTTATATTTTAATAAGTTTTGTGATCAAGATCTTAATTCGGCGTTCGAGAAAATTATCTGTGATCGTGCGGGTGATTTATGGAGTGACCAGACTCACGTACGCCGATTGTACCTATACTTACCAAAAATATGTAGCATTTTATTTTTATGAACTCTCTCCTTGCTGTTCAATTGTGCGCTTGCATGGCCGACAAGGATTTTGCGCCGATAATGGAGTTGGAATCACGCCTGTTTAATCCAGAATCCAAGTAATGCAAAATGGTTTCAATATATTGCAACATTTAATGATTAGGTTCCATAAGCACAGTGTGTCCAATCGAAGCTCTTTGGAGGCCATTCGTTTTGGTACAGGTGAGACCGAGTCTGTCTCCCGTTTCGCGGTTATAATGTCCGCTCTACCTGAGTTGCGTCGTTCGGTTCAGGGCAAGAATGGTGGAGAAAGCTCTGACCTCAAGGTATTACTGGGTTTGCGGGTGTTCATCTCTTGCTTCCCATGCTTAGATTTTCGCTACCGCATCCATGGCTCGTCCTTTACCACTGCTAGAGGATTTTATCAATCTCTTTGGCAGACTTGGTGGGTTTGACGCGCTTCTCGAGCGCTTTCGCAATTACGGCAATGGGTCACCAACACTTCGTCTTTTCTTCAACTACCTCAAACCTTTCAAAGCATGTTGCTACTACCTCACTGATGAAGTGGTAAAGGATTACTTTTTGCCGATGACTGTAAGTCTTTATCAATCCTTGGGAAGACTCGCATAAACTTTGGTTGGCAAACTTGGTCTCATAGTTCCGTTACATTATAAAATACTTCGTTTAATACTTATTTCTTTTTGAGTATGTTTATGTCATTTATGAATGGGCAGACTTTGGGTTTCCAGAAAACCTTTTTAACTGCAATTGAAGCCGCATTTTCACTGAAACATTAGTTAGAGTTCTGTATTTCACTACTTCAGGATATTGTTCTAACCTTCATGAAGAATTTGACCGAGGCGGACGTTCGCCAATCGGTTCGAAGTGATCAGCGTAGCAATCATCTGGCTGATTTCGCTGTTATCCAACAGTTCTATCAGCGTATTTATGGGCCAAATTACAATATTGAGGAATTTGATGAGCTTCATTTGCAACTTATTTTGAAAACAATGAGGGTAAGTGTGTTTACATTTATTCCTCTCCTGAGTCATTTGCACGTAAGAATATAACTCAAAATCGACTTGTCACAGTCCCGCTCTGGACTCATATCTGCCCTTTTATCATACCAACTTCACCCATCTGACCGCGTTTTTGCTAGTCTTAACACATCACCAATAGATTTCACACTGCTCCGAACCTGTCCATGATCCGACAAACTTTTGGAAGCTATTATTTTCTGATTTTATTGCTTTTCTTTGCGTACTACCAATCTACTTTAAATCATTGGGTTATTGTATATTCCTTTTATTCTATTTGGCCCTTACGTAATGTGTTGTTATTGACTTTGGCGCCTCTTGGATGCATAAAGAGCACTCTGTACCCCCCTCCAAATCCCATATTGCACACTTTTTCTCGATTTGTGAGTACCAACAGTCTCATCAATTACAAGCTCTTTTTTGTCTAACACTAGGCATAATACTCTTAAATAGAGTTTAATGCCGAGTAGCTTTCATCTTCTCGAAAGAATGGTTCGTCCTTGGGGTACATCGAGCTTCTAACCCTTGCACTTGTCTTCCGCTAGACGGATCTCTTCGGAGGGAAGATGAACGCGTTGAACGATTTAATAACAATTATCTGTGACATCAATACGAGATCGGGTAACGCTTCAAAGCCTTTTGCAATGGTAGACAGACTTGTCAAGTGGTTGAAGGATAATCAGGTACTTCAAATTCTACTTTGCCTTGATTTTGTCTCCGTAGTAGCTGCGGTTATTGAAACCACTTTCGAATTGGTACATCGTATCAGTTACCATAGTATTTGTATTTATGTTTCATCAATAGCATTTCAGCAGAAGTGTGATTGACATTTTTGTTTGCACAATTGACGTTTTATTTTGCCAAACGATAGCGTGCCTACTATGGTTGATGGTTAACAATGTTGCTTCATGTGTGTGTGTTCACAGCATGGAACAAAGTTTGATTTCTTGTGCAATAATTTTGGTATCTGTCTGGGTAGGAGGCTTGTATATCACACTACTCTTGACCCGCCACCTTCAGAATTAGGTAACGAATATTCTACACTTTCCTTCAGAATACCATTCTATATTATTAAAGGGCTGGTTTAGAACAAACAGCTCCACTTTAGGGTTGTTTGGAAGCACTAAGTGGCATTGCCATCGATCGTAGACAAACATATTTCCATCTCCTAGCGCTTCTAAGTATAGTAATGTGAACTAGTCGTTTCAATGTCTGACAATTCAATTACTACTGCTTGCCTACTGTCTTGATAAAGTTAACGTGCTTGCCTAAATTATCAGAATGAAATTTGACATTATCTTTGCTTTCGTACTAAGAATAATTTTCCTTTCGACGAGTTTAAAGATCACTTAATATCGACTGCCGGACCGTAAGTTCGGTATTATCGGTGTACCTTGCTTTATCAATGTACCAGTAAAGTGGAAAATCCCAGTTGTTTTCTTAGAAATAAAGTAATACAGTTGCGCAACATTGCACACGTAGTCATTGTGGCATTCTGCCCATAAGCAATACGGGTTTGTTCCTCAAATATCCTGGTTTCATCTGGCAGACTTGATTTCCGCCTTGGTGTGTTGTCTGTGCAGGTCTTGTCACTGTTGCTGCGTTCGAACCTGCATCAGCCACAGTACGTGGAAAAAGTGACTCGAGTGGTTCAGTTCCTCGTCGAAATGCACGAACTGAGCTTAGAGGATCTAGAGGAGATCTGGGAAGCTCAGGCCGGGAAGCACGAGGCCATTGTGAAGAACGTAGAGGATATGCTCGCTCGCCTGGTGCATTACTTCAGTCCCGAACAGCTTGATCGGCTCTTCGACTGTTTCAAGGTAAATATCTTTCCTGAATACTAGCATTCCCACTCTACTGTTCCAAGTAAGTGGAGTTTGATCGAGCATCATCTTCTGTGATGCTCCGAGGTGAAGTTCTTTACCCAACGCTGGGTCGTATTTAGATACCTCCGTGTTTGTTGAGTGGTTAGTTTTATCCATTTTCACAATATCCTACCTGATGCGCGGAACCTTTAAGTAAATTTTCGATTTCGCTCTCATTGCGATTTAGCTGCTCCAAATAAATATGTGATGGCCTTGGAACTAAAAAAATGATGAAGTATGGTGCAAGCTACTTATGTGGTTTATTTCTCAGGATCAGTCACCCTATGCTAATTTTGAACTTTCTTCTCACTCTCTCATTATTGTCTCAGTGAGTTATTCCAATGGAAAGCTAGGTGGTGGCCACTGTCGGTGATCTGTTGAGATTGCAGTGACCAATTGCCTCGATTATTGTAGGACAAAATATTGTCTTGTCGCCTTTTAGAAAGCCTTTCAGACTACCACGAAGCGTCAGCAAGAACGTTTAATTGTTCTGATTCGTCGTCTGACCATGGAAAATCTCATTGGGTTGGAGTCCAAAACGCTAGAGTTTTTCTGGGATCTTGCCACAAGACCCTCTCTCCTACCTGAAATCAGTGCGGCTGCATTGGAGGCACATAGTGGGATTTTGACTGACGCAATGAAAACTGCTGGATCGGTTAGTTGGTTTTTGTTATGTCCTTCCTTCGGCTTTCTTCCGCGAATTCGGCCAGTGTGCTTCAATCAACCTTCTTTCTCAGCCCCAATTCACATATTCAATTTCAAATACAAGATCAATTTGTTTGTTGGAGCACATTATTGAAGTTGGGCATATTTTCGTCACCATTTTGGTGAACACTTAACCTTGTTTCGAAGGCGATACTTGTACCCGTGCCCTACACTGGCTTTCGCCAAATATGACTGATCGTGTAAACCGTAGTTGGTTTGGAGGGCCCATAATAAAGTATTAAAACACTTTTATCTGGCTAATTTCATCTAATTTATAGCCAGGGTTTTTGTGTTACGTGCCTTAATGTTTCTATCTGGTGAATCGTCAGCAATTCTACCAATGACACCGCGTTACCCCTGTAAGGCAGAGGATTTAGCTAGTCCCTGAAATGCTGGTATTTTTTTCTCGGAAACATGTCGTTCTCCTTTGAATGCAACTGAGTGGCAGAACGAATCATTAGCGTTTATTGTAAACTGCATCGGGTACATAACCCTGTCTATTGGCGATCCTAGATGCAATTCAATGGCGTTCGTCGGCTCTAGCATAAATGTAATTGTGTATGTGTGTCCTCGTCTAGGTTCAGCAAAATTTGGCCTGGCTCTCTAGGTTTGCAACTATTCTCCAAGAGGATTCTGATGACTATGCTGTCATCCGTGCAGCTCGGCAGATCATCGAAGTGGTGAGCTCCTGGGAATCCTCATTTTAATAGATGCAAAAGGGGAACCCCCTAGACTTACATTCTTTTTCTGTCTTTAGCATCAATTTTTGAGGGTCTACCACGGAAATCTTATACATCAATTAACGGTTAACAATGATCTCATCACTGTTTGTATTAACAGTCTTCGTAATTATATGCACAAATACTCGGTCAAAAGTAAGCATGCTTTTTTACTTTATTGGGGGAGATTCCCCATCCATTTGGTCGTCTATCAACCCCAGTCTAACTGAGTTGTCATAGTTTTATAACGACCAACTTCTCTGCACTACCATTAATTGGTGTTCAGCATTCCCCCCTCTGCACTACACATTTCCGCTGTCTTAATACTTTCATGAAGTGTTCCAAGGTAGGAGAAGGCAGTTCTAAAGGAACCGCTAAAGTCATGCTTTTTCAATGTGTTTGCTGTCATTATCTCAGGGGAGAAACAGTTACCACAGCCGAGATATTTTATTGTGCTAATTTGTGGTCTTCAAGAGTAATTTCCGCATTTCTATTTTAAACTTTAACCGTCTGTTTGTGGGACGATTTTGTATATCTAGTTGTCATGATCTCACGAAAAAACATGTAAAACATTTATTACATAGGGGGCCAGGTGAAGTAATCAGGGCGTTAGGTGTACACGATGCTGGTAGCTTTGTCTCCTGATGAGGCCATCTTCTTAAAAAGAGAACTTTTCTCCCCAGAAAACATAAGTTGGGTCTTCACGTTGATTGCATCAACATTTTCTTTTAATAAAATGAATCAATTGGACTTCTTACGTTAGGTTCCAAAGTTATATTTTGGTTCATAAATTATTGAAGTAAAATAACTTATAATGTGCTTAACTCTTACTGTTGATTATAAAATTTAGCTAACAACTTACCTACTTTATAAAATAGAAGTGCAGTATTACAGTCTGTCGTAACTTGTCCCACAGTGTAATTACCACTAAATTGCTTCTTTTTACGTAAATAAATTTATTTAGGTGCCATTTGAACAATTTAGTGCTTTTTAGATTCAAAAGTGGCCCATGATACAGGCATTGATTCAATATCTTCCCAACCACCGTCGACGACTTCGACATTGGGTCGAGGTGATACCGCAACGCCAGCCTCATCCACGTGTACCAACACCCTAGAGCTGCCTCCACTACAGGCCAAGATGAGCGACGACGGTGGAGTGAGCTCGCAGTCGGAAAAACCCTCCACAAATCACTTCCAACCCATACCTCATGTTGAACAGATTAGGGAACGTCTGGAACTGCTACATTTTCTCGCAAAGGAATCGGGGATCTCTCTGACCTTGGAACAGATGAATCTTCTCTGGCGTTGCCTCATTGTCGATACGGAAGTCGATCAGGACGCCTGTTCCTGCGCGGACTCAGACTCATCGGCTGGATGCAGTTCCACTCACTCTTCCGCAACGGTGGAGGGTCGAAATATCTGTTTTTCTTGGTTTAATCCAAACACGAACGGACTTATTCATCCATTCTTAACGGAGTTCTTTCAGGATAATATCCTAAATATTAAGCCGGAAGTTCTCACACCTGCGGGCATGGAGTAAGCGCGTTTTCCGTGAACGGCCGTTTAACTATAGCATTACACTTGTATAAATGTTAATTTAAATTTACAAGTGTTCGTTTATTTTCCCATTTTCCCATGGCTTAAGTATTCCGTTAGGTCAGTGTTTTCTGTGTTATTGAGTTCTTAGTTAGCTATTTGAAATGGTTTGCATTTTACCGTGCAATATTTTGATCGAGGGTAAATAGATCATTCCAACAAGTGTTTCTGTTTACTTTGTAGTCTGTTTCGGTGTTTTTTCAACTGTGTAAATACGAAGTTGAAGTCTAGTGAGGAGACCACTTTGCAGTCTCAATCAGATCTGATGGGGTTGGATTACCTCTGGCACATCGTTCTCGCTTCCAACGACGGGGCTGCCCGAATCGCCATTGAGATGTTGCGAGAGCTCTACACGAATGATAGAGATCCGCTCAATGATCCACGAAAACTCCGTTTCGACTTCCTTAAGAAATGCTATGACTTTCTCTCGTCAAGCTACGCCAAGGTTAGATTTACGCTTATGCATGTTCTAATACTTCCATTGGAGGATATACTAGTCATGACGCATTCCCCCTTCGTTCAATTTTATTGGGTGGATATGGTAATTGAAAGGTGATATTTTTAAATCCTTCGTTTTTACCAATCCTATTGGCTTCATGTAGATTGGATGGCATCTTGTGTTACCTACTTCAATTCAAGAATTTTGTTTTGTGCTTACACACGTACTTGTTAACCAGGTGGTTTTATCATTTTCTGGGTGTAGGATCTTGCAGCTTGAATTCAGTCATAACTCTCATGGCTGTGCTCTCTCAAAGGCACAAGCTTTCGAGCGGAATGCACTGATTAAGGTGGGTAGTAATTGCATCGTTTTGATCGCTGCTTGACAATTGTGAATCAAATTCGGCATACGCGGAGTTGTGGTTGTCAGCATTCCATAGGGTATTTAAGTGTTCTGCGCTTATTCATGTTTTACAATTTGATAGAAAACGGCCTGGTGCTGTTGAAGTAGTCCGACTATGCTGTATCGGGTAAGCACGTCGATGTAATTCTCGTGGACTTGCGATGAATCATGCAACAAGGCCAGTGGAATTTTCTTCTCAATTTTGATCCAAATTTTTCACTCTTCGACCTCAATGCAGTTTCTTCGTGGGGCATGAATAAATTACAGTAGCTATTTTCCTGAGATTGGAAGAGCTTTCGGCAGAAACGCATCGTATTGGAAAAATGTACAATTTAAAAGATCCCGGATTTATCTGTTGAGATTAACTAGTATTTACTCATATCCTCTGTAAACGTACGTCATTTTAAGGTGGTAAAACCGTGACATCCTCGCATAAATATCCAGTCCCTAATCAAGCAACGCTCATAATAGTTGCCTTACTTTGTCACATACCTCCTCAGAACCGCCTTTCAGACAAATTTTAGATCGGCGAATATTCACTCGCCAGACCCGTCTTGTGCTTCGTTTTCATCCCGATTAGCTTTTTTTCCCTTAAGATCTATGGACTCCTTCTAGCGCACGGCATAGCTTCACCAGATGGAAGTGCGTGTCGTCTCTTCAATAATCCCCAACAGCTCCTCCTCATCACACGTGATGCGGAGCAAGACCTGAGCAACATCGATCGCGTGATTCGGGTTCTCCGACGCTTCCTTATTGAATGCGATCGGCAGTTTAAGACTCCTCGTGTACACTTACCTCTATTTCAGTGAGTGTTGTCAAATCTTGTGTCCTTGATGAGTTAATTTTCTCGTTTCCTATTCTTTCAATCTACTGCTGCAGGTCTTGGTCCGGTTCTTCGATATTGCTGACAGTGAACTTCAATGCTGTTAAGAAGGGCTCAGCGGAAGACTTAAAATTACAAAAATATGGCGCGACGGAAGGACGGCAGTATGAGTCCAGTACTATGACGATCATAGCTCACGCCAACGAGACGTTAGGTCGTTTGCGCTCGCGTCTGCTCATTTGCCGCTTAAAAGAGGTGCTCTTACCACTGAATTCACCGGCTACTAATGCAGGAGGCGATGAGGGCGCCCTTTCTTGTCCGGCCAAGATTCTTGACGAATTTTGCGTAGATCTATGCGAAGCGACTGGTCTCTCTGGGAACCTTTGTCTTTCAACCTTTCTCCTTATATCGTCATCTGATCTAAGGGGGAACTTCAACACCTCTCTTGATTCAACATCATTTAATGATGATATGAAGTCTTTGTAAGTTTTTCCGATAGCGCAAACAGTAAGTGAATGGTTTAATTTTTATGCATGTCAACTTAAGCCATTAAACGAAGTCTTTGGACTACCATTCCTTTAGCTGGCATTTGACGTGGTTTCTATGGTTAAATTTGGTTTTTACGAGTGTGTACAATCGTTAATGATTTGCATGTTTAGTGGATACTGCTACTGAAATCGGTCCAAACTCGGAATCGTAAATCAGTACCTAGGTGACTGTTCTCTTCATTTCAATCTGCAGTTTACAAATCACATCACAGATGGCGGGGCTAAAATTCTTAAAGGTGTTAAGTTCTTCCATTTATTTAACAGGACATCTCTGTCGGCCTTTTTGTACCTACCGGCTACCAGTACACCTTTCTATCCTGACGGACCATACATTCCTGGCTCCTCGAACGTGTTCAGTTTACCACAGGGCCCGAGAGAATGTGGTTCCTTTCCTTCGATGGGCAACTGTTCCAGCTCCTCTTCGAATCGTGCGCTTCGTGCTCCTCGCGGCAGTCCCTCCCCAACCCTCACCGATGATGAGAATGTCCAAATGCCCGTCAGAGGGGGAAATGTCGGTGGCGATTACTCTGTGAACGCCGGCTCCGCGTCCCTGCCGCATTCTATCAGCTCCGAGACCAACCAAGATGATTTAATGGGTTCACCGTCCGATGATGGCGATGGTGCTAAAAGTCCACCAACAGAACCCGTGGCGGGTGCAAACCCCAGTTCTACAGCTAGAGGTGACTGTGTTACCGAGGCTTCTCCGCCTTCAGCACCGCTCAACGAACTTCGCAAAGAATGCAATCTTCCGGGTGGGTTGCGTAGCAGGGATTGTTGGGTGAAATCGCCAGTCTCAGTGGCTCATTATCTTTCTACTTCGTCCATTTAGACTACGTAATGTCGGAGGATCTGAATTTTGTGCATCTCCTTCTCGACATTGGGAATGTGGCCGTGTTTTTGGGTATCAACGAGCTCCGTGATAGGACCTTCGATGTGCTCTTCTCATTGCCGATGAACTTGACATATCGAAACGTTCTTTGTGAAAGCCTTCACAGTCATAAGGGCATTGAGAAGCTTACAGACCTTTTAAAATGTTCCATCTCTGAACTGAACCTCCCTTGCACACCTAGTAAAATCCACAATAACTTGGAATTCCCAGGCGTTACGCATCAATTATATCTTCTTCAGGTAGGACTGTCGTGCCTGCGTTTCATGATCAAAAAGTGTCGATTGCTTGAGTTGTTTTCCAATTTGCCTAAATAAATCATTTTTATTTATCAGGTCCTTTACGCTACACTGAATCCAAGTGTAGAAATTATTTTGTGCATCAACGATGCGAAGTGTTTCTCCCGTCATTTCACCCTGGAAAGCTTTAGCTATACAGTAAGTAAAAGGCCCATCTACTCTCGTCAGTTCAAACGCATGCGGTTCATGGTGCTTTTAAAACCGGTTTAAGGAGAGGATGAATCCTCTATTTAATTTGTTTTAGTTGGCCTTCCTGCGCAACGGTGGATTGGGGAGCCTCCTATCTGCCTGCGCTTTAGGAGACACGAATGCTGTCACGGCAGATCCTCTGTCTCAACTCATTCTCCTCTGGATCTGCCGAATCCTCTACCTGGGTCTTTACTGTGTTATGGCTACTCTAGTGTTGGTTTTTGACGGTAGCACGGTCTGCCTTGCTCAAATGAAGGCTCTCTGGGGAGTAAAGTCGGCTTCAGCTCTGAGCACTGGCGATTGTATCCTTCAAAAATACGCAGAAGCCTTCTCGCACTTCGCTGTTAATGCTGGGGTAGGTTCAACTTCCCTCGTCATCCCTATTTGCGAAGTCTATCTTTTTTCGTTTATGTGTATACGTAGCCTATACAAAAGGCTTTTTGCTCAAGTTTTGTGTTAACCTCCCAATAAATAGCATCTCCGTTATATTTGTATTCCGTAAAAACAAATTTGGTTGGTGATCGTCACCTTGCTTTATAGTCTTTTGGAAATTGAATATAGAGGCAACCATGGAATAATGGTCGCCCGTAAGAACAATTCTTTGCCAAGGTCAAGAGTTGCTCAGGTTTCGAATTGTGGCGAACCTATCCTTTCCTGGCAATGAGTACTTTTCAGCTTCAAGTGGTTGCTACTGGGAGCACTTGGGAGACGCTCTCCTTTGATCGTACTAATTGCCCACTGGGCACCATCTTGATAAGGGTTTTGAGTTGCTCTGCGTCGATCAAGTTGATTTATTATTCGCCTAAAGCCACCGCTTCTGTTCTGAAGTTGCAGGGTTTTGCTATTACAAAACGACATAACCAAGCTTATTAAATGCTATAGCAGGGCTTATTTTTTCATTCAAGAAATAAGCCAGGCTGCACAGCAGTTATTCAGCCTCAAACTAAATTAGTGAGTGAAGATAAATGTGCATTCTTTTCCGGTTCCACCGTTACCTGAAAAGACTTTTTCCTTGTATCCGCTAATTTGTAATCAATTTAAGTGGGGTTGAAGTGTTAAGCGGAATGTCTTTCCTCTTTTTTCCCTTCAGGTAACTATGGCGGAAATCCAGTCAGCGTGGTTGAATATACCTCCACGCTCGTGCGAGCTCCTGCGAGATGTTATCTGGCTGATCAGTTCCGCCCTTCCAATCGCCTCAATTTCGTCGGCACACTCTCAACGCAAGGCTACCATCGCGCACTCGCATGACAGTGGATGTATCTCCCCGAGGAGTTAGTTTCTTCTATTTAATATACAATTTTAGGCTTTTAACTGGCTGTTCACAGTCTCTGGGCTACACTGCCTACATCTGACATATCGGTACCATTTGCAATCGCGTACTAGCCTTTGTCGCAATCTCTTTCACACAGCAATGGTAAAGGCCACTTTTGTGATCAGCACAAATCTGTGCCAAGTCTGGGCGTTGGACACGAAAAATGACTATTTACAGGGTTGTGTTTTCTTTGCATAGTTTTTTTGGCCGCTGCGAAAAAATACTTGCCCTCAAAAGGAGCTGTGTACGATTATTACACGTGAGATGGGCGTTCAATGTGGTGATTTTGGTTGGTGCCATCCAGACTGCATTCGTAATCGAAAAAAGCTTTCGCACCTGAGCCACCTCACTTGTTGTGAATGCGTCACGGGTCGTTGGGGTATCTTCTGACCAGAATGGGCCTCTCTAAGCACTTTTTGTACCATTTGAAGCATTTCTTAAATCGGTTTTCATAATGTCCACCGGGACTCAGCAGCAACAATATCAAGCAGTCATGGCAAAAATAAAATGTTACTGACCTTTTGCGGTGGTTTAATGATTGAAAGTGTTTTAACACCTTGGAATCGTGCCTTTTCAATGTTTTTTTTTTTCTCTGTCCTTAGGTAGAGAAATCGGGCAAGCAATGTCATTATTGTATTAAACCGGGATTGTCCCTATTAAGCCTTTTCGCGCATTTTTGTTGGGTGTATGTGGTCTCGGAGTGGCAGTAGAATTCAATCGCCTTTTACTTTTCGGATTTACTAAAAGACATGAGCATAATTTTATGCAAAACTTGTCAATGTGGTAATTAGACGATTCCCAGATTCTGTAAACTGACAGATTTAGCAACTTTCGGCATTCTCCTATTCACTGGACATGCAATTAGCACCCATATGGCGTAGATATTGTTATCTTTTAGTGAAGTATTCGATCACAGAAGTCTTTTTCTTTCCACACACTTATTATGATTACTCAAAGGTTCTGAAGATAATCATCTTTGCTCTTCCGACCTAGTTCGCTTAAACTGATCAAATAGCCAAGTTTATCTGTGTGGAAATTTACGACTGTGAATTGCAATTTTTACTGTAGCGACTACTTTGTACGGTGTGTGAAGATTTCCGTTTTTCATGATTTGTTCTACGCTGCTATCAGTGCAGGTATTTTTGTTGAATACTCGGTTTTGCTTGTGAATCAGGACTATTTGATTACCTTGTTTTAAAATTCGCATTTCGCATGACTTCTTATCCACTTAGAGGAGTTTTATTTTACTGCATTCATTCAAATGCTTTTGCGCAGTTAAAATATAGTTGTTTTGGATGTACAGTGCTTTATTAGTGTTCTTCCTTGCACTCCTTTTACCACAGCCGATGTCTTCTGCCATCCAACACCACCGAGCGTGACGTGCACATTTTCCACCACCTGTGGTCTCAAGTCAGCGCCACTTCAAACCTTTTTCCAAATTGGCCACCTTGATTCCTCCGACTTGTCAATCGAATGCCTCCAACTGCTCCCTTCTGAACCCCACTATTGCCCATCCCCGGTCACCCTACCCTACATTCTCAATCTCAACTCCGGTCGGACACCCGGTTGTCTCTCTACGACTGCTCTCTCAACCCTCTCATTCCTTCTCTCCCTCTCTCCTGACTCCTCGCTGGTAGACTTTCTCCTACACAAAGTACCCCTCAGCCATGATCATGAGGTCCTTAAGTCCTGGCTCGACTTCCTTCGGCACATTCTCGTTCTCTCACCCTCTTCACATTTGCGCCAGTCAGCTACTTGTCTCTTGAACATTGTGGTGACCTGTGGCCTGACAGTGGCCATTTCACTTCAGCCCTCCAGTGAACTCGACGCGCCCGCAAGTACAACGGATGTGGTGGGATTTGTGATCGACTTTTTGGTTAAGGCATTAAACGTAAGTCAAGCTGACTTTGGTACTAGTGGAGTTTCAGTAAACATACTTTACTGGCTGTGCGTGTATGCGTTCCAGGAGAGTGAATCGGATCAAGCTCTTTACTCCGCCGATTGCACCGAGGTACTGGTTGGAATTATGGACTTTTTACAATCAGAATCACTTACACTAGATACTGCTGAAAACCTCTTTGTAAATGAATGGGCTTGGTTGTCAAAAAGAGTAAGTTATTTGTATACTAATACGGGCATTAATAACCAAGTTGCTAGTGGTTTTGCGTTCTTGGCAGAGGTTATTTCCATTTAAACCAACGGTGTACCATCGAGGCCTCATTAAGAAACTGTTATTGATTTTGCTCATAGATCACCGTTCCATCGTCGGATTCCGATGAAGGAGGTTGTGTTGATACTCCGACTCATCTCTCTATCCCCAATCTATTTCGCTCCCACCTACGATTGTGCACATGCCTCATTCCGTTCCAAAACAGGAAACTTTTTGACGAATCAAATAAGGACTTTATTGGACTTGGCCCAGTGGACGTGAGTTTTCTACCTCGTCTTCTTACCTTCAACAGCAAACTTGAGGTCACTCTGCGTTTTGGCGGAAGTGTTTAAAATATCACTGAATGATATGGAAATTCTATATCATCTGATTGTAGTCTATATTGAACGGTTATGAAGTATTACAAATTGCACAAAATTTATCTTTGCGTCATTTTGCTATCCTGTGAATCCTCGGCCCCTTTAAGTAACTCCCAGTTGCTTTCGCATGAAATGGCCGTACTTATTGTAAACTTTCAATCATGCTCTTCATAGTAATTTCTCCTGTTTTAGTGGTGGCCGTAACATGCGGATTTTCCACGGCTTGCGTCAATATGTAGCGAGGCAAATTGTTGCTTAGATTTTGAAGGTCGATCTAACTTATCTACTCCTAATTATTGTCCCTGCTTAGTATGCTTTCTTACTACTTTTACTCGTGCTTACATTACCGTAAGTCGGTTTTATTTGCACTTCTACAAACTTAAACATGGCCACTTTTTAACTTTTAAACTGACCCAGTCTCAGGCAAAAGTACTGCCGGTATTTCTGTGTGCGCAGACATGAAATCATAATAGAGATCTTCGAATCGGCTTTTTAATGCAAAGTTGAGGTAAGGTGGAGCTCCAGTAGACAACTAACTATAGCCTACATTTAATTTGAATGGCCACGCAGTTTGCACCAATCACTGCAGACTTCGAATGATTGAGATTAGTAATGTAACTTTTCTTTAACCTTTAGAACGTCTGCTGTTGTTTTCCCCGGTCTTGCATAACCTGAAAGTGAATGAAATATCAATTAAAGATCCCATAAATAGTTGTCCTGGAGATTTCGACTAACATTTTTGTAATTGGAGCATCGGTTGCCTGATTTGCGCCTCAATGGGAGGCATTTCCCATGTTTACTCCCACTTTTGCTTGCTTAATCTGTACACTTCTAATTGATTCATGTAGACACTTGGATTTTGGAAGCACTTTTCCTAAATCTATTTTTCCGTTTTGTGCACCATCTCCCTTCCACTTTTGACCGCTCCTGTGAATTCTGTTTCTCTGAGAAATTACGCTTGCTGAAATGGTATAGTTGTAGGCTTTCGTTTACTTCTATTGCTATTATAGCTTGTCTTTCTCTTGTTACTCCTTTTTCCTTTTTATTCGCAAACATAGTATACGAAGTCTTTAAAGATAATTCGAGTTTCGCAATTCTCATGTGTGATTTATTCCCACTTCACTGTTAAAACTGGGAAAGATGTTTTTAAACGACTTTAAACGGACTTTTTCAAACACGTGTTTCAGTAGTATCTAGTTGTGGAGTTGATGGTTTTCAGACACGCAAGAAATTTTTAGTCCTGTTTCACTTGCCCGAGGCGGGTTTTTCCGTTGGAGCAGAGTTAGCTAAGTAGCTTGGCTTGAGTATTGAGAAGTCACACTGCCATTTTGGTGGTTTATCCTACGCTGCGCGATGAGTTAGCATGCGCACGAATGCCTTGTCTTTGGTGAACGCATTGGCGTGGAAAACATTTCATTTGGAATTCTCTACTTAGCAGAGTGTCCCCTTATTTGAAGACTCCTTTTTGTCCGGATAATTTCCACCATCGATGCATCGGACTCTTGCTCAGAAAATGCGTGAATTACTTTTAGTTTTGAGACATACGGGTTTCATACTTGAGAATCTCAAACTTTTCTACAATCTGGACTACTAATATTCGTATATATTCGGACCTCATGCATCTCGGTGGTTTTATTTACATATGTTAAGGAATTATTAGCTAGAACACGCGTGATGGTACGGACTTGCATTTTTTTTTTGAAGGTTTTCTGTCGATTTATACTATGTTGTGGCGTTGAATAAACGAAATCAGTTCTTTATTTAATATTTATCGCTGCTCTGTAATTATGGCTAATGTGAATGAAGAATTAATGTAAGCTTATATTCACCTTTCCATTAACATTAGCAGTCACAGCCCATGATTAGTTTACTCAATGGAAAAAGTTGGTCGCATTGCCCTTCCCGGTGACTTAGGTTCCTAACTTGGTTAAGAGGTGTGATTTTCGTGATAGGTACTCTTTCACCCCACTTTAGGCCCTGCTTGAAGTGGTGATATTTCCAGCCGCGAAACGCTTCAATGAACTGCAGAGACGTCTCTCATTAGAAACGTGGGAGCTTGCAAGGGAGATCACCTCTGCCAGTGCTATTTTGGAGGTATCCAGGGTCATTTCGACCCCACCCAACGGGATCCTCAATGCTGCCTTCGACCTTCTCCTCAAATTGGCACTCTTCGTACCTCGTGTCTTATACCCCTTCCTCTCCGACAAAATCTGTTCCCTTCTTTACTCTTGTAAGTCGCTTCAATGTCTTCGGTTTTGGAAGATCTTTCTTACATCCGAATGAGGTTGTGGTAGATAAAAGACGCTGAGCATTGAGCTGTAACACTTATGTCCCATCCTTTCACAGTTAATACTCGGGTGACCGAATGGGAGCCCCTTGACCCCCTGCCGTCTTCGAACCGCTCTCCTAATAACAATAGTAAACGCAATTGTCTGAGCTTTAATGCTGAGAGCCTTTGCGGCAGCCCAGGATTTGTGGGTCTTAAAAATGCCGGTGCCACATGCTATATGAACGCAGTGCTGCAACAGCTATTTGCCATCCTTCCCATCCGCAACGCGATTCTTTCTGCTCCCGTCTCGGACACTCTTCAGAAAGCTGGTGTTAATATCGCCTCCCTCCATTCCCCCTACGCGCCACCTTTGTCTCCGGTAGGTTTTATCACCTTCCTCTGTTTTGGTTCTATAACTTTCCATTCGCATTTAGAGAGTTAAGTGGGTTATCATATATATGGCTACGATTTCTTCAAAAAACTTGGACGTTTGCCCTCTACCAAACTTCCATGTACCTACTTGTAAACTACGTAAGGTACAGATGTAGATAAATGGGTTAATCCCTCGCTGGTGAAGGAATAGGTATTTTGATGTACGCTTTTTAGAAAGGAGACCTCAGTGCATCTCAGCTCAGCCATCTCTGCACGCTCTTCTCCCTGCAAGATATGTTTGCATTTCTGGCCTATACGCGACGAGCATTCTACGATCCTAGCCTATTTTTGAGGCATTTTAAGTGAGTTTTTTGGCTTTATTGGCTTTAAGACTTTGTCCCTGAAGTCCCTCACCCGGCTGTGGTTGTGCATGAGTCTAATTTTATTAGCTTGGGCTTTCATCTCACGTCGTAATTATTTTAATTGTTTTGAAACAAATGTTCACAATTATGGTTGGCAGTATCATCTTTCATGGCGTCTGCGTTGGTCGTCAGTAAAGGCGGCGATGTATCGTGGAATTTGTACATTAATGCGGTTATGCCAATAGATATAAACACATTACTTTTAGTTGAACAGCTGATTGTTTTTTTAATTCGACTGCTGTCATTGCTGCTGTTCAGGCTCTGGGGTGAAAAAGTGAACCACTCGGAGCAACACGATGCCCAGGAATTTCTCATTTGTCTCGTAGACAATCTCGATGAGGCAATGAAAATATGTGGAATGCCGAAGGCCATTGAAAATGTCATTGGGGGGACCTTCGAGGATCAAAAGATCTGCATTGACTGTCCACACAGGTAGGGCTTCCTTCCCTTTGCATACACCGCGAATTGGCGTTCCTATATTTTAATCTATAGGCGGGGAGTGTCTTCTGCGATCTTCATGCATTCACTTATGTCGGGCTCTGTGCAGACCTGAATATTTACAATGGGTAGCAAAATATCGGTTGTTTATGGCTTTAAACGCATGCCTTGGTGCCCTTGACTTTCTTCTAGATCCTTTTGAAAACAGTCCAATAATTGTAGAATGACGATGGTTTGTAAGCGCATTTGAGGTTCTTTCTACTTTATTTAGCCCCAATATGATTTAAACTGTTTATACTTCTCTATACATATCTATCGCACTGGAAAATCGCATTGCAGGTACCAACGAGAGGAGTCCTTCCTAGTGATAAGCGTGGAAATCCAAAACCGATCTACTCTCTGCGAGTCTCTAGAGGAGTACGTGAAGAGCGACCTTCTTGAGGGTGACAACGCCTACCACTGTGATCATTGCGACAAGAAGGTTGCTGCGCGCAAACGCATGTGCATCAAGCGTCTCCCTCAGATCCTCGCCATCCAACTTAAGCGCTTCAGCTTCGACTGGGAACGGTATGTTCTTCCTTTATTCAACTAGTCAGTTATCTCGTCTTGCAATGCTGACGTCGGACCCAAAATTCATTCAGCTGTGGCAATGTTCCTGGTGTAATTTGCTTGTCTACAATGTAATTTTGTTTTTGAGTTGGAGTGCTCACACGAAAGATCATTCATTTACCTATTTGGAAAGTGTAGATGGGGGAATATATTGCGATTGATCCAAAATTTGATCCCTTGCCCCTTTTAGCCACGTTGCCATCAAAACCAACGACCGTTTCTCCTTTCCTTTTGAACTCGACATGGCGCCGTACACAGTGGAAGGTCTGGCCTGTTGCAATCAAGTTCCGTGCGTCGGCGAAAGTGGCGGTGCTTGTGAGAGTTGTCCGGCGTCTCCAGGAGCAACTGAGGCAGAAGCTCCGAGGCAGCCTACACGGTACACTCTTCGTGGGGTTATTGTGCACAGCGGGGAGGCCGCTCATGGTCATTACTACTCCTTCATTTTACATCACAATCGGGAGACCGGGAAATCCCAGTGGTACAAGTACGACGACACTCGTGTAAGGCACACCCATGTTCCTTCATAGATCCTCATGATCTCATCTATTTAGTATGCAGTGCATGCTTTTATAAAGGGACTTCAAGTTAAGCAAGATTACATTTGACACGGCCAAATCATCCTAGGGCAGCCGGCTTAACGTCGCCACTTTGGTACTCGTTTTGAGCCAAGAGTAGACTTGCGCGTGGAATCACATTCCCAAGTTGATAAGATTTACCAGCCAATAAATTCACTGCAGTTTATTGAAGATTCTTTAGTACGTATCATTTGTAGCCGCGTATTTGAGAAAAAAACCTACTTTTAAACGTTTGTGTGATTGAATGCTAGTGCTAATAACTCAAATCTTTAGAGCATTATGTGGAATCTCGTCTTTTTCCTCCAGCAACTTTGGTAATTTCTGCCTAAATTTACAAAACATTCCCATTTTTTGGCATTTTGTTCCTCTTTAAAAACTCATTTTAATTAGCAACATGCTGTAATGAAGTTGTATTTTCCTATTTGCTCAGGTTACAGAAGTGATCGCGGACTCGCCTGGGTTTGAGCAGACCGAGTGGTTTGGTGGAGAATATACATCTGAAACTCCCATGCGCTTTAGCTACAGACCTTATATGCGTTGTTATAGCGCCTATATGCTCTTTTATGAAAGGGAAGACTTTAAAGAAGTCAACATCGTTTCCAACCTATGCAGTTCCATGCAATCTGTTGGGCTCTGTAAGTTTCTTCTTGCTTTCTCCTACCGTTCCCCTGTCTTTCATCTGAACTTGAATATGCTTCATTTGAGGTACACAGGCTCTACGGGTTTCGCTTCGATAAGGCTTTTCTTTCCCTCGATCATGTCCCTTGAGCGAGTTTGGAGTTTTCGCTTGATTTTTTACTCACACTGCTCATTAGGCTGCTTACTCGTATTGCGCTCTATGGATCACCCAGATTTGTGCAGACGCCATTATATCTGCTCAGTTTCACCTTTTTAGTCGTTTTAAAGCCGGGTTCCTAAGTTACACATTTCTCTCTATTTAAGCTGATGGCACAGCAGGTCTGGTTCCATGCCCACCTCATATTGCGAGCCAGATTTACGCTCAAAACGTGGAGCACTTTAACACCAGCATGCTAATGAATCCGATTTTTGAGCAGTTTGTGCATCGACTGGCCACAGCGGATTGCCTTAGGCAACAGGTAGGTCTCAGCTTTTTCTAGTACACTACTGGTAAATGCACCCTTGATAAATACGTTTTTTTTTCCCCTTCACAGTCAGCCAATGCCCCTGAATGGATGAAAACCTACGAGGCTCTTGCAAGGCTTCTTACGCATTTCTGCTTCGATTCACGTTTTCACACCAAGGAGAATAATTGGTACTTAAGTGATTTGTTGGTTTTTATGTAATTAAACTCACCACTTTCCAAAGACGGCTCAATCACAATGGGATTTATTATTATTTTAGGTGCCTCTGGTTTCATCCATTTTTCGAGCTGCTTCGAGTGGGTCCTTCTGTTCGGGAAATCTTCACCCAACGAACCTGTTTTTCGTCACCGAACCAAATTCATGACTTTTTCTTCAGGTGCCCATATCCTGGGGTAATATTTTCATCGAATCAGTGCTATGTATATGATGTACTGTATATATATACGTCCTTATTTGGCAAATGCTATGTTGTAGGTTCGTTATCTCTATGGCGCTCTCCTGATATTGGTTGTCTTTTTGGAGCTGAAATCGAATCCGACCAAACCAGTGGCTGACCAAATCATGCAAAAGTTAATTGCCGAACTGCCAAGCTGCTTTGCCTCCACCAGTTCAGAGTTATTCTATCATGAACCTCCTTTGTACGGGCCAGTCACTTTATCCGGTTCCTACTGGAACCCTTCTACTGACGACTCCCGACATGAGATTCAACAGTCTGCCTGTGGTGGCCAGCTTCTTGCTCTTTTGCTCGATTACGCTCGTCTGGGTCCCTTACTTACGGAGCATTTGGCACGGCTTGGTCTTCACACCAAACTCATGCAGTAGGTTTACATTACAGATATGTTCAGCTAAAAATCCCATTCTCTAGCTCACTAGTGATGGTTGTTTGTCCGAGTTTGAACAATCGTTTCCAGAGTGAAGTAATTTGTAACGCTGACTCAGGCCTTTGAGAAGGTGCTGTCTTCCAGTTGGTTTTCCAAGGGAGTTTGTGGCTTTCCTTCAGGTCCATTTTGGGCGATGTGACTGGGCTTTGCAAATGTTTGATTTAATTAGCTAACTTTTAGCTAGGAAGAGGTCTAATTAAAAGCGCCCATGAAATGTTCCATTTTAAGTTACGGAGGGCAGTGATGTACATCTCTGTTTTTCTTATTTAAGTTCTAATCGGATGATTCCCTGCATCAAAATAATGCATGATGCAATCACTCATTTGTAAAAAGTGGGAAGAAACTGACCTAAGCACATTATTGCAAATTTCTACCCGAGACAGTGTGTTGCTGGTCAACTGGTATCAGGTTTTACCTTCATTTTTACTTAACTAGAATTTAGTCATTATCTTTTTTTAATTGAATATGCTTTACCAACACTTAAAAACTAGATTTCACTTTCTTTTTGCATTGAAAGTTACGGCAGTGTATCAAAAATTGGGAAAAGTTATGTTGGGACCGTGTTATTGTTAAACCTGCGCATAAGTAGTACCATTCTATTTGAGGAATACCCATTCGCAAACTCCTGCTGTTTCAGGCCTTTACCAATTAACAAAGTGCTGCGTTGCTCCTGATAACCCTCTTGCATATTGAAATTCGTCCCTACCTTCGTTTTTTTGTCTTTTTTAGTTATTTGATAGGTAGTTTGCCCAATACATCAATCTTGTGCCGCCCATTAACTCTCGTCACTAGCCATCCAGCTACTGCCGACCAAATGGAGCGCTATATGAGCGATCTTGATAAATCCATTGGTGTCGATTTCGCACATAAAGTTGCCTTCTCCAGTCGTTTGCTGGTGACCTATGAACTAATCAGAAATCAAACAAAAGACAGTGTCGGTACTTCAATCTCCTTCCTCCCTCCGGATAAGTCACCGGCCTTCGTCTCTACCGCGAGCTTTAAGCCACGTCTCTTTTACCTCTCTCCCTCTGCAACTGTGCATCTATCTCCGGTAAATCACTACATGGATTTGCTTGTTTGTCTGTTTTCCCACTCGGAGCTTGAAGAATCCTCTCTGAATCTCTCGAACATGCTTGGCAGCATCGATTTCGATAGGTTTATTCAGGTGATCCTTACTTGCTGCCTAAACCAAGGCAGTGTGGTAACGATCATTCAACTTATCAAGGTAAAGTTTTATTCGCTCCTTCCCTATTTTCCCTCGCCCCTCCGAATTGCTCCTCTCTTTATCGCCTTCTCACCACCCTCCAGATTGTGACACAGAATGACACTTATCGCTCCAGAGTTGTAATTGACGAATTGATGCGTATTATCTTCCCCTCTCATTTATCGCCCCTAATGAAATTGGCTCCGGAGCTTGCGATTCCAGTTTTTATGGAAGCCCTCTCTGTCTCCGACTCCCTTCAGGAGCTGCGACTATCCTATGCATTCCAAAGTACGTTTCCTAATTCCTTCCCCCTACGTTATCTTAAGTATGTTTGTCCCTTTCATCTGATGGAATCCACTTTGTCTTAAGCGCAATTGTGATCTAAATGTTATTTGAGTAGGTGCTTCTGCCGATGACTAAATATTGGAAAGGGAAATGTAGATGCTCGCTCATCGCGAAACATTCGTGTTTATACTTGGGTTGGTAAATCCATAGGTCGTGGAAGAATTAGACTGATACTTGTCACTTACCTGTTCCTTTTCCTTACGCGTTGTTGTTAATATTTTCTGTCTAGTCTATTTGCTGTTTATGTTTGCTTAGAGTATTAGTCGCTCCCACCCTTGTTATTTTCTCTTCTCCCTTAATGCTTATTGTGCAAAACTTGGGTAAACTGTTGAATCACTTAAAATACCAAAGTTTTCAATGCCGTTGTACCCTTTTAATCTAGAAAGGAACTTGGAACAAACAGACTCATGTAAGTTTAATACCTCATGACTCGCGTTATTTTTAACTTCGAAATTATTTACAGTAGCACATTTTATGTTGCTTTTCTACTTTTGCACCATCAAGACAATAAGCACTTGCCCTTTATTTCCCATTATTTAACCTCTGGGATTAACGTAGGCATCTCTCCGACGATTGTGTACTGGTCGGCTTTCTGCTGACAGGTTCTATAAAATTTGATCACTAATTTAAATCTAGTTAAAGGAAGTGGGACACCACCGGTTCATCCGATGCAAGCATCAGATTACAGGTCTAAACCTCCAGTGTGGTCATAGGGCTTACCACTGTCGTTGAATAATACATTAAACAGTTTGTTGCTTTTTGAAGCAAGGAAATGTTTTCTGGAGGCGTTGTGACATCTCAAAATCCTATCCATGTCAGTTTTCTCTCATTATAGGCAGAAGATTCTACGATGTACTCACCCTAATTAAGCGATCAAACCCGAAAATATGGAATGATCCGGGAATGAACATGCTACGTGCCTTGAGCAGCATGGTGATCAATTTTGAGGCATTCAGAGAATACTTTGAATCTCAGCGCCGCATTGGTTTGCACTTTCATAGGGTAAATCCACAACCTCTTCTCTCGCACCGATATTCATGAAGCTGGGCTGCATTGTCTAGAAGCATCTTCCAAGTAACCTTTCTCCTCTTGTAGATCATAAATGATGTCATTGAAGTGGAGTACCACCAGGCCCCTGGGTCGGGTGAATACTATGCCATCTTAAACCAGGCCAAAGGAGTTCTCCCAGTTCCCGTGAGCTTTTGCCACTGGCATGAGTATTCTAGCCCCTAAATACATGGTTGACTGTGGTATTTTGCATTTCAGAATTCTTATGATGAGGAGGTGGAGGAAGAGATAGAGGCGGAAGAAGGGAATGAGGAAGAAGAGGAAAGGGAAGAGGAGGAAGACGAGGGAGACTATGAAAACAATGGCTTGAATGATACGCGTGTCATGCCAGATAATGGTGAAACGGAATGCGGTAGTGATGAACACGACGACGTCGACTGCGATTATTGAACTAGCCCTCGCAGCACATGAGAGAACATTCCACCGCAATGCTTTCGCTGATCCTTTGTCATTACTCTTATTATCTCCTGACATTGTTTTTAGTTGGTCTCCTACATCACTTTCGCAGACGTTGTTTCCTCCCTCGCCCTTCCCTTATTTTTTTACTCTACAGTCACATCTGTTGATCAAAAATACACAGTTTGTTTTTTTGGCTATCTGTGTATGTGTATGCTTTCGCATTGTTGCTTCAAGTGAAGTCGCTGGATTTATGGGAGATGTATGCGTGTGTTATCTTCCCCGCATTCTTTCTCTTGTCCACCGACAGTCTTTCCCATCCATGCTATTGCGTTGTTTTGGCTCGAATCCTTCCACACCTTTTGGTGCCGGCCCTTGCCACATTTAACCGCTTAAGCGGCCTTTTTTGTCTCCCATACCTGCCTTGCCCACCTCCTCGAATCTCCTCTTCCCCTCTGGTTTTATTATTCGTACTTGCTACGGGGCGTATAATTCTCAGATGTCTTCCGGTTCCATTGTAAACGTTATTACTCTGTGAAAAAATCTCTTTACTGGAAATTGCGCTTGGCGGTGTTTTGCTAGTTTGTTATTTCTAAACTTGTAACTTTGGCCTTATCACTGTGAGATCCCATTAGGTCTTCTATTATGAGTGGGTTGCGACGCAATGAGCTTCCTTTGGGTCATCTTTATAATGTGCTCGTTACTTTTTGCGCCTTCCCCCAGTACCGCTTGTAGATGTGGAATTGACTCATTTTTCCTTAAAAATGCGGTGAACAAGTCGCCGAAAAGAGGTTAGGTTATCTCCAGCGTTATTTGACCTAAACGGTATACTGGACTGACGGCAGTGTCTAAACAGGGTAGTTACTGTTTGGATTACCTATCCAGGACCTATGAATGGAATAGATGGTGCAAGCGCAATGGCAGTATCTTCTAAGGTTGTCATTCACCAATTAACGTTGGATGGAGTAGATTCTCCCTCCTCAAGTCCCAGTCTCTTAATGAAACAACCAGAGAAGGCTTTGAATGTAAAGAACTAGCTGTTTTCGCTAAAGTTTATAGATGGGATTGAGGCTCCTTTTTATCTGCTTTGTTATCCACCCTCTAGTCCTTGCTAACTTACCTGAATGTCAGCTTTGCGGTCAAATTACTAAAGTTGAATTTACCTGAATCGGTACTCTTACATCTTTCGTATCTCACTCTCGATTAATAATTCTATTACTCCTCTCGCCGAGGCAAACGGCATTTCAAAAACCCGACACCTCGCACTGGGCCGGTCAATTTGATCACCGCTGCTTCACTGTGGGAAACATGGAAGGAAAGGTCCGCCATGACCTCATAACCTAGTGGACAGTACCCCTTGACAATTTCAGATGTCATGCAGATCCTCTTAGCATTTCTTCTGTCTTGCATTCCGTAGTTATTTAGTCATAAACAGGTGTTGAATACTGGACCATTACGATTCCTCCCTATTTTATACCTGAACGTTTTGCCAATTGTCAGTGATAGAATCCGCTGGCCTCTAAGCAAATTTGGCAACGACTAGTTGTTAGTAAATGCTCAAAGGTGCCAATTGCAGTTCCTCATGTGCGCTCCCCATTGGAGTCTTGGCTATTCGAGGTCAGCATTTGCGCGTATTGAAGTGGTCTAACCTGGACGCCAGGCTTGAATTGTTTTTAGTAAGTTATGCTGTGTAAAGCCAAATGGGGCTTCCAAACTTCCAATTGACTTTCAAAACTACCTGACAATATTAGGTTCCCGCGTAAACTATATCTGAAGAAATTAACTAAGTTTTATCGTGCTATCTAATCACTCGTTAACATTATCCTTCCTGGAAGTTCGCTCCTGAAAGTGAAGTTCGTAAGCATTCTAGATCCAGTGAATTGATGTTCCAGAATGGTATATGTAGAACAGATTCGAATGGCCCATTTCAAAACCGACTATTTGGAGCATCAAGAGGAGAGTATAAAGGATGCCGATATGTAATTCCCGCACAAATTAGTCCTTGGAATACGAGCAGATCCGGTGGTAGGTGGCTATGGTAGCCTAAGGCTGGTTTCCACTACGTCAACTTCTAACTAAGCGAAACTACTTCTGCAGCTGTGGTCACTAAAGGATGCTACACTGGTTGCTTTGCCTCGGGGAAAACACGGTGAAAGTAATTTTGAGGCTGATTAACACGATCGCTCTCAGCGTCACATATCGGTGACGCGTGGGTTCTTCAATCTGATGGCAACTATTTGCATTAGACTGCGTCACAAACAGATTGCCTGCAGCTAAAGCAATAAACTCTGTATGGAATGTTTTTGGTCGAAGAATGACACCTGACTTGGTTATAAAGTCAACTAAAGTTTGTGTCATACTGGAACATCAAAACGCCAGTTTGATGGTAGGTGATCTCCCTCTATGACCTGGCTAGAAAATATGTTACTTCCTGATTTGAGTTAGGGAAATGCATTTGCTCGCCTGGTCGTTTACTGATACCATCAAAGAGGAGTTCATGGCATACCACAATTATGTTTTTGGAGTGAATTCTGGCGTCCAAAACATTTCAGCACAATTTGCTGATTAAAAAGGCGTGGGAGACAGCTTGGACCGTTGTGTCGGTAAATAGGCCTTGCAGTCTCGTTGACAAGCAGTAGAAGCCACATCCAAAACCAGCCACGTAATGGCTTGAGCGAGGGTGCTTAGGAGTGTGTGCATGAGCTCACACCGTGCTCAGACGCAAATCCCACGGCTCCATGGCATCGCTACTGTTGCTGCCCCTGTGACAACTCTCAAAGAGCGTATTAAGCTTGCGTTGAAAGGACAGTTGCCTCCATTATTGGGCAACAACTCCGAGAAGTTGTTATACGCTTTGGAGTGTTATTGTAGTACCAGGCGGCCTCATCAACTCCATTTAGTCAATTTATTATCAGCAGAACGACCAGAAAAAGATGTTTACTCAAGTAGTCAGGTAAAAGAGGATATCAATGGATCTTTGATGAGAATTCTATCAACGCGATGTGCCAGACGGAGCTCCACTGTAAGCAGATATTCTCACGTCTGCGCTTAGACGCAAGCATAATGTCCACTCAGATGGTGTCGGAGGCGTTTTTATAGCAGAAATTAATACTGTGGGAAAAAAACAGCTATAATAACGATTTCATCCGTTTTCAAGCTTGTCATTTTAACTTTTTGAATTAACTCCGAGCAGTTTTGTAGGGAGTGGAGTGAACTCTGAGGCCAGAGGGAACTTAAGGAAGGTTATTTTCTCAGGACTGTGCTACGGCAAAAGGAGCACTTTAAACCTTCAACGAATACTCTCACCGAAATGATAGCGCGGTGGAATGAGGAGAGTGTAGCCTGGCATTTGGAATTTGAATAAAACTTCTCGTGGGTATTTCCTTTTTGGGAAATTTTGTTGTGGATACCGAACACGATGCTCAGGTAGTGGCTGCCATGGTACACACTTAATGAAGGCGAACAATACCTCAGCTAATTTTAGTGAGGTTCCTTATCTACATCTTTATCCGCCTATGACATTTGTTCCTGTCAAAGTTTGTTTCGAATTGTTTTTAATGCTGTGAAATTTTTACTTAAGGAGGAAATGTTCCAACAAAGTTCCATCGGATTCAAGTAGAAGCATATATCCCATTCGTTGGCAGTACCGCTGGGTAGTGAAACCTCTGAAATCCTATAAAGAACCACTCCTGTTCGATATATAACAAACTTTTTGAAAACACTTTGATCTTAATTAAAATATTTTTTATTTTCAAACGCGCTGTAAACAATGTCCATCGCCTCTTTAACGTTCGGCCCTTGTGCGTCACGCATTTAACTGCAGGCCAGCCTTATGCTGTAGCCTTGGACTGCGCAAAACTGTAGTTAGTCCTCTGAATGTGGAGACCGGAAGGCTTGAGACTCTAAATAATAAACTAATCAAATGGAAGAAGTACTCACACATGGTTGAACAATGCCGAACATACGGTGAGGATCTGTTTACTGCATCTGCCCTAACTGGTTATCCAGATTGTAAACATTTCGTAGGTCAGTTACTCTTCATAGTCTCAACAATTGCCTCAAAAGTTTAAGGCCAGTATTTCTGGACAATCATAAATACTTTTAAAGCTGTTTCTTGGTGAGTTTATACCTCAAGTCTTCTTTAAATTTTGCCTTGTAATGCTCTGATAGTTTGTCCAGCTTTGCGTTTGATTATGCGGACACTTGTGTCTCCACGAATTGAACTTCCGCATAGCCCCTGGGTCACACTAACAGTCCCTCAGCCCTTGCGCCAGGCGACTTTGACTTCTCACATTTTTAGAAACAACTTCGGGGCTACAAATTCTTTGTAACCATTTCCAGATAGTGTTCTTCCTGATTGACATTTTTGTTGTCAGCATCTACGACAGATCACTTTGATGCAAAAACAAGCTGTAATCGAAGCTCAAAGAAACTGATAGTTCAACCATCTTGACAACGCTGACATCATAAAGACTGCGTAAGATTCAAAGTTATGCGGGCCAAGCATTTCTTTAAGTTCTGAAATTCGGGACTTACTCGTGCTGCTTAAACCCCTTTCGAATTTCAACCTGATGTTTGCTCTTTCTAGTATACGAGTTAGGGTTGACTGATTCTTTTATACCTTTTTCATGCCCTAAACTATATCTTTTGTTTCAACGATATAATTGTAATTCCTCATCCTGTATCGGTGCAGAAGTATGTGTGTTTCTCTAGGAAGGTTTTAAAACTTTTTCTCGGGATAAACTTTTGCCTCTTTGTGGAAGAGGATTCTAAATATTTTTTTAGACATTAGCGTTGTAGGAATTTTTGTTCCTTGCCTTCAAACACTCCTCTTTGGCGCACTCAAGAAAGCAAATTATTTCTAAAACAAGGTAGGCATCTGGAGCCTATAGATACTAAAATTTGTAAGTTAGCCTTGTGAATTGGCTGGGCTTTACCGAATTTAAGCTCACCTCATTCCTACGCTTCAGCTATCAAACCCTCAAGTTCCGTAATTCGAATGGGCTAGTGTAATAACATTGATGAGAGCAAACCCGCTTTTAAAGGTGATGGCGTCACCTTATTACCCATCACTCGCGATCATATGAGCGTCTCGATTGACAAATTAGCTAGAAATGATAGATCATAATTTGATCTAGTTGAGACTTATGCTTTTTAAGAAATGCTTTGATCGTTTGTTTGACTCTTCGGTTTGGTTGCACATAGACTTAAGGCTACGCCATTGTATTTCTGCTAGATGGTATGGCCTCTGCGTCGGCACCGCATGTTCTGCACCAGTATCTTGCCTCTTTTTATCTTCAAAGAAGTGCTGAGGCAATACAAATACGCTTATAGAATTCAAATATGTGTAAATCTAAAGTAGAGTCCAAGTTCATACAGTTCACTCGCGTTTATCCCTCGCAGTTCTGAATACGCACCTGTGCATTGTCAAATTTCAGTTGCAGTATGATTCCTTTGGTAGTTACCTTCATCACAACACCTTTTTTGTGCTTGCCAACGATTTTAATTGGTATTTGAAGATTTCTTATGCTCGCTGGGTGACAGTTCTCAAATCAAAACGTAAAGCTTCGTGAAGGTACGACTTGCTGCAACTATGGAGCGGTGTGGTTTTTGCTGTCTCACTGGTAAACCTACTTTACTGATGTTGTTTTTTATGAACTTCAAAGATACTCACAAAATATAGGTTATAAAAAACCTAGGAATTATAATCAGTCATAATTTGAAGACTGGCTTATCCCCCTTGGGCCGCTATAACTTAAAGCCCACTCTGTAATCTAAAATACTATAAATTCAGCTTGTTGGTAAACTTATTGCAGTATTACGGTTTAAATCCCGCTGCTGGATCATGTGAATGTGTTACATTAGCCATTGTCTCATTAATCTTTATAATGACTACTTTTGAAAAGGATGATTGGAATATGCTAAAGGTATATGAAAGATTTCCCGGTGGGATGAGTGCTAAGTCTCACGAGGTGGTGGGAAACACTAATATTGCACAACAATCTTCTTGTAAGCTTTCAACTACTTTAATATTTCGCAAGCATTTACTTTATGACTGAATTGAAGTCAATTGTAAGGTATAGGATTTATGGGCGCGAGGTAAAGAATCTCCAAGCGACTCGAATAAGCGATTCCAATGGTCCAAATCGAAAAATAGGGCAAGCAGTAAGGAAGCAGAGTGGAGAAGTACGACTACGCTTTTATGCATCCTCACATATTCAGATTGGAGAGATGGAAGCCTTTGGAGAACGGAATGGAAAGCAGCAGGTCCTGTCCTTGAATCCTCTTGGTGATGCCGGTGATGTCAAACTTCGTTGCGGGGAGAGCAAAGACTGTGGTAGTGGTCGCAGTCTTGGGCTGATCATCGTCGACGGTTACACCATTTGCATCATTCTGTGAGTGCCTTGCGAATACCAACTTCACTGTTTCTTCACTTGGATTGGCTTCCAGTTCGATGCTGTTACGATCCACCTTATCGTCCAGCCGAATTCTGATCTGCCATTTGCCATCCACCACTGTGCAAGAAGTATCCTGTCATGGGAAATAAAGACTGTTGGGTCGTGGCATAGTAGATGGTTAGTGGAATTTGGGGTCCTAATTCACTGAGAATTACGCCAAAAGTGTAGATCATTTGCTCCTGCTTCTCATTCCTATTTTCAAAAGTTTTTGAGTTATTGGGATGTATTTATAACTGCTGCAGTGGCCTTAATCAGTTAAATATTTGTTGTTCACCAGCTTTCAAATCGAAAGACGGTAATACAATAATGAGTAGTAAAACATGGGTAGATTTTACCAGGTAAAGGGTTTCAGGGGTCTCCGCGGATACATAGAGCAGTTAACTTAAAGGCACCAAACCAGTGACTTGTTGTGACAAGCTCCGTTTTAAGAGGCAGGGTGTTGATCTAGGCCTGCACTCCAGCGCTTAGTTTCATAAACAACACATAGATCAAGCTCTTGGCATTGCTATAGATGTTTTTGCCGAGTAGGGCATTTTGTTATAAGCAGTTACTAATAAGTTGATTTTAGATTTGATTTTTAAGGCTAATTTCAAACTACTTCACTGCACCTAGAGCCAAGCCACGTTGGTGACACCCTACCTTGTCATCGCGAATTTAACACATAGGCCTGGTTTCATAACTCATTTGATGCTGAGGGAGATTCACCTGATCAGTCATGGGGGCAAGGTTAACAAGAGCGTCAGGCATCTCTGAGTAGGACGTGATGACGGGGTTCATTATACGACCTTCAGGCGAAAGATCAATTGTGCCTCTGACAGTGTACTTGTATTCCTTGGACCACATTTGAGTGACTGGGGCCACCTCTTGTTTGGGCATCCGATCCACCCGACCCGTTATCACCACTGTGTTCTCCGTAAAGGGTTGCTCTCCCGTATCCTCCTCGTACGATGTCGACTGATGACGCAGGACTTTGGTGAATTGACTCTCGTTGTACTGCTGAATGTTCTTCGTCTGCAGCTTGTACGATATTGTGCTGAAGTCTGTGCCTTGTGGCAGGAGCATTTCCTAAAAACCCAAAGATTAAAACTCTCTATTAAGTGCTGTTCTCCTTACAGGTTTATTTTTCCCACAATTTCTGACTTAGAATTTCAAGGCAGTAGCTATTGGTTGACATCTTCAGTGGTGTAGAAATATATGCATCACGGTCGTCGGATAGGTTCAAGGACCCATCACTTTAGGAGTCCCGCAAAATTAAACAATGGAGGAATTAATCGGGGTAACTCTTAGCAAAAATAACAAAATTTTGATGATTTTAATGTAGTTCGGCGTATGTATGCTTTGAAAGTAAAATGAATATGATTTATTGTAAAATTACTCGTTTGTTTCAACCTGTTAAAGTAGGAAGTGTGGCCGTTAAAACTATCTTTACAACTACGTCTCGAAGCCACATGCGCGTAAATGTGGATGAGGTAATAATACTACTAATCGAAGGAACAGCATAGTTGAATGTGTTAGATTACATGGTTTGTCAATTAAAACGAAAAGGATTGCGCTGTCAAGACCTAGTCGTGGAACTCAAACACTCAGAAACTTCTGATTACAGCACTGAAACTCATCATTTGTATGTGTCTCGACGCATTTTGATCTCCTTCAAATAAATAGTTGGTTTAAAAATTGTGCACATTTTGGAGTCTTTGTATGGAGTAAATATTTCAGTGATCAAGTGGAAAATGTTGTAACACTATTGAAAGAAGGCAATAGGAGTTCAGAAATTGAGAGTTAACTTAAGAGCAACTATAAATGCTGCAATTCTTGGCTGATAAATTTTTATAAAAAAGACAAGAATATGAAGCGAGTACGTCTGCATTTAATCTTGCAAATAAAATTGGGCTTGTAAAAGTCTGCCTAGACTGCGTAAAGGGTATGTTGGTGGAGATTTTGGAGGTTAACTACGCAAAAGGTACTTAGTTTTGACGGTCTTCTAGTGCCAACGGGCGTGGTTGTACGCAGTTGGCTGCAAGGTCATTGAGTGGGGCGACGCTTGTGCCATACTCCATAATGCTGACTGCTTTTCAGAGCCAAAATCCTTATTTTCTTAAAATTTTGAGCAAACGCAAGATCGATGACTCACTGCTCCATCTTCGAAAAGGTACGATCGGAAAATGGAATTCTTAGGAGCCGAGTCAAAGCCTTTTATTTTTATACTTTAAACTAGGACACGTCACTGCCATTTGAACTAGCTTTGGCATCAAAAATGTCCAGAATAGACGTGCTGACGGAACCTCCACGAGTGGTGCCGACTCGTTTAGGGTAAGCGAATCAAAGAACTGTAGAAATAATCTTTTGCAGCCGAACACAGGGCCCAAGCTAACCTAACTCTAAAAATTGTAAGCTCATTTCCACCCATTGCCCCACTTATCATTTAGCAAGTCATTAGATTACGCTTCCACGAGCAAAATTCCCATGACATTTGCAATTGCAGAATCAATGATTTACTCAAGGAAAGGTTGATTTTTGCGAATAAATTTCTTCGTGCATGTAAAGCGATCCCAAATATTTGAAACGCTGGTGTAAACATAAGTTTAAATACGATTGCACGCGTACAACAATTGTTTGACGAGGTTTTAGTATCGTCTTCTCATGGCTCTGGAAGGCCCAATGCCTCATATCTTCACATAAAACTATTCCATAAATGAACACTCAACTAGTGAAATATAGGCGACTCCATGGGTCCAGTTGTCAAAATAAATAATTTGATAAACTATCTACCATGTTGGTATGTTTTGACCCCGCAAATCTTCAGGCCCATTAGGTCAGTAGGTAAACTTTTAGCGACTAGGAGCGGACTCTACGAAGGCGAAGTATGGCAGAAAGGTCACTGAAACGTGCCACCTAGTGCCAGGCCAGTCGCATGCCACTAATATGTGATGTCACTGCAATAACTAGAACAGATCTTGGCAAAAAAAGATGTGAAAACCTTAATACTGCCAACCTGCTATGGATATTATCTTCGAAACTCTCTAACTTTGCAATTTTGACCCTGTAGAGGTTTTTAAGGGATGCAGACCTAGAAATTGCATCCACTCTCTATTCTACGCATAGGAATTGAAAACGTTTGAAGAAGCACGTAGATATGATACATCATGCAATTATATGCACCATTTTATCTTACAAATCTGCCACGTTGTCAAAATAGCAAAGAATGACACCAGCTGGTTGTGGGGTGCTTTGAAATACATTTTTTGCATAAAAATACTCACCTCACTAAAGTCCTCTTCGGTGATGGCTCTCAGAGTGGGCGACCACTGTCTAACTCTTCCAGTTATCCGCAGCCTTTGCATATTGCTTTTTCGTAAAGTCGAGTAACTTGAGGTTTCAGGGGGTAGTTTCTCGCAATGAAGTTTCGTGATGACTCCCGTAGGTAATTCCACACTGCGCTGGAACCATTGGTTCCTTCTAATAGTCCAGTCCTGCACGTCTCTCGAATTGTCATCGATGGGGATCCAGTTTGTCTCCTCGAAATCTCGAATCAAGTTGGTGGCCATATAGTCATTCCTTCGTAAGGTGTTCCTCTGAAGCGTCGAGAAAGTCTCCTCTGTCGTGGTTCGCATATCCTCCATCTCCCCACTGTCTGTTTCATCGGATTCGTCTATTGGATAAGGAGTGTCTGAGTGTTGAAAGGGCTCCTTGTAGACTACTGGTGGAACTGGCAAGGGCGCTGCAATAGGAGCAGCCGCAGGTGCATACACCATTGGGATCATGTATTGGACGGGAAGGAAGGCCGGACTGGGCAATAATTTGCTCGGCGTTGTCGTATATAGTCCATTTGCACAGCTACTACAAAGACGCGATCTAGAACTTGCCCTAGGGATACGCGTGTAGCGCATGCTATTACCGTAGGCATCTTCCAGCGGTGTTCTTAGGTTTAGACTGCGAGGACGGGCTCGTGGCATTGTTGGAATTAGCGATGGCAACACAGACACAAACCCGTGTGATTCAGTATGCCTTAAGTGGATTCGGTTAGGTGTATTTTATTCATCCTTTTGACATGGTTTCATTGGCTCCTTGAGTGAGGTAATGCTGGTGTATTGTGGTATCTTGTGCAGCCAATGGAAAAGTGAGTGTGCGTTTGTTCATTTCAAGGCGGTGTTGCTTACAAACTTATGCATTTCAGTTACGTTGACGACTTTGAAATACTAAGAAAATAGACCTTCTTAAAAAGCACTTCGATAGTAACAAGGGAAACATGTCCTCCCTTGGCAAAACCGTTTTCTCACGTGAGGAGGGCACCCATATATGTTTATTGAGAATGACTAAGCACTAATAGGTGTTGGCTGCTAGAACAAAATGTGATTCCATGATCCGATTCTGGAGAGATTCTCCTTTAATTACTGGCGATTTATCGTTTGAAGTATGCTCGTATCACTTCGTCGGAGGATTTCGAAGGGTAATTAAATTTGATCCCTCAATTCAATCCGTAAATTGAAGAAGCATAATCATATTTCACAATTTGTACACCGAGGCTTTTGACTGTTTAAGCGTACTCTGCAGGAGGTGGAAATACGAAGAATCGTTCTGCACAACAATCACCAAATGCAAGATAAACCGTGAACTCAAACATTCCAATTGCGACTTTCTCAAGTTTTAAGAAATGAAATTGGGAGGAGTATTTTGTTAATCTGAGCTACCAAAAGTAATGGATTAAATTTGGTGTGTAGGAATATGCAAAACTCAATCGTATTTACTGGTGCTTTTAGACATGTTTCGTTGACTGTTTTTAGGATAAGCAATCTATCACCTTGAGACTTCTCTGCAGACGAGAGGAGGCATAGTACAGAGGCAAAAGGGCTTGAAGGCTACCGGAATGTCTCGGAGGCCAGGCCGCACGGCAGAGGTACAATGGCACAGCCCCTAAGTGTCCCGTTACCAAAACCTACAGCTAAAACTACAATAATGACATTGTACTAATGATTGCTTAGGTGAATGCGTTCTGTCAAAAATGCCCATAAAAACGCGATTTTTTGACTCACATACTCTGAATGTGGTGATAACGGTAAAGAAATATTTCTCTAGAGAGTCACATTTCCAAACGCCCCCTACCACATGCGGGATTCGCTAACGTTGTTGGAGTAAGGTATGCGGTGTCGCAAGATCGCAAACGAGTTTTTACAGGAAATATAAATTGTTCATTGGTTTGGTGTAAAAGGATTTCTAAAATCCAAATGTGTGACACTTCACCCCATTCACAATTTTTAAACAACCCTTGTTGTTCCCCAAGAGACTGCCTGAAAATGAAGCACGGGTGCGGGACCTTTACCGTGAAATATGCGAGCCTTGTTGGGTACTGAACGAAGTTGAACATATGCAAAATGGAATGTCAAACAGGTACAATCACATCCTATTTTATTCTAGTTTACGACATTTTAAACTGAATGTATAATGCAGTCAAATCTAAAACATCCACCGGTAGTGCTCCACAAGTTGGGTTACATCACAACGTATCAGTCAGTATGAATATGCAATTTTAATTGTCATATATATCCATTTGAGCACGTGAAAACAAAACTCGAAAGATTTCTTATACTCTCAAAGCTATTTTTGACCCGTATTCATAAATTCATACATTGACCTGCAAGATACATTGGCTCAATGTTAGAAGGTGATATGTGCCAAAATGTCTGAGTTGGCGAAAACGAAGTACTCCACGCAAGAGCGCCTCAGGTATCAAGCATCCGTCGGGAGCAGCAGTGAACCCCTTGCAAGGTTGTTTAATAGGCAAGCGGATTGACGTCAGCGTCTCGAGCTGACAATGTGCCTCCCTTATAACTGGAATGGTAAGTAGGGTATTGGCAACTCAAATCGCGTAAAAAACCAGGCTCATCAATCCAAAAAAAACCTAAACTGTATTCTAGAAAACTCTAACGACAAATTTTTAAACTTGGCAATGATTTACTACTCACAGTAAAGCTTGGTTGCATCTCCGCATTATTTGCCTACTTTCCAAAACCATTCCCTTATTAGGCAAAATTACTTCAGAATATTTTTATAAAACGTAAAGGTCACTTAAGTATTCATCAGCCTGTCAAACCCCTATAATGGAAATCTTTTGTGCAAAAAAAAAAAACAAATCATTTTGATTTAAAATACTATTGTAATGGCTTAAACATTTGTCATAGCTCGGTTTTGGCAACGAGCCACTTAGGGGTTCCGTTATTGTACCTAGGCTAGACAGCCCGGCCTCCGGGCCGTGCCAGTAGACCCCCTCCCACCTGTGTCTTCTTTCGTCTTCTGGGTAGTTTTGGGATCCTACACCGTGTTGCCGGAAACTTTAATCTATGTAAATATATATGCAAAACTTTTTGCACTACTTTCTTTCCAAGTATTCAATATTCAGTCACCATAGGTTGTGCTCCTGGTCGGCTGCATGGTCGAGAAGTTATAATAACGGATCTCTGGTCCTTCTGTGTGTGAATAGTAAACCATCCTCCAAGCAGACTTAAGGAAAGATTCGGACTGCCAAATCTCACGACAGCCAGGTTCGCAAAATGGCATGGACTAATACTTGTTCAGATCGTTCTAGTGTTCTATTTTTTGATAAAGGGAAAAGTATTAAGCGCATTGAGACTTTGTAGAGGTACGCATAAGTACCCCCTATTAACTACAGTTAGGAAAATTGTAAACAGTTTTGTAATTACTGAAAATAAAACAAGTTTTTACTTTTTAAAAAAGCTTTATTCTAAAAATTGACATTAAATGCCAAAACCGCTATTTCATATTCGCATAATTTACTGCATCAATGCAGCTACTTTTGGCATGGTACTTCGAAGAAGATTGTAGTATAAGTGCTAATGCATATTGTTTAGGCTACTCTTTGGTACTTTTTTTCGCAAAACCATCTAAGAGAAAGCGCTTTTAATGCAGCGCTTAACTGTGCGCTTTCATTGGTTTGATTACGCGGGTCACTTGAGGTCCCGTTGGGGGTGTTTTTTGGCCTAGTTGACTACGGAATGCCGATCACGGACTCTACGCCGGAGGAAAAGTCGAAAAAACCAGCTACGCATGCTGAGCGCAATGCAGCGGATCTTGAGAAAATGACTGGAGATTTTGAGGAAACCGAAGTGACCGCGGGGATAACTGATGCCTTAAAAAAAGTAACCGAAGAAAAACAGTTTTCAGCTCCGGCCCCAAGAATCAAAATTAGGTCAGAGGACGTCGATTTAATCGTGAGTTTTGCATTTGTGAGGCAAGCAGCATTTCCCTGTTTTCAAATACTGTCATTGTTGATGTGCGGTACTTTGAATCGGTTTTCAGTCCTAGTTTGCTCACTCTAGGTTCAGGAGTTCGAGATCAGTTGGATAGCGGCGGAAAAGAAACTCAAAGAATGCCATGGTGATGTCCGCGAAGCACTTTGTGCATTATGTAAGTAAAGTAGTTTTCTTATGTACAAAGGTATTCTAATACACGCCTCTTGTATTTAATTGTTTGTACTGTAACAGCAGCATGAAGCAGTCGCCTTGGCGTTATTTAGGCGAATCGTTTGCTCAAAACCTTCCAATATAAGCATATTCAGAAGGTTGGGTTGGTACTAGGTTTCTTGAGCTTGTCACGATCGGTATTAACTGTAATCCAGATGTCGGTACTTTAGAGGGGCTGAGGTACGTTTTTTGGCTGTGGAGGAGCTTAAAACTGATATATTTAGGGTGTTTTTTTTGCATTGAATCGCCTTAGGAAATATATGAAATGTCACATTTACCTGATATTTATTTGATAATGAACCTATTTATGGGGACTCTGCGGTTTGTGCTTCCTTACTGCTATGACCTATTACGGCTCTAAGGTAGAATCAAGGAGATACACTGCAAATGTAAAGCTAAATTAGCAATGCCCTTTTTTGTAAAAGCACTTCAGGGTCCGTGTTATTATTAGTGCTGCAGTTTCGATTAGTTCATTTCGGCGATGCATTTGACGACTTTTTATCGTAGCCTATAAATTGCGTGGCAGTGACCATCCTCTACTACTAAAATGTGCCGTATAGTGATGCATCAAGCTGGGGAGCATGAAAGATCGTACCCTCCATCGTGTTTAGATCTGGTTCAACTGCCTTATTTAATGAATACACTAAATCCTGGTAAAGGCGAGGACTCTAAGACAGTGCGTTATTCTCTTAAAGGCGATAAGTCCAGGAAGGGCGTATTTCCCCATTGATGTTGTCTAACCACAACTAAGAACACCCATCATACTGTGGAGGGATTCCCACGTATTGAGTGAATTCGTGTGGCACTGCATTGCTCGGTGCGAAGCTTTAGTGATAATTTGAACCGGAATTTGGATATTTTGACTCGTTTCCTGCAGCAATACTAACACTAAATGCACAGAATCCCAAGCTTGTTGACGTTAGTGAAAAGTGTGGGCTACTTATTCCCATTAACGCGAATTACAGTTGTGTTTTGGCCACTACTTTTTGTGGATTAATATGTTTTGATTATGTTTAGTTTAAAATCTAAACCGGCATCTTTTAGCTTTTTACCCTAAAATGTGAGCAATTAAGCACTTGGAACTTCAAATTTCCAGCAGTAATCGCAGTGAATTAACATTCTGTTGATGTTTATCGAACTATGCGGATACCCGAGTAGTCACGGGTTGTATTTCCGCTCTGTGACATGGCCCGAGGGTTATGCTAGTGGCCTTTTAACTCTTCTCTGTGCCAGTAGTATATGTTCTGTCGCATTACTTTGGCTTTTTCCGACTACATAGAAAACACCGGACGTCATTTTGATGACGGCTACACGCTAACCCGATCCAAGCGCACAAACATCCTGATTTCTGGGCTAGGTACTATGCCTCAACGTCTTCACTAGCTGAATGGTACCCAGAGAGATGGGGAGGTGATGACTGAATAGCACTGAAGTGAAAGCAAAGTTAAATGGAGGAATGGATGCAAAACTTTTGCCTAGCGAGCCGAGGCTGTTTCCGATATCGTTTTTCACCGACTGGTTCTGCCCTTGAACCAACAACTAGTAATCTCGAGAGGTATAAAGCCAATGCAGTTCTTCTTCCTCAAAAGTTACAAGTATGCCGAAATTGAGGGCGTTGGGGAATTGTAGAGATGTGCCAGAGACGTTACGATCGAATGCCTTCCAAGGGGAAATAAGATCTTATGACTGATACTGCTGATTTATAAGAGGTTTTCAGCTCAACGCGAAGCAGAGATTTGGTACCTTAACTGACTGTGTTTAGGAAGTTGGCACTTCACTCTCCGTCAACTGCGCTTTCAGCTCTTTTGCGCATAGCGACGTATGTTCTTTCGGACTGCTTTGCCCTATTATGACCTCAGAGAAGGCCCGGGGCTCTAAAATAAGGTGACAAAACCAGTATGCAGAACTAAATTATGTCAAAAACCTGCATTTCCCAATTTGTGTATTTGAACGAACTTAGGTGGCCAGAATTTCAAATTGGTGTTCTTCTGTTAAATTGTATGCATAGAGTAAATGTTTGATTTAAGATATTTTCATCATTTTGGATTTGCGTTTTTGAGGATGGTTCTACAAACAATATGCGTTAAATATGTCAACGTAGTACTTTTGGCTCTTAACAGTAAGGGCAAGGTTTCTTAATATCTGAACATATTGAAGAAAAAATAAATTTGTGGTTGTTTAAATGTGTGTGGTGTGTATTTGTACAATGACCTAAATTTGCCAGCGATACAAAATCCCGAGATGTTAAGAGATAATGAACCATCGTTCGTCAAAACTACGGCAAAGTTTGAAAGACTTGGAGCCATTCGCGAACAAAGTGTGCATGTTGTGAAAGGTCACAAATTTCTGGCACGGTTTTTTAAGCAGGCTACGTTTTGTGGGCACTGTACAGATTTTATATGGTGAGTGGTCCAACTATTACTTCATGGCTAAGGGGCTTTGGAAAACAAGGTTTCCAATGCAAAGTATGCTGTTTTGTGGTTCACAAACGCTGCCATGAACTCGTTCTCTTTCCTTGTCCCGGGTCGGACAAAGGTCCAGAAACCAACGTAGTGCATAATTTTATTTTTTAATCCTCTTTAGTATCGAAAATCTCACTGTTTTAGGAAGCACACATACACGTCTCCTGCGTTTTGTGATCAATGTGGTACACTTCTTTATGGACTAGTCAATCAAGGGATTCGATGTGAAGGTTTGATTTATCACGCCAAATTACTTTTAGTAGTTTGCCAACTAAATGTCCACAAACGTTGTGAACAATATGTTCCAAGGCTTTGTGGTATTGATCACACGGAAAAACGTGGTCGAATATACCTGAAAGTTGAGCATAATAGATCCGCCTTGGTTGTTTACGGTAGGCTGCAGGCCTAAGTACTAACAATTATGATATTTATAACGATTCAGTTAAGGAAGCTAAAAATCTTGTTCCAATGGATCCAAACGGACTTGCTGATCCATATGTAAAGCTTAAGTTAACTTGTGATGGCGAAAGAAATCGAAAATTCAAAACGAAGGTAGTCAAAGCCTCTCTCAACCCGGAGTGGAATGAAAAATTTGTTATGTAAGTTCTTGAAATTTTCTTTGGTTTATGCAAAATATCTGTTACAAATCTCTGGTACCTCACTTAATCAAAATTCTTTACTAAATTTCATAAATAACTCTTCTTGCAGACTTCGCTACCGTTTGTTATTGCTGTAATACCGGTTCAATGCTGCTTATAACACCTGCCGAATCGTTAACTTTTCAAACATAAAGCTAAAGTGGCAGAATTGTTTAATCTTACTATAGAACAAAACCTTTGGTTTTAATGTTTCGCAACCAAAACCAGCTGAATATTTGACGCATATGATCAGTAAACTTGCATTCCTTTGGTCCACCTGCAAAATGCAGTGGATGAATGTTGCAATAAATAATGCCCAGCAGTAACACTGATGCTCCGATAAACACTTGCAAAAGTACAAACTTTTAATTGCATGTCTCCGTTTCAAGCCGAGCTATCAGTTTTTAATGGATGTTTTCATGCGTGGCAAAATAAACATTGCGCACCTTATAACCATGATAAGTTTTGTTTTGAATGTTTGGCTGTTACCCTTGCACCCATGAATTTACACTTATAAAAGAACCAGCAATGATGTTTTCGTTGTTACTCTCGGAACCACTTATCATGAATCCAGTGCAAGTGACAGAACATGTGATTTAACCGCATGGTCTAGGGAACCGCTAAGTTTAAAAGATTTAGCTACCGCCAGTATCAGTTGGATCAGATGCAAGTATTTAATTTCAGCAGTGTTAATTACACAAAACACAGTAAGATTCCAAAATTACCAAAACAAGTAAATGCCTAGAACGCAATAGTTTTTTGGAGAATTCGTCCATAACATGGTGGTGGTGTACTTCAGTTACGGAAGCTAAAAGATTTCATTGTTTTTCGTCTCGTGTCACAATCCAATGTGATCTTTTAACACGCATTCAATCTTAAAATAATTAACAAATTCAGTTGCCAAGTCATCCACTTTAACAGTATGATCTCATACTAGAAAATACAGTCATGCCTATTAATAAGAGGTTCAAATCAACTTGGATATGTGACGTAGACTTCCTCCTGAATTCCAAAGGAGAAAGTAGTTCTGAAAGCATAAATTTCATTTTTAGGGGAGTTACTTATTTTGCTGCCTTGGAAGCGTTGCCACGCATTTGTGCGTAGGTGATTGCAACATCACAAAAAGTAGTTATGTATAAAGAAGGAAGTAAGAACTAAGTTTTTGGCTTGTTTTATATACTTTCGTGCTGCTAGAAATAAACATGTGCTGCTATTCAGACAAATTGATGCTGTGTGCGGGATGTGGTGGGATGTTGAACCGATTTCTGCGTAAAACGCACCCCCACTTGTGGGTGCTGAAGTGGCGTAGCACAATGAATAACCCTTGGGTGCAACATTTATGCAACGAATCAAATAAACAAGCCGAACGAAATGCTTCTGCTCTCCTTGCATGGAGAGGTTGAGGATGGTCTCTTAAAAGTTGCGCTCCAAATTCAGCGATTTGAGAGAGCTGCAAATAAAATCAACAATGTATCATTTATCACCGCTATGCGTATAAACCTTGCATCTGCCGGTTTCTGTTCGCTGAGTTACGAGTGCGTAGGCGAAAATCAAAGTAGACTTATTCACACCCTATTGATAAGAATGTGATTTTCACCTGTAGTAGGTAACTGTAGTTGTGTGTGGATCTGATCTGAAATTTGGAAAGAAACAAAGTACCAAGGTAACTACGTCAGATGAGGTTCTGAAAACATCCTAACACTGTATATTTTTTGATGCGGATAATCGTTTATTAAAATATGATAAAATTTTGGCAAAAGGTCTGCTGAAATGCTGCTTCATCGAAATTGTGCTGAGAATTGCGTCTTTTAGAAAGGTTGTATGCACTTTTTGAGCAGGTCTTGGTCCACGATGGATGTAAATAAAGAACAATGCTACAATAGAGATGTGAAGGGTACAGTGGTTTGATAAATCAGATTGCCTGGCGTTTATCTCGTCTCTTCTCAGTTTCATGCAATGAATGAATGATAAACTCTCTACCGGAGCAATAGTATCAAAACAAAGGAAAAAGGTAATGTTCATAATTATAGGGAACAGATGCCTTATCTCTTTGTCACAACTACTCACCAATCATGCGTTGTATGCCTGTCAAAATAAAAAAGTCCCAAAAGAAGGCTAATGCTTGACGGCACCAAAGGAAAACAAAATATCTCCATAGAAAGCCGATTTTGTGCGATACGGTCCATTTGAAGTAAAACAATAGTTAAGTTTTCATGAAGTTTATCCCAATTCTTTAACAACCGTATCTTCTCCAGTCGTCTTCCTTGTACTTGACACTTCGCCTATCGCTTTAGTCGGTGGCACTTCGGGTGCTGTGTTTGTCTTCCTTAGCAGCCAATGCACTGCAAATAGGCGCCAACCAAGCCATAGGTTAACGCTGGTAGGAAGATTGTGACCAGCGACCACCTTCACATTTGACAGCAAGAGTCAGAACGATGGCTTAATAGGGAAAAATTAACGATGGAGAAACTACTAACAGATTGTATATTCTGCAAGAAAACTAATCTCCTTAGCAGAAAAGGGAAGGTGTTTCCCGAATTTCGATCTTTAACTGGGCAGGAAACCATTCTAGACTTGTGCGGTATAGTGTTTGAAGGTCAGTTTTTAAACTAAGAAACTGAATGAGACACCTAAGTGTTGCCAGACGAGCGAATAGGCATGAACCTAAAGAAGAGATGGATACTTTTAAATCGGTGACGTTGCCAAAGGTTTTGCAACGAGACAGGTACGGTAGTAGAATTTTCGGTTTTCAAAATGGTGCCAGGCATGCACATGGTGAAGTGTTCGGTGTTAGTTCATTTTTAAACACAAGGCGAGTTAAGATGACTTGTCCAGTCTTAGAGGGGAACTATTGCTGTTTTTAGGCTTGCGCTAAGTTTAGGGTGGGAAGACCAAATTTAAAGGTAGCTATTTACCTGAAGGTTGAAATTTGGTGCTTTCGACTGCTTGAAATGTCCTTTGCTGAAATTGTAGCTAAAAAAGCCTATTGATTGTTAACCGGTCTTCAAGGGAAAAGAGGAGGCTTTTCCAGGGGGCATCACAAGAAGGGAAGGCGTTTGTTTCGCAAATTTTGTGCTTGACTGTGCAAATGAAGAAGTACCCACGAAATAGTCTTAATATCCCAAAATCGCTCCACTAGAAAAAAATTACTTCGAATCTCCCGATAAAAAAGAAGGAATATTTTCTTAATCTTTCCTAGCGGCAGCTAAACTGACTGCATAGAGGCTAATGGATGAGAATACGTAATTGAAACATTAGTACCACACTCAAAGGGCGCGATGTGGCAAAGCTGATCTGTTTACTGCTGAAGATGAACTATTCCAGTCCAAAAGTTTTCTTTATATTTCCCACCTAGCAGCCTGATAGTGTATTACCTGACATCCACCGACACGTCGTCACTAACGAAAGCACATCTACCACAAATAGCAGAGCAAAAATGGGTAAACTTGTAACTGAGACTTCAGGCTTATTACCTACATTCATCACCTTAAATTGGCCAGGTTATGATTTCCGGTACACGACAAAGCAGCGACCATTAAATTTCGAGAGACAATTGTGTGAGTGAGACACTTTTCATCACCACGAAGTTTCCCTTATTTTGTGGTCTTCTTAGAGAAATAGGCCCGGAGGACGAGTCGAAACGTCTGATGATTGAAATGTGGGATTGGGATCGCGCCTCACGAGACGATTTCATGGGTGCCCTCTCTTTCGGGGTGTCGGAGATTGTCAGACGCCCTGTCGATTGCTGGTTCAAGTTGCTGAGTAGGGAGGAGGGCGAATTCTACTCCATTCCTTGCTTCGATGCCAAGACGATCGCTTTCTTGAATATGAGTCGTGCCAAATACGAGGTGAGTGCATCGTGTCCAATTCCTTTCCCACCTTAGCAATCGAAGTAGCGCAAAATAAAATTTGTTTAAACTATTTCGTCTGTAGAGGATTTCAGTCGAGTTACAGGAGTTCATAAGTTCAACGACTTGAAATAAGGGTGTAAAAACGGAAATTCGTTGTAAATGTGAGGCTTCATCCTAATAGATAATCATTCTTACGTGAACTGTGTGAGTAATAATTGCTTGGTTTGGCCTTCAAACAAGTACTTAACGCATCAGTTGTTTGATTGTAACATGTGCTACATGAAAATCTTCCCATGATAAATAATAGTTGATTTAGTTTTTTTCACATGAATTTAAATGTAGAAATATTTTTAAGCCCTTGAATTGGGCAGTGGTTGACACTTTTCTATTCCCAGTAGATGGATGACACACGGCAAAGGTAACTGAATTTCACTGCTTTAAATGAAGTGGCAAAAATGAATGGCTTTGGGGAAAAATCGGATGTCATTTCATGTGACAAACCGTCCTATCTTATGCACGATTTATAACTGTTTTATCCACACGATACATTGTCTTGAATTGTACAGAAATATCTTCTTCGATTCTGGTGCTTTAGGTGGTAAATCTACATTTTTGTTCTTAGCCGACTGTAAAGGCGCTAAGTCTGATGAAATTACAAACGCCTATACACTGGACTGTTTTAAGGCTCTAATTTGGGTAAATTTCTAAGTTATTTTTGAGAATAAGCACCCTGATATCTCTTTGAAGACGAAAGAATATCTGATCCTAGTGCAGAATGTGCATTACTGGCTGGAGGCCGTGCCACTAAACGAAAGTTCAAAAGCTGGGGGGTTAAATGGCCACAAAACCATAGGGAAGAGTTAAACAAGGAACTGATGAATTCCACTTGTGGATGATATTAAACAGGGATTTTTACAATGAACTATTTATAGTCCTTTTCAGTTGAACCTGTATAGAGATGTTTCTTGAAAAAGCGTGTGTTATCACCCTTGGCTTCCTTGGCTGCATATTTACATAAGTAATTAAGTACTCTGCTTAATGAGCCGTAAACTGGGTGCTTTTGAAGCTGGCCTAGGCCTTACCACTTGCGGATATCTCGATGGGGCCATCTTGAGCTCAGTAAGCAAAATTCATTTTCTAATTCACAGACCACTTGTTCACGAAACTTCGTGTAACGTTTGTAATAAATTTTCGTTAAAGTAAATGTATTTTCAGTGGAGAGATTTCGGAACACTTCGCAAATTTTAGTGCTTCAAAGGCAGGAGATTTTAAACACAACCTCGATAACTACCCGAAAATGCTCTTCTTGTGTCCATAGTATGACATCAAGGGGTTGATATAGCAAAAGTGGTAGTTAACTTACAAGAAGTGTAACGCAAAACACAGTAAGAATGTAAAAGCCTAAAACCATCCTCACTTGGGCACCAAAATGAAACCTTAAGACAAACATTATCTTGTGAAAAAACTTTTCAATGGTAAGTCAGGAAAAGTCGACTATCCATCTTAAAGTCCATTTCAAAGTCTTTCAAAGAGACTTACTTAAAAGCCTAATATAAAGTGTTTTTTATTCGTATAATTCGCAAAACATTGGAAAATTAAGCAAATCACTGATAGCGACGGAAAATGACTATTAGCAGTATAAAACTCGGAACGGCAGGCCATTACTCCATCAGATTTGTTTCAACCAGTGGAGATGATCGTGCGATCATCTAACACCAAAGCTCATATCAATGACAGTAGCTTTGTTTCTCTTCAATTATGTAGTTAGGCCATTTTTTCTAAATCTCCTTTAAAAGCCAGTTGTAAAAACAGACCTTTTAAACTGCACAAAGCGTGGGAATTAAAACAAACTCTTCGTCAAAATTTAGCTTTAAAAGTTCACTTTCAATAGGAGAGCAACGCATTTAGAACATAATGGAAGGTCCACAACGAATGCCTTCAGATTATTTTAAGAGTACCTGTACACAGGTCAGGTGGCCGAAAAATGGTGATAAGTGGACACTCTTTATGGTACTTGCCCCTTAGTTTCAAATGCCCAATCGTCACCACTTTTGAGTGACAGGTCATTGCTTGTCGACAAAGTCAGATTCGAGGTTCAAATGTGGAGCACTATATTGGTGTTCAAAGCTGATCCAAAAGGCGCAAACCTACAGCACTGATAAGTGAACTAAATTTGGTAAACAATGTGCCTTAGCTACAGGGTAATTAGGTCGAACTGCTGGCCAGAGAGGTACGAAACCCACTTCAGTGGGCCTTCTATACTACATTTCCATTGAACTTAGTCTCTGAGGCAAATAAACTTTTACCAATCACAAGTGACTTTTGGCTGTCGAAAAATGATTTATTGTTAGGTTACTTTAATTGGAGAGGTAAGAAAGAACCTAAACAAATAATTGTTTTGTCTAATTAGCGGATAATTTCACCTCAAAGGCATAATGCATTAAATGCTACAAACTGAGGGCATATGTTGCCTCTAAATTGGACATTTTTCCGCTCAAAGACATGCGTTGGAAATGTGTTTAGCTCCAGCTATTAAAAAAATGTTGGTTTCAGCCATATTACTAAATTATTTAACCTATTAGTCTAATTCTATCAACTTAACCTTACTCTCAAGTTTCATTACCACTACAGAAATCTAACGGCACCAATTTGGGCAAAGACGACAACCGCGTACAGAGTAAACAGGATACCCTTCGAGTTACGGATTTCAAGTTCCTTCGGGTCCTCGGAAAAGGAAGCTTTGGGAAGGTAGGCAGCATTCACCCAGACCGATTACAAGAGCAACTTGCCTGCTGTGGTAGATGCTGATTCAAAGTAGACCATAAGAACTCTTGCCCATGCTCTCATTCCAGAGGATTTGCATTCCAACAACATAGACAGCAATGCAGTAAAGATACTTGATAAATGATTTACTTCGGGGCAAAATGATTGATAAACCGTGTCCTGAGTACATTTATGTTTCTTTTCTCAGGTTATCTTGGCAGAGCACAGGAACACCGACGAGGTGTATGCAATCAAGGTGTTGAAGAAGGACATCATAATCCAGGAGGACGATGTTGAATGCATAATGGTGGAAAAGAGGGTGTTGGCTCTGCAGCAAAAGCCTCCATTCATAGTGCAACTTCACTCCTGCTTTCAAACCATGGTGCGCCTATTACTTGTTCCTTCGATCACCATCTGCTTGCTACACATCACCGTAACTCCCTAGGGTTTGTCCCAGACGAGTGTTTACACTGCTTTCAAACACAAAAATTGGGATATTTCTCCGGAGTCTACCTTTGCTTAAGATCTCCAACTACTGTGCACTGACCGACCCAAACGAAAGGATGACTTCCCTTCTCTGTTCCATAATGTCGGACACTTGCAGCTTTTGAGTTAGAATTGAAACAGCGCGACACTAAGGCCAAATGGTACACAAGACATCAAACTCCTCCGATAATCACACCAAGACAGATCAGGCACTCATTACTCTGGGAAAGTATACTTTGATTTTGAGGTTGCATTTCTTTGCTAGCATTTATCAGTCTTGCATTACTTTTTTAAATCAGTACTGAGAAGAGGTAATTGACAAATCTTTTAAGTAAATCTTGAACAAAATGTTGAGCTATTAGTGTCAACCTAGCAGGTCAAATATCTCAGTGTAGACACGTGGAGAAGCAGCAAACATCCATCAAATGAGTGAGCATCAACTTTAGCGTTGCTACAATTTTAAACTCAACGCTTGGAGCTGCAGCCTTGACACTTGCCCCACAAATCGGTCTCCGACCTCTAACTGTCATTATCTTAAAAAGTCATGTGATTTATCAGGGTAAAAAAAATGCATTTTGTGGTAATTCACTGATTCTTTTAAAGGACCGATTATTTTTCGTCATGGAGTTCATTAACGGTGGCGACCTGATGTACTGGATTCAACTTGTTGGCAAGTTCAAGGAGCCCGTCGCCACGTGAGCTGCTCTGTTTGCTTTCTAATATTTTTAAAACCAACTTTTAATGCATTTGAAAAGCCATTTATGAAACAGTTGGCCATCCCGTCCTTCTTTGCTTACTCGAATGACTTCTTGGTAGATTATATTGTACACAAGGTGCATTTACGGGGATCAGTGTATAGTACAGATATAATGTCAACTATTTCATGACATTTTGATGCAGCTAAATCACAACCAAACGCCAGAACGGCGGATTTTATGTCCAGAAGAATAGTGAACTAGGTGATAGTGTCTCAGCATTCAATTTTACTAACCCCTCCCTTACTGAGATAGGGGTAAAACGATCAGGAAGTTAGATTAAATTTGCATTTGACGAATCTAATAACCCCCCACAGAAAAAGGATACTGTCTTCCCTTACTCTCACCAACCTTAATTTGCTGATAAGCCTTATTAATTTCTGTTGACGGCAATGAGATTGTGGTATTGCATAGCCCGAAGCAGAGTGCCCTAATGGAAGTTCTCGAACATTGTAGCTTTTACGCGGCAGAAGTTGCTGTTGGCTTGTTCTTCCTTCATTCCCATGGCATCGTGTACCGGTAAGTGTAGCTTACTTCAAGAATCCAACACAATCCATTATAGTGCTATCTAAAGCTCTCGTAAAAAGTATTTCAGAAAAACTACTCAAATAATGGTCATTTGTATATCGCAGCAAATGCTAAACGACCTCACATGGCGTGCTTTACCTACATAGCCTATCTGTTTTGTCATGGTAAAATTCCTTGTTTGGAGATTCAAACAACTGCAATCGGAAGCGGGGAAGCTCATAAAAGAAGCATTTTTGATTACAAATTACTTATTTTGTGGATTCTTAATTTTACTAAAAGACGTAAACTGCAGTAATTGTCAGTGTGTCAACAATAAGAAGGCGACTTTGTGATTTTGGGTGGAAGTGTAGTTTCCTCAACTTGTAGAGACCTCAAACTGGACAACATACTCCTCGACCATGAAGGTCATGTGAAATTGGTCGATTTTGGATTGTGCAAAGACGGAATTGTCGGAACGACTAAAACGCGAACCTTCTGTGGAACCCTCAATTCCATGGCGCCAGAGGTAGTTTAAACTAATGTCTCTCTCAAATCCTCGAGTCTAATCTGATATGATAACATGTTGCTTCAATAAATTGCCCCGAATTTCATTTCAGAATAAACTTACCAGAAAAGCGTCATTCGGGAGCTAGACGATTTTCCGAAATATGGAACCGTAGGGCAGAATCCCAAGTTAAGAGTAACTTGCTCCACCGCCATAAATAGTATCTTGTAACAATCAGGTGTTTCTTTTTTGTTAACCACATGCTCATTTTTGGAAGGCAAATGTTATGGAGCCGCAGTTCCTTTTTTTAGGTAATTCAGCGACAACCCTACGGAGCATCTGTAGACTGGTGGAGTTTCGGCATTCTCATTTACGAAATGCTTGTTGGTCAGGTATTAATTTCACCCAACGCCCATTCCTCTATTTACAATGTTTTTACAGCCACGAATGAAAATAAGCTTGATTTTTTTAGCTGATGCCAAAATGACCTACATCGAACATTCGACATCTAGAAAACATCAGCTGAAAATGACGCATAACTTTCTCAACATCTACTATTTATGCATGAGATACAGTAGGAAGTAAGTTGGTCAGTATGGAGTGGATAGTATGGCAGCGCTTTCGTACGAGTGTGCTCAAAATGTGCCGTAAAATGAGGTTTTTGAAGTTGTTTATCCAGTTGCGGAACCATCCAATGGCTCATCCTTCGAAAGCAAAAGATACGATCTAGTTCTGCTGTGTCGATTCAAATTTCATCCAAACAAATTCATGCAGGCTTCAGTTTTCATTAAAGCTGCAAAACGTCGGCCATCTCCTTACTACAGTGTCATTTAGACTCCATATTGCTAATATAAAGAACTTCATGATGGGGTGTAGCCTTACCTCCAACAACTGAGCATTTGTTGAATGACCTCATCATTTCAATTTCACAAGTGCGTGTGGCATAGTGACTTCCAGTATTACCCAAAAAAACTTCACACATAAAACAGTTCTTAAGATTGCAAACCGTTTCCTGGAGTTGTTACTTGCAGATCCCTAATGGTTTGTCTTTGCATTGTCACAAAATGCGTATTTGCAAATCTGTAATTGTCTTGTGTGTGAAATAATTTAACGAAACAGTTAGTCTTCAATGCCTGAAGTACCGCTTGCATGATGGGACGTGCATACGCCATAGATAAGTAAACTATTAGACCTCCGGGAGTTTATTTTTAACATGTGAATTTCAGATGAAAATCTCTTTCTGTTGGTCACAGTCACCTCGTCCTACGAATAAGGACAGAATCTGCTTTGCATGAGCCGCGCTTTATGGGGCTGTAAAGCTTTTTTATGTCGTTAGCTTAAAACGGCACCAGATGCCCTTAAGCTGAGTTGATGCGGGAAGGATTAAATGAATTTGTGTAAAAACCTAGAATTTTTTCCTGTTTTTTTGTGTTCTGGATGTGCAGTTCAACAATGAATATTTAGTCACTAGCTGAAGTTATAAAAAGGCGCACAAGCTGCTTTAAAATTTACCATACACTGCTGAAACTGATTTTCTCCAAATCTCGCAACGTTTACGAGGCAAAATTATCCTGTGATTGTAACTTTGGGCAATTTGGTACTTTTAAAACCCCGTCGGCACCCTTAAAACTACTAGCAAACTCGGTTGAAGTGCTTTGCATATCTGTGGTGTGATATTGTGGCCTCTTAAGACTTCCGCGAAGGCGGAAGAAGTCAAAATCCTAGAGTAGAACATGTATTGCCGACAGACAGAATGGCTGGGGGCTACTGGCATGATCTGGAGGTCATGCCACCTAGCGAAGTACAACGACGGTGACCTCAGTACCCTTGTAGCCAAAACAAAGTTGAACAAGCGACCAAAGCATGGCGGCATCATTTGGAGTTGCTTTAATATATGCTTACTCCCAAGGACGGTAGTCAGGATCTAAATCACTTTGACAAAGAAAGTAACACAACATATTCCTCAAGAACAGGAGCATTCTCAAGCCCTTTCGGAGGTTGCAATAAGTCACACCAGCGTAGGAGGACACTTATCACTGACGGTCGTATAAGCTAGAAACGCTAAAAAAATTTGTGCAGCTATACTGTTACGAAATTAAAAATCGCATAATAAGATGCTAGATATTTACAATTCATCCTTCCTAGTACGGTACTGTTCCATGAAAGACAAACTCCTTGATCACATTTTACTGCATAAAAAAAATCCACCTCGTGTCTTTTTCTGGCCTAGCCACCGTTTTCAGGAGAAGATGAGGAGGATCTCTTTCAAGCCATCCTCGAGACAACTCCGTCCTTTCCACGTAATCTGTCAAAAGAGGCCCTCAGCGTTTGCCGAGGCGTAAGTGCGATTGTCTACTCACATCAGTTTTCTGTCATTTTCCACCAGTACTCCTCATTGAGGGTAATAATACGTGTTTCCAGTTGTTAGTGAAATGCACCTCTTTAAGTCTCAACAACACTTATCTTGCACTTTCCCAGTCCCAACGGTTTCCTAGGAATCTGCAGTTAGCTTGAAGACAATCATTGACAAAAGGTCATTTGATCTATGAATTAAATGCAGCTTTGGAATTTGTGCTCCTCTCGTTTCTTCTTTTATGGTGGAATAGGATTCCTGAAACTTTCATTGAAAAAATGTTTCCTTCCATTTTGTCTTAGTGATGTAAAAAGGGGTTGCCACGTCATTAGCTGTCACCGTCGCTATGTAACGGGAGGCCACTCAACTCTCATCCTTGAAATTTGGCGATTCGGTATCAGCTGTGGATCTTTGGACTGTAGGCAGTAGCTAGGGGCTTCAGTATTGTAGAGTTTTTATGTACTAAAATCAGCAGACGTTCCCAACTGTAGCGCATTAAATGAGGTTACCCAAATACCCTGATTTATCCCAATTACAACCTAGGCCCTTCTTGGCAGGCAACGGCAAAGGCTCCATTTGCGTTAAATTTGTAGACTTAGTACTGTTGAGGTAAATTTGAAATATTTAAATGTATAAATGTGGAGACAAGACGAAACTATATAAGAGGAGTAGCAACAGTTGCGCTTTTACAGTCACAATTTGGCCTCAAAGCTTAAGGTGTTGTCACGCATTACCACAAGTTTCACCTCGTTGCCGCATTGCTTAGACAAGCAGATTTACTTTTGGGGTGTATGCCTCGGGTACCTGATCAAATTTTACACCTTTGATAGTTGGACAGGGCCATACTACTAGATACATGGTTGGGTGCAAGTAATCACTGATTTTGGCCTTAATATAACAGGCATGGGCGATCCATCTGTGCTGGTATGTATCTTATACGGAGTGCAATCTACAAATGTCGGACTAATTTGTTTTGATTATCTTGATCATCACTCTTTCTCCATTCTCTTACCATCCGACTTACCCATTATGGAGGGACTCCTAAGGAAGCAAACCGTGTTAGACATCCACACGCGTTTTACTGTGATTCAACAAGTAAATATAACTTGAAGTAAATGTCTTTTTCAACTCAGTTTCTTAACAAGGATCCCAATTCTCGTCTCGGCTGCAGTCCGGCAGGCAGCCTGGAGATCCGCGATCATGTCTTTTTCCGAAGAATAAACTGGGAGCTCATAGAATTGAAGGCTATTCAACCTCCATTCAAGCCTTGTGTGGTAGGTCGGGCAACAAACTTGCCACTATAGCAAATGGACTAAAAGAAGTGACCGCAGCTTTGCAGCGGCAAATTTATCTCACCTTCATTCAGCGAGATTTCACCACAGAATTATTTGAATGACACCTAGACTCAAATTTTATAAAACAATTTAATGAAATATTTACTTAAACGCATTCGGCAAGGCTTTATATTAATCATGATATTTTGTATCTCTAAGGATTTAAGTGTGAGCTGAGACATTTCTGCACTATCCCTTTGAGATTTCATGCACTGAATATCTCGATTAAACCTACAGTTTGTACCAATACTGGAGGCGTTGCTGGCAGTGATACCGACAATGCGAGAATTCGCCTTCATGTACAACCTTCCCGTTGTAATTCATTTCTTTTAGAAAAGTGGTTATTAGGACAGGGGGAGTAGAGACAAAAACATTAGAATAATCTGAAATATTATAATTAACTTTGCGGGATTCTTATAAGATTTGGCCACTTTTAAACGGAAAAGATAGCTGGAAGCTCCATCTGCCTGCAAATCGTAGGGGCATCACTTCAATCGTCTCATTGAAACCTGCATGCATGCGTAGTCCTCGTTGACTTCCAATTATACTAAACGACGCCTTTTCTACTAGTAGGAATGCTTTCCTTTTTTCAGTGTGACAAGCAAGACACGAGCAATTTCGATTCTGCCTTCACCAATTTGCCAACTGAACTTTCGCCAACAGACAAGCTGTTCGTCATGAACCTCAGTCAGACCGAATTTGCGGGTTTCTCTTTTGTTAATCCCGAGTTTGTGATTGAAGTATAAGTGTGGCTCAATTGCCAGCTATGTTAAGTGCTCGATTCGATAGATACTTTATGTCTTTATGGCAATCGTGTAAATACCTGTTTCCCTATTCCTTCCTCCCATCAGTACCTCCTGTAATAAATATTCTGTATGGCTAATAACACTAGAGGTGCTTTGTTATGGCATTCATTGAAACTTTTGGGATTTGATTTGGACACTTTTCAAAACACCGGCAAGGAAAAGTTCTTCAAGGAGATATTCCACAAGATAGCATTTTGTTAATTTATCTGCATTATCATAGAGGGATAAATAAATATGCTTCACTGGAAACTTTGCCACCTACTTGTGCATATGTGAATCCAACATCACTAAAGTTTGTTTGAATAAGATCTAATTCCAGTAAAGGGATCTATAGAGGCAAAAGTATGAAAGAAAACACGAATGCTGCTTTCAGTAACGAGGGATGTGTAAAATACCCCACAGCTGTGCGCTGCTGCCCACACGAGGCCGAACAAATAGGCGCTGCGTGAGGAATGCGGTGGGATGGCGAACCGAATCTGCTTATAGATGCTGAAGTGGCGCAGCACATTCTGTCGCCCTTAGGTGCAACAGATATACAGCGAAGCAAATGAGGCGGCTCGTTCCTCTTTGCACTGAGTGGTTGAGGATAGTCTGTTAAATTTTTAGCTTCAGGTTCGTTGATTCGAGAGAGATGTCAATAACAATAACAATTCATCATTAATCATCCCTAATCCTTTAATAATCTAATCCGCCGGTTTGATCCGCTCAGTTATGAGGGCGTATATGGCAATCGAAGTGGACTTCTTGGCAACTTATTGACAAGAATGTGATTTGTGCCTGTAGTAGATGACCGTAGTAGTGTGTGGATCTGATCAAAAACGCAATGAGAAACAAAAAAACTAAAATGATCTCGTCATGCAAGGGATTGCTCGTCCAACAAGGTTTTGAACACATTCTAACAATCTATATTTTAATGTGGATAATTTTTTGTTAAAAAATGGTAAAATTCTAGAGGGTCAGAGCTCTGTTGAACTGCTACTGCACAGAAATAGTGCTGATAGGTGAGAGTTTGCTTGCATTTACTGAGTATAAAGACAAAAAAGGCACAGCGGTTTGATAAAATAGAAATCATGGCTGTTGGTTCGTCTTTTTTTGATTTCTTGCAATTAGTGAATGGCATGCATATTCTGGCGAAATGACATCAATGACAGGTGAAAAAAGAAAGGCCTATGAGAGAAGAGATATAGATACTTTAGCACTTTTGCATAGGTGCCGCCTATCATGCGTCATATGCTTGTAAATAAGGAGTTCCTCGGCAAAGTAGCTTAAGTGTAATACACCGTATCAAAGGAATGCAAAGAGGACCGAAGGAGGGACAATTTCCCTGTTCAGTGCTTCAACTGCTCTGTCACAATGACCTGTCCTTCTAGGGTTGATCTTAGGCAGTTACATGGAAACAAGACTGTCACCTTAAATTCTGGCTCACCCAGAGCTAGGTTGAAATTTTCTTTGCCTTCTACCTACTGGATTTTCTTATTTCTTGCCAAACAATTTGTCCACCTCTTCATTGATGTTCTGTTTTCAAATCCTGACGTCCCAGATATTCAATATCAGCCTAAAAATTTTAAGTTATCCTGCTTAAACGCGTTTCTCTACGTGGTTAAGCATTGTATGACTTGCGAAATTGGAGACACTTTTGAAGAAGGCAAATCACCTTGCTAAGAAATCGTTTCTCAGCAATATTTTTCCTGCCCATAAGAGTGGATAAGTTTTCATGAAGCTCGTTCCAATGCTTCAACACTTGCATCTTCTTCTTCGCTTTAGTCGGTGGCATTTTGAGCACAGTGTCCATCCTCCTAGTAAGCTAGCAGTCAAAGAGCTGCAAGCAGGCATCAACTTGGCCATTGGCAAAGCCTGACAGGTACAGGTCAATGGCCACCTTCACATTTGACAGCAAGAGGCAGAACAATGGATTAGAAGGAAAAAAATAGCGGTGTTAAGAATGCATTTCCCGTTTAGAATTATTAACTTCTCTGCACTAGAGAAAAGATTTGCCCTATTTAGTTTCTCGACAAATGAATGGATCTGTGGAAGATCATATATTAGTGTTCTAATGACCTAATTTATGCAAGTTTTATAAGCTTTTCTCGAAAAAACCATCCTTAGTCTGCTCTAGAGGCAAAAGGAGACAGGAATCTAGGGCAGAATATGTGTTGTCTACTGGAAGCCATGCCACCTGTTGGAAGTACAAATCCTTGGGTCTTTAAATGGCTACGAAATCATAAGAAAGAGTTAAAAAAGGAATTGACGAAAAAAGGGAATTTCGCATTTGAACCGTCCACACTCCTTTCCACTTGAACCTGCTTAACGATAACTTATGGAACAGAATATGCTATCTTCCTTGGCTTCACAAACCTCGAAGAAAAAGTTAGTGTTCCCCTAATTCAAGTGCAATTTAGTAACTGCAATTTATATTTCACCTGAATAAATTGACCAGATTTTCTACAAACTTGGTTACAAATTGACGTGACAAGTCAGCATGCTTGGAGAGCTGCGTATTAAGCATAAGTTACAAAGTAGTTGACCTAATAGGAGTCGTGAATTTTAAGCCCATCCTAAGCATTCGCCCAAAATTTCCCCATTAGTTTTGAGGTATGGCACCTATGAGTTGACACAAAAAGTGGAAGTGCATGCTTACTTTTCTGAGGAGTTACCCAAGACCCTGTTAGTAGTGCCACAGGCCAAGGCCATCTTGACATTGAACGTTTGGATGCAAATCAAATAGAAGTCCTTCTTACTATCCTTTAAAAAAGGCAAAATTTTATCATTTGACGTTATAATGAACCAATATATTTGATGCATTCCCCCTTTTTGGTAGAAAATCGACTTTCCAAATGTCTGGTATTCTATCAAAAAATAAGCAGTTTGCACCTGAATAAAGTCGGCGCAGGCAAAAGTTATTAGCAGGATCACTTGTCCAAATTTACAAAAGACAGTATCTCCTTTTATATTTACGTCTTACAAATGAAACCCTTTGCACCCTGAGGCATCAACACAGGGTTGATGAAATCCCCTACATCAACATAAATAATGGCATAGAATTTTCAAATGTTGCTTTTGTTCACCGTACAACCATTTTTTTGCTGGAAAAAGGTTTTTAAATCATATTTCTATTTGTTTGGGCTATTCAGCACCAACCACAAGAAGCATCCGCAAAGAGGAGTTCTTTCGGCACTCTTATCTGAGAAATGATTGTTTGTCAGTGCTCATTCTACTATTCACAAGGTTTTCAAGCATATAATGGAAATGATCTTGCTATCCAAAGGCGATATTAAATGAGGCATTTTAGACATTTGGAGCCTCAGAGAAACAGGTGGGCTAAATAGCATGGATTGGGTGGAGTGGAAGCGTTGCTATACGAGTTAGGTGAAAATGTTTCACAAGAACGTGTTTGAAGTCCTCTATTTATAAACTCCCATGTTTACAATCTTGTCAGTGGCAAGTCAGGAAAAGGTCTACTTCCGCGTCGGACTGGCTCTTTTCAACTTTTCCTCTAGACATCACCTTAAAGGTTTGGTAGCATGTTAATACATTTTGCATTTAATTAAAAAGGCCCCAGAAAATTAAGCGAACCATTAACCAAGTGGAGAAATCAAGACTTTGAACTGTTTTCTAGTAACGTCTGAAAACAAATCTTACAGTCTGCAAATCAGAGGAGCAGTACAGTACTGCATCAGAAATGCCTCAACCGGTGGAGGTAATGGTCTGATGTCCTTCCATTAAAACTTATGTTAATGTCATTTACCTCTTTTCCCTATTTTTTCTGTAGAGTCACTTTAACAGGAGGGCGGAGACATCATGAGACACTCACGGGACCTACACTTATAAAGTCTTGCCGAGGACAATCAGCCCAAAGTAACAATCACGGCCGCACAAGCGATAAATCAGAGGTGAGTAAGAAGGATACCTCTCAGAAGAAGCCACTTCTATCCGTTTCGCTCCCACCACACTCCTTTGATTCATATGACAAGCACAACGTTAGGCCCTGGACTTAGCATTAATGCCGTGTCTACCTCCAGAGATGCCATTTGAATGGCTGATCCTCAAAGTACTAATAAGAAGCATCTAAAGCTGGACACATCATCAAGAATCTTTTAAAATAAGTTGGCGTTAAAGGACAATCCCATTATAAATGAGGTAAAGGTTAGGAGCTTCTATAAAATCTGTGGCCCCAACCATGCTTTAAACGGTTCTTTACCATGCAATGAATAAAAAATTCTTTATTTTTGGATGTTGCTACGCCCTAAAGATATTCATTAGCATTACTGACAGCAAAAATGCATTTAGGTTAACAAACCGTTGACAAAGATGATGCGACAGACGGTGAATTGAAAGGAAAAGTAATAGGAATATAAGTAGAGAACAACTCCGTGCTAAGATTCTATGGAATGAGATATTGGCAGTCAAGCCCTTTTGCTACACCGGATATTTTTTGATACTTCAAGATATATTGCTGTACAATATGACGGCCCAGAGTAGGGTAAAAGTCCCAAACAAATTATTTAGTAATATTGACGGCAAGCTTGAATACACTTACACTATAGCTTTGAGACCAACCTCTTATCGTTCACAAGAGATCTCCCTTTATTGTCGGTCATAACGCCTATTACAACAGCTATTATATATGCCGTATCGCCGTCAACTTGCTTTTGCATCACTTTATATATCTGGACCACTTGCACTGTGGTTACTTTAGAAATCATTTGTAAAAGGCAACAAGAGTGATTCGCCCCAGGAGTTCAGTTGGGTTGGCAACGTACGGAGGGTTCTGTAAAGAAAATAGAATAGAACACACGATAGCTATTCGAAACAAACAAGATGACACTCTTTGAAGAGGTACATTTAAACTAATGGAACATTGTAAAGTGACGAAGAGCTGAAAAGTAGCGAGTAACAGATGCCAAAAAACTGCAAACTATTGTTACATTTGGATAATTGAA